TACTGTTGTTCTGTCAATGAGCAACACACCTACCTTTTTAATGTTTTTGTATGATGGAGTAATTCAGGGAGCATTTAGGCAAAGAAGATACAGCCGCCCACCGGTAGTGTTGAATGGCACATACATATTTAATTTCTGTGTTTTTAGTTGAAACTTACAATTAAAGCTCTGTTCTATTCCTAGGCTATAGGACAATTCCTTATGATTATACAACTATATATAATTTATTTATACTCGAGTAGAATAGTTTTTGCCTCAAACACCAGATCAGTAAGTTGTTATATTTAATTGACAGGTGTTACTGTCAGTATGATGTGAGATTTCTTCATGTTAAGCCTCAAAATCACACATTTTCACACACCTCTCCACGCTGATGTTTTGAACCCTGACAGTCCATGCAAGTGCAAGGTTGTTTAGTTCCCCGCCTTAGACCACAGATGCTGTTTTTTTTTTTTTTTTTTTATGAAACTCAAGTGTGATGGGAATTTAAGGCAATGCCAGGATTTGCAGATACATACGTCTATATTATGTATCCATGTGGGAGGATATAAATTTCAAGATCTAGGTTGCTGGCTTTTAGAGATCACTCAGTGGGGTTATTAAAAGCACAAACACAAGATGGGAATAGCTCATGATGCTTTGGTAGAATAGAAACAAGAATAAATGGTGGTAAAAGAAGTGACAGCTGCCTAACCAGAAAAATGCATCCACTAATGTAAAAGTCTCTTACACCTGCACAAAATGAATGCATGAAAATGGGGACATTCAGGAAAAGGCAAACCAAAAGGCAATGAAGGGGAAAACAACAACACATAGCTGGGAGCAGAGATGCCGCACTATCCATTTTTGATGAATGTATTAATGCTAATGTAACCATCCTTTTATAATAAAAGCATCTAGTGTCAAGTGATGGGTATAGTGTGGGACTGAGGAGATGGAGGCATCACACCCTTGTAAACACCAGCAGGCCTTTTAACAGCAATAATGGGATAATGTATTCATTCAAGTCCAGACCTGTATAGTGATGCATTTCTACTTATATGTTTACTTTTTGTTCCATTACATAATTACAACAGGGTTGAGGAATAACTTCAGGTCAAGACAGGCATTTATAAATAAGACCTCTTTCTTTGCCTGGATTTTATTTTAGCTAAGATGCACAAAAGCATATTTATTATAGACCTCTTGTCAATTGCTGCACTGTTTTTTCAGCCACCCTTTTTGTCATTTGTGCATAGGTACTGTCAGTGAAATGCACTACTGGACATTTAACAGACAAATCCACATCTCTGAGCAGTGGGCACACGCAGCACATCTGCACACTTGAATGATCAGGTAACAAACATTTAGTCATCTATAATTAAAGGTCAAACGAGGTCTAAACAGATACTGAGAGGAAGTCTATGTTTATGCTAATGCCTTGTCAGACAGAGGGGGCAACGATTCACTGACACCATCTATTAATAATGAGACAAGATGCAGAAATTCACTGTAGGCACCAAACAATGCTACTGCTGCTGTGCCAGGATCTGAGTGAGTGCTCTGAAAATTGGGCTGTGTGTACATCCAGTGTTGTAAGGGAATGAGGTGCATGAATGGATTTGTTTGTTTATTGATGTTTGTGTTTGTCTCACACCAGTGGCCTTGTCTGAGCTGTTTGCAAACAAGCTCAACAAGCCTTTCCACAGTGTGCCAACCACTGAAAGAGGGGTAGAAAAAGGCAGGGTATCCTTTTAGGGGGCATTATTATTAAAGCAGTATACTGAACAAAAGTTGTGACAAATTCATCATAAACTGTGTTTGTTTGTTTTTTGTTTTTTTATTGAACAAATCCAGTTGACCAGTTTAACCTTTATTTATCTGTGCAATAGAAACTTGAAAGTATACATAATTATATCTACTTATGGTGTTGCTTCTGTATATTTCTATGTTTCTGTGTGCCTGCTCATGTTCTCTGGCATCTTATATTTTCTATCAAGCCATTTTATATCCCCTAGACTCTATGTAGAACTTTAAACATTTTCTTTCTTTTTAACCCCAATAGCACTATTTTTCCTATTGCTTGTATTTGCCCTGGTTAGCCTGGATAAGCCTGAAAGATCCAACAATGAACTTTAATGATCCTACAGCCTCTGTCAAAGAACCATGGGGCCCTTATTGTCTCTGAACTGTGATCAAACAAGAAGAATGAATTCCTGCTGTTAGTGATATCATTAGTCTGTGTGTCATGTCTGTACTGGAGCGCCAAAGATAAAGCTTAGTTATTGGTTGCCTTTTCATTTTTCTTTTTTTCCCTCTCTCTATTACTTTCTCTTTTATCAATTACTTGGACAATTGATCTTTTTGTCTACTCCAAAGTGTCGTTATTTTTATGTGTGTGCAGGATTTGCGTGCCTCTCTGGTGCTCTGGCTGTAATCGGATGGGACATTGGCTCCATGACGGCCCGCTGCCCCCTCCACCCCCCACTGAGGGAGCGCCTCTATCCTTATTGCCCTGTCATGTGTGTTGGACTGCCACTCTCCATAACCGGCTGTGAGTAAAGAGCTACCACTAATGTTATTGAAGGGCACTGAGAACTTTGCTGGTTGAGATTGATGGAAATTTGTATATATAACTAGCTACTGCATCAAATATTTATGTTGTTAAAGTACTACGTGTTATGACTATACGAAATTAAATTGCAATCTTACCCAATATGTGCAATGTAATTCTTCAACAGAAAGACAATATGCTACAGAAAATATCTTAATAAACAGTCATATTTAATCATATTTACTTATTTATGCCACTCAGACAATAACCCAATCCCAGTAGTGATATATTCTGCTCATTCATTGACCAGCTCCAATTTTTGTAGTGTTTAAAAGTGAGAGCCACCCGCGGATAAAGCAGCTCTATCAGGCAGTGGTTACAGATAATCGGCCATCACTGATCAAGTTAGTCTGAGCCCCCTGACCCCGGCCCGGCCTGTCTGCTGTTAGTTTGACCTTTGAACTCTCCCTTTGTTTTTCAGACGCTACGCACCCCACACATAGAACACACTGCCGTCTTTGGCCTCTTATCCTTGACAGCCCCTGTGCTCATATGAAGATGTACTCAGGCGATTTCCGAGCGGTTTCAGCCATAAAGTCTCATTTAGGGGGGAATTAGCCCTGGCCCTAGTCTTGTTATGATACTGTGCTTAACGGCATTAGACCATTCTTCTGGCTTTTAAATAACAGCAGGATGGATAGTGTCATTCAAATAAACCTCTGCAATCCTACTTTCTTGTATTGTAAGTAATGGTCATGAGTTCATTGTTTTACTCCTTTTTTCTATAGTGCTTATTGATTGTAATACATGCTACCCACAGGGACATTAACATATACTTAAAACATTACAGTGTTTTGCATCAATATGCTTTTAAATGTGACATGCTTACATCTCAGAATAGACTAATTTAGGGTTTATTAAATTATTTTAACTCTCAGGAGGGTCACCATATTTTAAATACTAAAGGGATTGCGTAGTTGTAAATAGTCTGTGCAGTAGTTCTTTCTAAGACATAGTTCACAGGGTTATCCAGTACCAGTGTAAATCTGTGACTGGTTTGGTCCTCATGAAGGACTGCCCCGTCTCCACAGACAGAACACCATCAAACCCATAAGTGACCAGGACTCTAATCAACTTTAGTAATTACACTCCATCTCAGAGCACTTATTCTACACCAAATGGCATCTCTAATGGTGGGCGCCACACAAATCTCCCCCATTGACCTGCAACTCAAAATACACAGTTACAGAATAGAACATATCCTCTGGAATTTAGTCCTTAGCATTTTCTATATAATTATAACTGCTTTCTGAGCTGAATCACACTCCATTTTATTTGGGTCTGCAGGCAAAATGTATGGCATTTTAAAATGCCACCCTCTCCAGAGCACATGATGTTGTAGCATAATGTTTTTGTTTTTTTGATGTTGGGAGATAGTTGGGAGATAGTGTTTGTTTAGGTAATTTTGGCAGATAATGACAAGCATTGCTTAGTCTTTGATCTCTGGGCTTCATCAATCCTCTGTTGCACATGTGTGTGAGAAAGTCTTCCACTGATGGATTAAGTGCTTTAGTTTAGACATATGTATGCTTTGTGTTTAATATTACTTTACCACTCCACTAAAGCTCTTCGCTCTCTTTACAGCTGAGCTGTGTTACTGTACATGTATGAAGCAGTGTCATCCATCTTCAGAGCCAGGGTCCCCCATCCTTCTCTCTCCCCCTTCTGTTCTGGACGTGCATTTTCTGCACTGAAGGGTTAAGGAGGAACAGACCCACTGAAGAGTGGGCTGCTTAACCTCTGCCCTTGTGGTGTATGAGAGAGAGGGAAAGCAAAGACTGTGACAGATGTAGTTCTCATTTAGACATTTCCTTTAGACAGTATTTTAAACATTTGGAGTTACATGTGCATGTCTATAGAGCAGGTTCAGACTACAGCAGAGAGCAGAGGCTGCAGGTGTAACAGTTGTGTGCTCATAAATCTCATTGTATGGGAGTTTCAAAGATGAAGGGAGCTCGCTCCTCTCTGAGGGCAACAGGTTGTCCATGAGGGGGTCCAGCTGGTCCACAGGGAAGATGCCAAACAACCTGTCAGAGATAAGAGGAGTGGGACAAACTATGAGCACATCCCAGAACAGGGCACTCAGCGAGCTCTGAGCGAAGAAAACCATCCCAACACAGGAGCATAGTACACACTGTTAAGAATTTACCTGTCACTGTCCCACAGTGATGAATGGGATTATGGGAACGCACATCCAGGAGTGAAAGCAGGCTACTGCTGTTATCAGCTCCTTCATAAAGATACAAGCATTAAAATGCTCTGCACTTAAACGAGTTTCCACACACTGTGTTCAGTGCACTAAAATAAACTCTTTTGGAATGTTAATCGTTGTCTTAAATAAAGAATCAGCTGACTGAGATGTGAAAACATATCTGAAATTTATTATTTTTAATATAAATTTGTCCATAAAACAGACACCATTTGTAAACCATTTGAGGATAGGATCAGAAAATAAAGTTTAACAAGTACCTCTGAAAACTACTGCTTTTCAAGAGTCAACTACAAATATTTACAAATGTAATGTAATAAATACTGGCAGGAGCAATAATACTGTTAAACATTTTCTCCCAGATACATTTTTGTTCTCAACACACACAAACTCACTAGTACATACTATATATTTACACATACATACTATAGGATGGATTAACTAGGATTGCTCTCTAGTTACTGATGACTGCAAAAGCACCATGGTACTGCATAGGAGGACTGAACAAACAACTCTACAAAACTAAACCTCTGAGTGTGCACAGGTTTGGAGCGGTGTATGTAATTTGACAAAATGCATAAGACACACAATGCCAAATAGTAGACAGAAGTTGATTGACATGATTATATTTATATAAGTGTGTTTGCTGAGCAATCCTTGCATGTCAGGGATCATCTCTTACTGCTGAATAATTCATAAACAAACAGGACTGTGTCGGCACACACACATATATACTAACGGCTCTCTGAAGAAAAAAAGGAGTCCTCTGATTGGCTGATTCTCTGTGAAGAGAAGAGCTGATTGGTCAGCTTAGGGTGACTGAGAGGACAGCGGTGACAGCTGTGTGATGCTGAGTTGTGCATTTACCCAGAATGCAGTGGAAACAGTGTTTACAGGTCTTTCCGCCTGTAGCTTGGTCCAAAGTGTTTATCTCCATGGTGCATCGCCTGCAGCTACTTCTGCTTGTCTCACTGAAATTTACTCAGAGCATTCTTAAACTGATCTGACATGGGCTTAACAAATACACACACTCACAAAATAAATGACTTTTTCCATCGCTGAGACAAAGCAAGGAGCATTATTTGCTCCAAATGAAATGTCTCCCTCAAGCTCTATGAGAGCTCTGATTATATTGCTCAGTAAATGTGGCTGTTTGACAGTGGGCCACAATTTACATTGTTCACCATAGATAACCTGGGAGTCACTGAAAGGATGAGCCAAGCTCTGCTTATGGCCTGGAATAACAGACCACAGACAATACAAATACACAGTTAAGGTGTTTAATGTGCGCTCTTTAGGAAAGTCTTCCCTAAATATCCATTTCTGTCTTCATTCAGGTCACTTATGATTAGTGTGACAAAGGAGCTGAGGTCCAGATTGCATTTCAACAACAAAACAAGAGAAACATAATGTTGATAGTCCAAAATGGGCAGTTGACCAGTATTTTGATTTGTCCTTAGAATTGGTTAGGAGGCTGCGCTCCACTCCGGCAGCCCACAGCGCACATGTGTATGACTCTCCAGCGTGTGGTACAGAGGGGGTGACACATTGGGGGTGTAGCGAGAGTACTCTCTGAGTGGGGGGCTGATCTGTCGGCTGTGAATGTTTTGGGAATTCTGAGTTGGTCCATTCTGGTTTGGATAGGACTCATGTGCCATGTGCTCCCCCAGATGTGGAGAACTGTGGTGGGTCACAGCACTGAGCCGGGAGCCGGGAGGGTTGGAGATGTAGGGGGGGTGGGGAGTGTATGGGTATGGATCCATGTTGGTCATGGCAGAGGGCACAGGGCAGTTGTAGGACCATGATGTACAGCTGACTTCATCCAGTCTGGTCTCTGAGCCTGCAAACATGCATGCCTGACGCTGTCCCATGTCTGAGGGGTACGGGGCATCTGTGAGACCCAGAGCAACATTGCTATGCAGCCCATGAGATGGAGGGAGAGAGTAGGACGATGAGTGACAGTACATCTCTGTACTACTTGGAGAGTCCCCAGTGAATGCTTTCTTATATGGGTGCCGATTGTCAGGAGAGCACCTGTCCTCTACTCCTGCAAAAAACAGAAAGAAGTCCATCAAGGTCTGTTGATATAGATGATTGCATTTAGGTAAATTAAATCAGCTTTTATGGGTTGTAATAAATAGCATACCTTTCCTCTTGGTGCATTGGTAGGCCTGTGGTTGTTGCAGATGCGGGTGTAGTAGGCTGTAGTGAGTGGAGGAGGGGCTGATCATCTCTGGGCTGTGGACGCTGAGCCCAGTGTCGCAGCTGAATGGGGACCGGAGATCACCAGAGGAGCCCCTCAGGACCCGAGCCTCTGTGCTGAATGGGCTGGTCACAGGACACGTTCGCTGCCGAACCGTACTGCGGGGAACCACAGGGTAGTCTTTACTGAAACACAAATACATGAACATTTACTGTATTTTCAAACAATGTTGACAAAGAAATGCTTTATTAAATGATACATAAAAGTAGAGTGACTCTTGAATACATGCTGGCATACCACTGCAACACATTGGTATTGTTTTAAAAGGATGCATTCATTTTTAACCTAACTTTTTGACTGGTGGTACTCATACATGTGTCATTCATCTACTGTATTTTTTGTGTTTCAGATCAGCTTCTGTGCCCCTTTCAGCTCTGATTTCTTTCTGCGTTCACTGCCCTCCTGATGAACTCTGTGGTATGTAGGGGACAGCGGGCCACATCTCCCTGACTCTCCATCCGATAGTGACACACACACACAGCTCTGAGATAATTCAGCGCTCTAAAAATAAACATCCACCCGTGTGTCACTTTAGATATACTCCTTTCTGCTTTCTCTACATCAACCAAACTAGTTCAAAATATAGTGCATCCCACCATTGTTTTTTTTTTTTTTTTTTTTTTTTTAACATAAGCACTAAAATCCTTCAAATGCCTACATGTAATGTTAATGTAGATTAGTTAAACTCCAGGTTGATTCACAGCTTTTCACTTTCTAACATATACGAAATGTTCAGGTGACAAAGGCTGAACTCAAAAAGCAGAGTTCACACACTTGTGTCTTGCACCATATGGGTTCAGTCATAACAGTCTTTCCTCAGGTTATAGAAAAGAGAGAAGTAGAGACAGGAGTGTGTGGCTGCACTCACCCCTGTAGTTTGGCCATGCGGTGTAACTCATTGTCATCTCCACCTCTGAAGCCTTTAGCAAACGGATTGTTCTCGATTTTCAGCTGTGTGATCTAACGATGAAACATAAACAGTAAAAATAACATTTTAATAGCAGCTGCTAATAATGTTCCAATAACAAATAACCTTATATGACATGAAGTAAGAATGCAATAGTTTTTTGTTTTTTTTTACATATTATATATATATTTTTTTTAATAATTTGTGGCTGTCAAGTGAAAACTCAGTGTGACTTAAAGCATGGCAATCTGTCTTTCTAAACATCAAGGCGACTGGTGCAGCCAAGATCAAGGGAATGAAGCAGGTCATTAGAGCAGGCTCTCACACACAGCCAAGTCTCCCTCTCCAAAAGCATACACAAACGCAGAGAGAAAACGAGAGGGGCTATTGAACACGGCAATGGCAATAAAAATTCAAAAACAAAATATTTTTAAATGTCTTGACTAAAAATAAAGATGATTTCACCATTTTATAGAACAAAGCATCTACTTCAGGCCTGTATTGATCTGTTAAAATTCATTGTAGCTATAACTTGCATTCTATACCTTGTGGTTCTGGTAGGACGTTACAGCGATGAAGGCCGTTTCTGCAAAGACATGGGTGCAGAAAGCTGTATTTTTGGAGCCAAAGCCGTTGTTCTCATCCGCTTTGACAATGTGGAGGCGTGGCTGGTACTTGTGCATGGAGTTCAGAATGATCTGCACCATGGAAACGTTGAATAATGAATTGCAGTAAAAATGAAAATAACAATTAAATTATAATAAGTCGTACATGAAGACATTAATCACACTGCAAACAGAATACAAAATAAATACAATAAAATTACTATTAAGAAAATATCATGATGATGTAGAACTTACAAGGCATAATAAAATATATGTAATATTGGCTAAGTGGTCATCATATTAGCAACATAATAATTTAGGTAGGACAGATATTATTTGTTCAATACTGCAGACCATGAACATTTTTATTTTACTGGCCTGTTACAGAAATGTGTAATCAACTAAGGTATTATATTATAATACCTTGTTTTGCAGAGTTTTGATAACAATGCTCGACTGAGAAAACTTAAACAGTAAGTACTTAATTTAATTTGAGTGGCTAGGCTAATTAATTAATTGTTGACCCAAACCTTTAATAAATAAATAAAAACACCCTCAGTATTTATTGTTGTCAAAACAAAACACTAATCACGGGAATTTATTTATAAATGTATTATTTATAATGGTAGGTGCTTTTAAACGAAGGTGTAGGCTACACAACAAAGTGCTTCTGATGCATAATGACACAATTTGCGCATGGCCTGTGTTCCTGTTTTTTACTTGACTGAAATAATGTAGCCGTACTCACATGCCCGAATGGGTCCAGGTGGTTGTTGGTAAGTTTGAGTTTTTGGAAAGACACAAGTTGGCGGCTCCAGTGCGCTCCTGTTGCCGGAGAATCCGGGTGGACGTATAGCCTCCCGGGCATTGCAGGCTCTGCCTTTCCCGTAACTGACCTAGAGTCATGACAAATGTTAAATGCTATTATGCTCTGGGAAATTTTGAGTATATATACAGTTGAATTAGAAAATTATTCAATTGTATTATAATGCGTCCATTTAATATCGATGTAAATAGCAAACAGTAATAATTATAATGATGATACAAAAATACATATAAATGTGTGTGGAAAAACCCCAACATAGCCACTAGTAACCAATTTTGCCTTTGCAGGGCCTTGTATGTTGTTGTGAATTGACCTGGTAAAGCATGGCACACAGGCCTTGATACAAGTCTGCAACCAATGGATTTTCTCAGCGTAAAGCCTTTGAAACTATGGCACGTTGAATGGGAGATTTAATCCAGTGTGTGCCGCCTGTCCGCCCGGTGAACCCTTCATACTGTGATTTAACCAGCGGGCAGACACAGGGGAAACACAGGGAACTAGGCCATCCCAGTCTGCAAGAAGGACCCGACCTTTACACAGCGCGGGCATGGACAACGAGTGCTAACATGACAATGACCACGAGTAGCCATAACCATTTATCAAAAGCTTTCGATTGCAGGCCCTTCTGAAAAAAACAAAACAAAATACACACACACACACGCACACACACACACGCACGCACACGTGTGTGTGAGTGTGTGTGTGTGTGTGTGTGTGTGTGTGTGTGTGTGTATATATATATATATATATACACTGCTATTTAGGCTATCTAAATAACATGGTAACTCATATTACCACTGTTGGTCTATCTAAATATCAGAAATTTATCAAATAGACTATTTCTCCACTATTTCAACACAAAACAATTTGTAGCCTATATAAACCTATTATTATAAAATGTTAAAGAATGATGAGTTCCCTGTGCACGTGTTTGCCAAGTAAAGGACGCATGTAATTGTGCGTAAAACTAACCACTTGTTGTCTGCAAATTTATAGCGATGGTCGTCCCCAGGCACGATATCCATGAGTAAGATGTACTTGGTTTTTGGGTTAAGTCCCGTGACCTTCACTTTGTAACTTGGGAACATTCGTCTAAACGAAACACAAAGTAAAGAGTTCAATATGCATGCATGCATAATAGGTCTAGTCTACAGGCCATAGTTTTTAGTTGTTTTTTTTAATCATGGTAACTCATATTACCACTGTTGGCCTATCACAACATGGAGATTTTTGTAAGTTTTACCTTCCTGCCTTAGTGATGATCATTTCTGTTCCAACTTCATCAAATTTTGTCCAAAGATCCCTGTCATGAAGAAAAACTTTAATTCCCTCCATCCCCTGTAGAGAAAAGTAACTTGAGTCAATACAATGCTGTACAAACATTAAATTCATTTTTTTCCAACCCAGTGTCGCTTTCTTAAAATTGTACCATTACCTGCTGATTGGTGGTGGTCTGGGGTGAGGCTGGGGAATTTAAAGAATAGTTTTCAGTTTCTTGCTTTCCTGTATCCTCATTTGGAGACTCCATACAGTCGGAATCTGGGCACTCTGCAAGGCCAAACTGGTCACCTCCGTTTGCCATGTTCTAAAATATTCAAAACAAAATATTCTAATATTTTTCATTATTTTATTTAATTTTTAAAAGTATAATTATTTGTACAGTAGTTTGCAGTTTTGGAGCTAATCTATCGAGTTACACAGAGGGCGTCTGGACAAAGCAGTGACGGTTCAGTGAGCTAACAGTCTGCTTTGTTAAACACTCTACATGCTCTTATGTTGCTCCTTTTGCGGACTATATAGCCACTAACTTTATTCTGGAAGATAACCCATATTAAGTATATGTAAAGGCAAACAGTGCCAGAAAAGTTAAGCAAGATTAGAGGTAACTGGATTTGAACCATTTTGCTTATATATTTTTCAGTACCTTTAACAAAATAGTAGGCCCCATTAATTATACTTAATTATAGGCTAGCTAATGATACGAATCTACATTTCATTAGGTTTCACAAATAGGCTACACAACATAATCTACTGTTTGAAGAGCCTTAGCTTTTTGTTTAATTTGGAAATACTTTACCTCAAAATCACTGCTGCGTTGTTCTCACCAAAAGTACGCACATCCTGCGCTGCAATTTGGATTAAGTATCCCTCTTTTCAACTCTTTTGTGTGTCTGTAAACTCCCCAATAAAGCTGAGAAAACGATGATCCTTGGTTGTTGAAGTCCAGAGAACCTTTGACTGTAATAGTCGCGCAGTGTGCTCCGCTGCCTCCTCCTCGTCACGTCCTTTGATTAAAGTGACACAAGTTTATTTCCTTTTGATCAGGATTTCCTCTGTTTTGACCCAACACTAACTGTGGTCTGACCGCGCTCCTCACGTCGGTCATTACCAATGGTGAGAGTCCTCCTTGTGCGCTCCGCGCGCCCATAGACGTTAAGATGGGGCAAGAGCGGCTACAACTCGAGCGCACACTGGCCAATCACAGAGGAGCTCGCTCACGCGTAAGCATCCACACTTTGGATAGCCACATGATTTAATTTTTGACAGGAATGGCTTTCCCTAATTGCACAACTATAACTAGCACACATATGTGCATTTGTGCCACTCACAATAGACATTTTTAGGCTTACTTTCATACCACGCTGCTGGAAAGCCTAATTAAACACTATTATAGGCCTATTAATTTTAGCTTATATGATATTATCATATTATTAATATTATTTTATAAAAGCACACTTAAGAAATCCTGTTCGCCTTTTTGATGTACAAATGTTGATATGTGTGCTGCAGCGTTTGTGATAGATTAAGATTGATTGGCGTGGAGGACAGTACACTGTTGACGCGAACGCGCATCACATTGAGTGGATTACATCGGATCCACCGAAGGCATCCCGAGTTGAACGGGTCACTGAGAGGTCACTGAGCACCCGGTATCGCTAATCAACGAGGTGCAGCCGAATTCTGTGTTTTGATTTGGGTAAAATGTAGCCATTTCACCAGACCGGTTTAGACCCGGTGTGGTGGAACTGGGGCCAGAGCGTTATGACCGTGTGGCACATAGTCCGCGCATTACAACAACCTTTGTTTCTCTGCCTAATTGCATTGAGCACACAAAGGGGAGAAATTTTCAACCATTGGCTGAATAGCTCCTTTGGTTTTGACGCACGTGGTGCCTTACACTTTGGGAGCACGAGTGTGAGATCCTTAATTAATTTTATTCGAAATATCGGCAATGTTCTCAGTGTAAATGTGTAAGAAATAAAAATAATTCTACCGAGTGAAGGCCGTCTAATTGTTCTTTTTGTAAGTCTAGAAAACATGTGTTGCCTGTTTGAAAGCTATTAAATTGTGTTTTATGTGTCCAATCTTCAATTTGACCTATATTGTACAATTTTTCAATATTAGTCGATTCTGTTGGTGTTTATTTTATATATGTATTTTTATTATTTGAAGTATTTGCATAAACACTGAAATTCTATAAATATAACCAAATAGGCTAAACATTTTAATAATGAGCCTCGTGTAAATTGAAATTGCTTGTAGTGGGTATTTTATTATAGTGTATAATATAACAATGTTTTAGTATATAATAAAACTATGTTTTTTTTTTTTTTATATTAAAACATATTTTAATAGTTAACATTTGGATTTTAACACACACAAAGACTCACTTACCATCCACTTGCACCATTTGACGTGTGTGTTAAGATTTACATTAGTCTTAGGTCAAAACATATAGGCTATTACAATTCATGTACACAGTGTCCATTACTCATGAGAAGTATTACGCACGAACAGAGCAATTAGGCCTACAAGTGACCCACGTCTGTAGCAGGCCTTCGTTTGGCGATATTATAGGCTACATTATTTAAAGGAAGCACATTTGGATATTATTAAAATGTATAGTTTAACGCAACTTTAAAATAAAGGAAAACAAAAGATAACATAAATTGCAAAACTTTCACGTTAGTGAATAGACAGTATAACGTGTTCTTAAAAAGCGTATTCAGTTTTTTTTTTTTTTTTTAACCTTTCTGTAACTTTCGGCTATTAACAAATTATCAAAGGCAGAAATAAGTGTGTATGTCTAATCTATTTTGCCATGACGCCTCACCGCTGTGTGGTTATATTAAATTATCTTAAAATCGATATTATTAAGTAAAGTCACATTGGAAATATTCATTTGTTAAATTAATTATATTAATTCATGCCCTGTCTCTCAGCTCATGACCAGAGAGGTAAAGTTTTGTATTTCCATACCTGGAATGAGGCTGGGCGGCTCATTATTGTCCCATTGTGGTTAGAACTGAGTGGACTCTCTGTTTTGGGCCTGGAGGAAGTGCTGAATGGTCCCGGGACCTCCTGCACTCAGCGACTCTGTCTCAAACACCTTGGGCCAGCCACAAGCCGCATGTGTGTGTGGCATTACGGGGCAAGGTCAACCCATTTCTCTGCAAACAATCACATCACACAGGGCCAAATACATTCCAACCCCCCTGCGTGCGTGCTGTGCGTAAGGTGGCCTGATGTGGGAGCCTTCCTGGGAGGGGTGTTGGCACCACTCCAAACGGGGCCCCCAGGTTCCTGTGAAAGAAAATCTTCTGTTTATGTGGGTTTATATTAGAAAATGATCTGTATCTGAACCAAAGAGCAACCTCTTTATGTTGGAGTAAATGGATCAAATGTTATTCCACAATTCAATCCACACAATCAGAAATATGCCTATAAGTATTCTACTGTTTCTATTGATTTCTTGATAATAAATCTGTGCGGCCACATTGCAATTGGAAATTGTGAAATGGTTAGTCTAAGAAATTAACAGATCTTTTAGTGCTGTAGCTCCCTCTAGTGGATGCTTAATGTAAACAAGAACAAAAAAATGTCAGTTTGTGTAGGCCTATTAATTATGATTGAGTAATACTTTTTTGGTAGATTGAAATTAAATAAATAAGAAAATAAGAAAAATTCAACTTTGTGGATGAGAGACAGATTTGGAGGTCAGAAGTAGTCTGTAGTCAGTCATGTGGACAGATTAACATTTAGGGAAGTGTCTGTCTGCCTTCAGACTTTGTCACTCACAGGCGTTAAACTGAAGTGTTAAGTGACCTTTTTGTGTCTTCAAACAATAAATGTAACCTCGGAGGCTTTTTATAACAATTTTGAATGGAAGGTCACATCCAAAGAGCACAGAAACTGCCCACAAGGCTTATACATTCAGTTCATCACTTACTGTGGTTCTACTACTATTGCATTGCCTGCTACTAGACCAGAAACCAGAGAAAGATAAACTGAAAAATGTATGATGCAGCTGTTTTGAATAAGTACAAAAATTAAGCACATCATCTATTTAAAAAAAAACCCAAATAAAATAAAATAAATAAATAAATAAAAGGGACTCCAAAAAGCTGAAAAGATTTTGTTTTTATAAGGGTATAAAGTAATATTTGTACTTCCTAAAAATATGTTTGCTTATCCTAAGTATATTATCTGTATATTTGTATGTTTGTAGAATGCATTTTAAGATCTTGCTGATAGATTGCCAAAATATCATCTACAACAATCATCAGGATAAAAATATAATATTGAAACTTACATTTTTTGTGAACATCATCTGTCCCTAATCTGTCACAGCAGTCACATGCTCAGTCTTTACATCCTCACGTGTTATAACTTAAGGCATTTTCTGCTCCAACACGATCAAAAGCACAGAGCCCTCCAGCAGAGGTCTTCACTTTTTACACTTGTTGTGTGAAACATTTAACCACAGCCGTGAGGTCTGAATTCTTCTGTGTGCAAGTGTTGTGACCGCAGGTGCTTCAAGGTGGCAGTGTAAACACCAAATATGTCAACCTCAGCTCTTTATGTGTGAGATAATAAAAACTAAAGAAAAAATTACTTCTTAAAAAAATCTCATTTAAGACACTCAATAACTGCATGTGGTTTTCCACTATATGGTATTAATATTTAAGCAAATATTTAACAGTAAATATAATACAAAACAAAATAAGCATAATGCACCAATAACTATTAGAATAGACAGTACCACAAGTGAACATTAGATGTTTTTATGGTCCTCTATAAAAAGGGATTTACAGTTCAAGAACAAAAACACATTAAAACAATAGCAAAGTGCACAATTCAATTTCATAGCAGTGGTACAATTCCTGAATATGTTTCAACTTCAAATCACATTCTCTATTTCCAGCTGTACTCTGATATAAATAGTACATTCTCAAAGGTACCATGAATTTATTGCCATTGTATTTATTAACATCACTTCAATAAGTTCTTCCATGTGTTGATTATTTAAAAATAATAGTTATGTCTTTCAAGACATCAATGTGTTTTAGCAATTAAAAACATTTTGTAATATTATTATGGCATCTGTGTCTTGGGTTTTCCACTGTTGTTACAAGAAGTGGGGGTAACAAAAAAAAAAAAAAAAAAAAAAAAAAAAATATATATATATATATATATATATATATATATATATATATATATATATAAAATATAAAAATACATGTTTTAAAACTTTTAAGTAAATTGATAACATAAAGCCAAGTGCAAAAGAGGAGTAAGTAAACGCATGTGCCTTCATTTCTAAATTGCAAGCAACATTTATAAAACAAGTATTCAAGTTTTGAAGAATATTGGTAAAACACTACTTCCAAGTTTCACATTTAACTAACACTGTTGTTATTTCTGTCTTCGACGTGAACAAACCCCAAAATACCAGCAGTACCCACTACCTCCAGCAGGAGGACACATGCTAAGATACGGGGACTTTGTCTCAGTGTTACTTTCTGAGCAATGAACACTTTGTTTTACCAGTCACATTCAAAGTGCCAGGCTTTTGTCTGGATCTAAACGTCTGTGGTGCGAATGCTGTCGTCATCCAGACTAAAGGGGTAACAACTGCTGTGGGGCTGAGGTTGAGAGCGGTGCCTTCGCCTCTCACTGGCCACATCTCCAGATGCAGCCAGCATCCCCAAACCTGCAGAAGACCCTGCAGCTGTACTCGGGCATATGGGGAGGACTGACAGCGAGTTAGAGGAGGAGGAGGTGGAGGAAGATGTAGATGAAGATGAGAGAGAAGGTAAAATCGGTAATGAGCTGAAGGCACTGTCGTCCTCCTCTACATCCAGAATGGAGGGTTCCCCGGGGGGCACAGGAGTCCACGGCTGCCAACCTGGAGCCACGGAGCGGGACTTCTGCAGCACGGGTCTGCGCTCCTCTGCCTGAGCACTGGAGTCTGAAGAGACTTTGTGAGAACGATACAGGGAGGACGCCCGCTGGAAGAAACATCTTATGTTAGACGGAAAGAACTAAAAAGATGTAACCGTAAAATACTAAAATCCTAATAAATACCTTAGATGGACCTCTAAAATCTTGTATTTTCATGTCAATGTCTCTGATCCACCCATGCATTTCATCAGGAGAGTCTGTCTATTTATTCAAACATAAATAAAATGTTTAGTTTATAAGAACAATAAGTGCTGAGTGTGTCCACTTTGAAAACATACTTCTATTAAATGTTTTTTTGTGTTTTTTTTAGTTTTATTTGTTTATGAATTAGCTATCATGTGTTTTAAAATAAACTGGCTTTCATTATACAGCATACCGTCTTAAAGACAGTCTCAATCAACCTTCTCCCCTCTATGTAAAAAGTTAGCTATTGTCCCATGGGAAGAGACCGGATGTTATTGTTGGTATAGAAACAGGTGGCTGTGTCAGTTCACAAAAACAAACATTTCACGCCCCTTAGAAAAGGATTTATGCCAAAAATCAGAAGCAGACAATAGACAATATAGAAAAGTAAGTAAGTTAAAAAGATAGTTATTTAACATAATTCATAAAGTTGTATTTCTACCTGAATGTAGAAAGTGCGGGAACCAGTAATGATCTCAAACAGGTTATCTCTGAGTAACAGATCCCTGCCAGACACAGGCCGGTGTTACATAATGCATTGCACTGAAATAAGTCAATGCTAAGCACATGGGGATATTATAAAAAACTGGCCCCAGTGTGACTGCAGTCAGACTCTAATGACTCACCCTGACTTGACGAGACATTCATGGACTTTCTGAATGTCTCTCAGAGGAACAGACCGAAGAGGCTCCTTGTCCTGCATGCACATTCAACTCCATTAAACAGCACAATAGACACACAGAACTAAGTTAAATATAATTTGTGCAGCTCCTCACCGTCTCAGATTTGTAGTAACTAATGGCATTATCATCCAATGTGAAAAATCGTCTTTTCCAGTTTTTTCTCTAAAAAACATACTGAAATGTGAATACAAACTTGGCTTTGATGACAGCATGACATAGAGAGTAGTGCTTACCACATTTCCCTGTTTCACACAGTATCCACACCTTAGAACACCCGGCCTGCTCCTCTCTCTGTGCTCAGCATCTTCACCCTCATTCTGAAACCATAAACACAACCATCAGTCATGATACATCCTGTAGTAACCAGCGACAGACTGCCAAACATTACAAGTACCACTATAGGAGTGTGAACCACGACTCCACCAATGATCTCTGTCTTGTAGGCCCGCTGTTTCCGCCCTGTATGTTTTGGCAAGGGATCAGTGATAATTGCTTTACCATCAGGCCTAGAGGGTGTTGATCCAGATTTTGGGACCTGTAATAAAGTATATTATATAATATTAAATACACTTGCAGTATTAATAATCTGTCTAGAAATAATGGGATTCATTCATGTTTAAAAGTGAAACTTTTCATGATAGAGGGCTGCTGGTCTGTGTGGAGATTGCATAGTTTTGCCTGGAATGTTACATAGTATGGCATTATTCTTATCTATTTCTATGTAGACAAGCAGATGATGCTACATGGCCAAGTTACAGGTCAGATCTGTGGAGAGGTGACCCTGCTCACAGATTCAACATATTTTTTGAGCAATAATAGTAGTAGAGCACTAATACCATACTGTGGAACATTCCAGGCAAAGCAATACCCAGAGGAAAAGTAACACTTTAAAAAACCTTTTAATAAAGTCGTTAAGACGCAAAAATGGGTAATAAGCGACAAGGCCCCTCTCATACAATGGGGAAGTGAAACCACCAGTGAGCAGCAGTGCTTCCTGTGTCACGCTGCAGGTGAAAGAAAGGCAAACACTGTCTTAAACATCTGCTACCAACAGACATCTGGACAGCACCAGTCAACAAAGCACCGCTATCATGAACACACAAATTTAATGCAAATGTAACTTATAATATTTTATCTACCTAACAAAGCAGCCTTTTTAGTTTCCTGTGAAATCATTTGTTTGAGTAACGCCACCCAAAAACTTTCCATCAACTGTGTTAGAGCCAGATGCTCAATTTGACCACATAGGGTTAAGGAAACCACAAACTGCAGCTTCCCTCATCGAGGTAAAAAGAAAATCCCTTACCATTAACCGCTTGCTAGTTCGCCAATAATTTGACTGTACCGAACTTCCTTTTCGAGCTAACCATTTTACACAGTAATTGGCGTGTGTGTGATGTACTCACAGTGATCTTGCTGGCCTTATTCAGAGCAGCCACCCACTCTCTCATGTCTGTTTCATCATTGGCTTGAAGGAAATAGCGCCTGGAAACTGCATTTATAACTACGGAAACAGAAATGATTTCATAAATACCACAAACTCACCATATTATGTAATACATAACATGTGCAAATACTATTACTATTGTGTGCCACTGATTTGATGTTTCTTACCAAAACAGAACTCGGTCTTGGGTTTCTGCTTAGCTGTGGCTTCATTCACCTAAGAATAAAAATTTGGGTACTTAATTTCACAATGAACAATGTTCAGGTAGTAGCCAGATGTTGTTATCTATGGTCAGATAGTGTTGTAACTGTATCTGGATCCTCAGAAAATCTCAATAGTCTCTGGGTTTCCTCTGATGCCACATATGACTTGAGGTGTTGGCTACAGATAATCCAAGCATGTTTTAAATTCTTCTGAGATCTGACCTGTAACTTGGCCTGGTGGCATCACCTGCTTGTCTCCATGAAGATAAATATGTATAATGTTATCCTGTGGAACATCCTGTGCAAATAAATAATATCTCCAAAGAGACAAGCACTTTCAGGAGAGGAGGGTTGTAAAAAGTGGGGGCCAAATGAGGCTATAAATAATTTGAGAATGTCAACTAATAATTGAAACGTATTCACTCTTAAAAACTCAATTTTCTCAAAATTCAATTTTCTGAATAGCTGAAATGAAGTATATTTCTAGCTAGCAGCAAAAGCACCATGCATTACATCAAATTACTGTATGCTGCTATAAAAAAAAAAAAGCATACGGTGTTTACCTTGGAGATGTAGGTTAGTTTTAGGCTGCCCACAACGCTGGCTCCACGGGCTAGATTCTGCAAGCAAACACACACATTAGTATTGGTCTAAAGTCCAAGGCTACTCTGCACCAAAATGGACATTTCTACTTCCTGTTATTTTGTACTGGGCACCTGAGGGTTGTCCATGTACCAGAGGAGAGCATTTTCTTGTGTGTCCAGGATGAAATATCTCCTCTGGAAGCGCCCACTGTTCTCCTTCTCCTCTATGTCCAGGAAACCACACACACGGTTGAGTCGGTCCAGATACGGCATGCCTGCTGCTTCACATATCACTAAGTCACCAAAACATGAGAATGAAGACACAAACATTTATGAAAACAGGTCATTTTAATCTAGTAACTGCTGCTTGATCAAACACACACATGCAGTAAGATAACCAGAGCAACTCTCACTCAGCTGTTTTTCATGTGACGTGATTGAGGCTTTGCAGCAGAAAACCCTGCAGCCTGGGGCCCTTCACCACAGCCAAAAATTATAGAGTGCAGTCCATATCTGCACACACACATTTCCACTGGCTAGGCAAGGAGAAGCAGAAAGAAGGGAGCAAATGGGGTGGGATGGTAGGACACACAACACGATGTTACTGCCTGTGAATCACTGTCCTGCAATGATTTGTCAGCACCAAAACTTAGATCTCACCACAATGGCATTCTCTGGAGCATTTCATTAACAAGAAATAAAAGGATTCTTCATTGGTCGATTCTGGTTAAGCGTCCAAACCAACCAACAACCATTGTGTTTTAGATTAAACTTTTTCCCCATTGACTTACAGTTTATTGCATATCAAATATGGAATACGATATTAGTTTTTTATAGTTGGAAAACCATGTAATAAGTATATAGTGTCATTACAGTTAATAGTGCACGTGACACATACTAAATAAATAGACACTACTTTCTCTCTCATCACCTATACAGTAACTGAACAGGACCAACAGACATGCCACACCTTCCTAAGTCCATCAGAGAGAGAGAGAGAGAGAGAGAGAGAGAGAGAGAGAGAGAAAGAGAGACAAAAAGTTGATGCATTATTCTGGACATACCCGCGGTGGAGAGTCAGCGCGCAACACTGCAGCCAGCGCCCCGCGAGCTACAAAACTGACAGGACTGTCCCGCCCGCAGTTAAACCCATGGTACTTATCAACTGTCCCAAAAAGTGTACTGATTCGTCCATCACAGAACTTCTCACTGTCTCCTGGTTGTTTGTGTGGTTGGGATAGAGTCAGATGCCTTTTTCCGGGTTGCTGGTTTGGTTATTAGAATAAACCAGCCCCGGATGTGATCTATAAGCGCCTCTGTCAGCTCAGCTCATGGCCCTCCTCCTGCTCAACGCTCTTGCCGCCGCTGTGTGGCTGCTGGCTACTTTGTGGAGAATGCACGCGCACTGTAAACCTATTGCCCGTTGCATTTTAGGTGCCATATTTTTATACTAAAGGTTTGGTAAGGTGTATTGTGTAACTTTTCTGGTGGAGGGTTTCTCAAATAATTTTCTCCATGGAATCGTAAATGCTTTGGAATGTTTTACATTATGCCATTAAACTTTTCTATCTACAGATCAGATCAGTGCAGAGGCAACATCATTCACAGTCAGAATGCCTGTTTTTCTGGGTATTTTTGAGCTATAAAATCGCCTGTATTTGAATAAATGTAAGGTAGAGCTGTTAATTGTCAAATTGTGGAACATTCCAGACAGAGCAATGGCATATCCATTGCAACAATCTGTGACAAGATGGACTCCCAGCTAGAATTTTGTACCAACACCCCAATTTTACCAGGCCTATCTATGTCGTGAAGACTTTGGTCCTTTGGTGAGAGAGACACTAATGTTACTAATCATTAATCTCACCAATTTGACTAGTTCTACATTTGGTTCAAAGTAGCCCACCACAAAGTTTCAAAACATAAGTCCTGAGATTGCAACACTATTTGCTCAACAACTTGTAGCCGCAGGTGTGTGAGACATCTACAACAGTTGCTTGCTTATATCCAAATCAAATTAATCAGAAATCAACACAAAATGATAAGCTTTTAGTATTTTTTATTTAAACATGTATGCAGTAACAACTAAGCTTAACTAAACATTTAATAACATAATCTTGTGCACAACCAGAGAAGTGCCACTCAAAGTTCCTTCCTTAATCACAGCTATGCCATTGTAGGTCAGTAGTAGCCCCGTGTTGTGAAGCGTAGGTGGTTGAAGCAGTGCAACCATTCATAGGCACACCACAATGAGGTCTCAAGCACAGCCAAAGCGACTACACAATGAACATAGTTATGCCTCAAACACTTTCAAGTTTACAGATGGCTTTACGTCATTTGAAAGTGATTATACTAAATCAATTAATTAATTACTTCCTCTGTTTAAAGAACATCACAGCAACATCTAATAGCACTAATATGTGAAACAAATTAAAATATGCAATACTGCACAAAAGTTAGAATATCAGTTTTTTGCATGCTTTTATTATTATTTTTTTTTCCTTTCTTTGAACTAATTTCAATCGTAGTCCTGACTATCTTTACCACTGTGAGATATGGTCATTGCATTTGCTGTCTATAGTTATGAAGTTCAAATGTTATTACTTTATATAATGTATTTTCCACAGTGCTGTCACAGTGAATAAAATGGGAATGCACTATTTATAAGTTCAGAGGTGGGAGAAGGCAGTGTGTAACATTGCACTGGCGATGAGCAGGGCTGGGCTGAAGACTGTGGCCCCTGCACTGTTGCGGTGAGCCCCGTGGCTGTGGCCTTTGTGGGGGCCGTTACAGTTGTCTCCAAAACAGCACTCCATTTTAGCTCCAGAGCTGCTGCCATGAGCCTTGTCACAAAATGCCTTATAAGTGCATGACTTCATCATTGTGTCTGAGGAAAGAGAGCACAAGATTTAGACCAAGCTCTGAACAGTATAACATCTAGCATAAAGACAATCTTATATTATGTTGAGTGACTATTTGGACCCCTCTCTTTAGTATTAAGCCAATAAAATACCCTACATTTCTTGATCAAAGCAGATGACATGTAGTCTATAACCTAATGCACTAGGCAACACTTTGTTCACATAGTATTGTTGTAAAGTTATAGAAGTTGATGTTGGAGATTTTCTTTTTAGTCCTACATTACCCCCAAGGTCAATCTGTAAATCTGTTTCCCCAAATATTAAATTGGCATAGAGCTGAATGCATTTGCAGGGAACCAAATAAACATATGTTTTATTTATTAAGTTTCTTCTTACCAAAGTGATAGGATACTTGCAGCTAGCCTATTTGCTCAGAATGTAGCTAGTACTCAGTTAAAAATGCGGGTTTTTGAATGTCCCATTACTGGTTTCTGGGAAGACATCCAGTAACCTCAAATAATGACAGCCTTTACTGTCACACGACTATTATTTGCTATGTTATTATCTCAAATAAACATCTTTCCAAGAGAGAATCAAACACATCTGTCAATGGAAACTGCCATGCCTCCAATGCCCCTAATGTAACAATGCTGCCCCCTCGCGGTTACTCACTGGGTCCAGAGATGGTGGAGCAGGCATCAGCATACTGTGGGCAGGAGGCGGAGCCCTGCTTGTTGCACTCGTCCTCATTGGAGGCCACGCACGTGTGACACTTGAGGGCGTGACCTTGACAGACAGAGCAAGACAGAGCGCCTGAATTATGACTAAGCGTGTATGTGTAATAAGCCACTCATGACACTATTATTATTATTATTATTATATTTGATGTTAATTTTTCAGTGACACAATTTCATACATCGTTTTGCATACAGCTATTGAAAAATGGTCCTGGGTAGTTAACATTTATCATGACAAGAACACCTAACCATTACTATTAGGTTAATGTTTTTCAATGTTACATTTGGTTGGAATTTGGAAATTTGAAAACATAAAAACAATAAATAACAAAATGCGAAGCCTCACAGATCAGTAATAAATACATATTATTATTATTATTATCATCATACATGATATTCATTTTCAAATATACTCACAGTGGCAGAGCAGAAAGATAGCAACCATCAAAGAAAGTGCAGTCTTCATGGTAAACTTCATGGTATATATACTTCATAGCAGCTGATCAATATATCGTGAAACAAATGGGACAATGCAGGGGACAGTAATGCTGAGGTGGGACTGAGTCTTAATTCCCATTATAGACTTATCTCTGTAATCTCCATCTATGCTGTGCAGACAAACCCTACAGACAGACACTTTGGACTTAACTAGTCACTCTTATGAAATAAACATACTTGAAGGACTCAATCCTCATGCTTTATAGTCCATGGTAAATATTAGATGTCCACCAGTAGCTGTGAAAAACTTGTGAAGTTTTATTAAATCAAAATATACAGAATTTTCCACCATATGTCAACAACAGTCAAGATTTAGATAATATGAAAAGAAAGTGCAGCAAGCAACTTAGTATTAAATCAAAATGTTATCGGTGTGTACAAATGTTGTGCATGAGGGTCCAGCGGAGGTTAGTTTGACTCTCAAAGACATTATAAAGTCAAAGTAACAGGTCATTTTCACAATGATTAGTGCAATTTTTTAAATACATGTAGCAATGGAAACAAATAGCACAAAATGTAGCTACAATATTATAATCTCACTGGTTATACAACTTTGTATGATTCGGGCTCAGACGACACTTTTTGCTTCAGAGCAATATAAACAGTTAGCATCATAAGAAACACATCTTGCCTAAAGCTCATTCAAACATATTATGAAGTGTTTCCATAAAATTCTCCAATAGATGTCACTGGAGATTTTCTAAGAGAACATTTTACATATTTTACAAGCAGCTCACTGACTAACAATAGTGCAATATTAAAATGCATTGTATATTTGCATTACATGATTAACCAAAGAGTCTCTGAAATGCAAGGCTGGCACAGGTTTAAATAGACTATACTTGACTGGCTCTGTCTCAGTCTATTTTCCCCATTTTGGCAATGAGCTCGTCACAAATCTTAGTGAGTTCCACCATCTCCTGATTCTGTATTTGAACACAATATGAAAAATAGATGATAAAATACATGATCAAATATTTGAAAACATAAAAAGATACCACTGACCTTCTGTTGTAAAGCCTGTTCCAGAGACTCCACCCTCATCTGCTCTTTTCTCAGACTGGCAGTAAGAGCCACATTTTCCAAACTCAACTTGGCCCGCACCTGAGCGATCTCCTCATTGGCCCTGGAAAAGAAGTAATAAAGATGCAATAACGTTTTAGGTCAGATTTGTTTTTATTATGTATTTGTTTATTTTTTATCACTTACTTGTCTAACTTTTCCTCTGCGTGAAGTTTCAGAGTCTGGTATCTCTGCTCCTCTTGCTTGATTCTGGCCAGATACTCTTGAGCACACTTTTTCAAAACTTCTTCATTCTGTTCACATAAAATAGTTCTAATAGGATTGCATATTATAGTTTTTCAGGCTTACAGAGAAAGTCTGGAGCCACAAAGATAATGTATTGTTATGGACAGCAATAGATTTAGATTTAGACAAACTTTATTGATCCATAAAGGAATGTTTTTGGACATTATTAGAAGAGTAAATTATGTTTACGTGGATAATCTGACCTCATCTATGGCCAACATAACACTAACCAATATTGTAGAAAGGCTGAAGAAAGACTAAAGGCTAAACAATTAGAATAAGTCAGGTGTATGTATACATACTTAAAACAGGAACTATTTCTGGCATAGTATATCATATTGTTTAAAACATATATAGTAGGTCAGTTAAAACTGCTTATACTTATACTATGCTTCAGTATAAAACTCTGAGACCACTGACCTTAATCACAGAATGCTTTAACACTTTATTATAACCTAATCCTCTTTAATGCATTTCAAGAGGTTTCACTTTATGTTGTGGGTCATATATTTTCCTAGAAGTGTCTTACTTTCTTGAAACCCTCCAGTGTGCTTTTCATGGTTTCATATCGTCGAAACACATCGGAGAGAGAACGCTCCACAGAGTTCAGGTCGGCCAGAGCTGTGTCCCTTTCCATTGTCATGGCATGCAAAGCCTTCTGGGAAGTCATTTTACTCCGCTGCTCATCCTCTGTGAGGCAACCCATAGGTTTGACATTACAAACATTACGGAAGCAAGAGGCTTTAGATCAGTGCATAATAACAGATTTCTTATTTTCTTACCTATCATTTGAGCTATTGTCTTTTCATATTCTGCCACTATTTTTCTACAAAAAAAAAATTAAGGAAAAAGTTATAACAATAACAATTTTACTAGCTACATTTGAAAGTAATCTGAAGGAATCCAGAACTTACCTCATTTCAGAGACTTCTTGTCTGCTCTCTTCAAATTTGTGCTTCCAGCTGCTGACTTCTACCTCTTTAGTGATGATCTAATTTGTATATTGTTGATAAAATTGTGTGGACAAACTTTATTAGAATGTTACTCAATAAAGATGTTGTTTTTTGACTGTATATGATTTTACCTCTTCTCTGATGAGAGTGAGAACAGCCTGCTTCTCTTCTTCACTAATGCAAATGGAGTCAAGCACCTGACTTCCCGTTTTCTGCATATTATTTCCTGTGGCCCTGTTCTTCATGTTGTCGAGGTTATCGCTCTGGAAACAGAGAAAGATAATACACTGAGCAAAAGGGAATTATCCCCAAAAAGCTACACCTCAGCCCATCCTCCTCTCTGTGTAATGTGTCTACATAAAAAATTAAGCATAATTGTATTTAGTTAAACTGCTCACAAAAGGCATATCATTATTTAGTCTTTTCCACCTTTAAACCTTCTTGCTTTGTCCATAGCTTTCATTGTGTCCTTTCAAGGATTATGGCACGTATAATGTAATCCTATAATATTAATCCATCTGTAACTTGAGAGGAAGAAGATGGTGGTTGATCAAGTGATTCCAGTGTGCAGTAAACTAGAATGTAATTACAGACTTCTTGAAAACCTGCAGAATGGATGAACCAAGGATTTTTTTTATATGAAATGCTGGGGTGGGATGGAGCCAGAGACATATATATTGTTTTTGGTGTGTGTATTATTCTACTGAACACCATAAAGCTTTGTATAAAGATTGTCAAGTGCACCATCTAGTGGCCATTGATTAAGCAGCTGCTACATTCTCCGGTGCTGTACTCAGGGTGACCCAATAATGGAGGAGAATATCTAGCCCTCCATAGGCAAATTTTCAGGCTAAAAATAATCTGAACAAAAAACTGTTCAAACTAATTATTGTCTTAAATATATAGAAATAACAATATTTGATTGGCATTTAGTCTTTTTATCAGCAGAGCCAAAAAGTCACATTAATGTCCATATATTGTATAATCCATCTCCCATAGTCTCAGTATAAATTTGTGGGAAACACTGAGTATGTTATAAAACAGAACAGTCAAAATACAGAAATAAAGAGAAGACAAAATCAGTGACTTACCGAAGAGCAACAGTCAGACTCTGCAGATTTCACATGACAATCTTCAACTAGAATAAATACAATAATGCATTTATTACTGACGACCATCATCACAACAGTAAATAACTTAAATGCCTATAATATACATGCAGCATTCAGTCCATATTATATAGAACTTGTGACATAATAATAACATAAACGAATAAGCATCAATCAGATATATGCATATGCACACATGTTTTTTTAATGGTTTTAATTCTAAAATTCAAAATATAAATAAAAATATATGTATACTATTCAGGATGAAAAGTAACTACTGACTGATCTGGTCCTGGTCTGGTTTAACCCCAACGGTAACGGCCAGCTTTTCTTCATCAGTGGCATGTTTTCTGTGAGGCTCCTCTTGGACTTTGAGGTTCTGCTTCATTTTACAGGAGTTTCTGAGAGGAGAGATCAAAGGACAAAAGTGTTAGGGCTAAGTACATTTTATTAGTGTATCATTGTCTAGTAGCAACAATGCTACTGCACTGGTCAGACCAATGTGGTGTAGCAGGTACAGTGGGAGACCAAGCAGCAGAAGCAAGATTTTTGCCATGTATGTGAAATGATATCAAATTTACATTAAACTGTAAGAACAGATAGTTTGATTATTTTCATTGGGTATTTACACAATAGATGCAATGATGAGGATCCACATTGCTGAAGCAGATTAAGCTACTTACAACATAAGACAGAGGAAATGGACTTGCTCAGCAGTCCTGATGCCACATTTAGAGAAGGAAAACACAATGACAAGTCTGAGGTGTAGATATGTGATCATAAAGATGAAGAAAATTACAAAATGTATAACAATAATTAGCCACCAGAGGGCAGTATTTGTCACAATAAACTGTTAGGCTAAAGGTTTAACCTCTCCATAGTGCGACAGCTACAACTTAAACATTTATAATAATGTTTACCAAATACTCTGAAACCACAAAAGTCTAATCTCAGTTTAGGAAGCTTGCAACAATTCCTCACAGTTATACAAAGCAGTGGTTAGATGAAAAAGTGGTAATTGCTCAGTGGTGAGTCATCCCCACTTAGTTTCAGTAAATGTTTAGAAGCAGAATGACTGTAGTGGGAGTCATTTAGCACCAGTAAATCTACTCACGTGATCATTGTGGTTTTAGGTCCTTCGAGGTTACAGCTCAGTTTCTCAGAGTTCATGTTGCCGTTAAGTAAGTCACTGTCCACATAACTGTCATTGGGGGAAATGAGGTTTGAGTCTGGATTTGAATCTGAAGATATGGGTGCTTCATCATCGACCTCTGCAGGGTCTGGCTTGGAGTGGATGGAGAGGGAGGGTGGGCGTGTGGTCAGAGAGTGAGGTGAAGGACTGGGTTTGGAGCCAAGGGTCAAGTTGAGGTTTTGATCCAACCCAAAGCTGTGTGGTGGGACGGTGTTGGCAGTGGAACTTGTGATGTCAGCTGTAGTGTTATCTTCAGGTGATGCTGGAACGATGTCCTGGTTGGAGTTCTGGTCCAGAAAGTGGTTTGAGGCATCATATGGGGCTGTGTAAAAAGAAAACACATCATTATGTAACACAAAGCCATTTCCAAGACTCAGATCTGTAGTTTTGTCAGTGTGCCAGATAAACCAAAACCCTCAACTTTCACTACTACTAATCCCCATTTCACACTATGTGATTGTACTGTTAAATAAAACCTACTGGCCATCCCAAAAAAGTGCTAAAAATAGATTTGAACAAGTATCATAATACAGACTTGGACCTTTCCTAAATAGTTGTATAATGTCTCAATCTAAATCAGAACCACATTGTTATTTTACTGAAACTACCATATTTTGTGTTGAAAATGTCTAAAAATTATAATGCCTGTTCCAAAACCCTGTTTGAAATTTATGAATTCATGACTACACTACTGTACATCTTATACAAGTAGTGATTATTTTAGGCTATTCCACAGTATGCTAGAGATAAACCCTGCAACTTCCCCGTTGAATAGTTCTCATCTTGGAAAATCATGACCACAACAGCTTCCTCTGTCCAGTCACACTACTTCCAAAACAGTAGCCTTTCTGTTAGAAATAAAAAATACACTACTGTACCTAGGGCTGGGCGATATGGATCAAAAAATATATCTCGATATATTTTGCTATATCTCGATATACGATATATATCTTGATATATGTTCAAGAAAAAAATAACCTCCTAAAACTGAAAACTGCAAAAACAATTATGCCAAATTCCACAAGGTCTTTTTTTTTATTGAAGTGTAAGAGGTCGGCAGTTCATATAGGAACATTTAAGATTACAACAACCCTAATTACATAAATAATAATTTAACTGTAAAATAAAAGAAATAATACTGGTACATATTTCCTTCTTTTCATTCATAAATAAAACAACTCAACACAAGCTCATCTTTGCATTAACTCTGCTATCCAGACCAGAACCAGAACCATGAGCTCTTTTAGCAGAGGAAGCTCAGGATGTTCCTTATTTTAACAGATCCATGTTCCTCACCAGCGTCAGGAGTTCTGAGGTTTCCCACAATCCACTGCAGATCAAACCCAACGTTTCCAAACACTATTGTACAAGTGCACTGCAGCAGATTATTCATTAAAATCTTCTGCATAAATACACTTTACAACAAATAAAGCATAACGACTCTAGAGCCACATGAGCCCGTTTGACATTATAATGTGTTTAATGCAGTTTTGCGCAAGTGCGTTTACATTTTACAGAAACGAAACTTAAGCGCATGGCTCATTTGCATAAACAGCGAACTTCTCATGCAGCTCAGCTCGTTTAGCTTCTTTCGGGCTAAAGGACGCGACTCGGTGGAATATGAGGATGTGCTGCTGATGCTCTTGTCTGTAAATGGTGGAAAAGGTTCGTGGTGCTTGAAGCTTTTCACTGGCACCAACTTTCGGCGTTCACGGCGATAGTGAGGAGTGAAGGAGACACGAGCGAACAAAATCAGGGAGGCGGGGACGCGCGGAGGCGACGACAGAGAAGCAAAGAGGCGAAATCTAAATTGAATATAAGCATTATATCGATATATACGATATGTCAGAATTCATATCTCGATATATTTAAAATATCGATATATCGCCCACCCCTAACTGTACCTACACAATAAAGCTGACCTGGTCCAACAGAGCTCTTCTAACACAACACCACTGTGCTATGAATGGAGTTGCTGATGTTTTACCTTGGCCAACTCCAGCTTCCCACAGACAAAAGACTAATCTGTTACTTATTACTTCATGTCCTGCTGTTGCTACAGACTCTAGATGAAATGTGGGTACTTTCTTGAGCCCACGCCCTTCAGACAGAGCACCAGATGTGGAGGAGCTCCACCCAAAAAGTCCTTCTGACCACACACCAGCACGCAGCCTAGCAACCAAAACAGCAGCTCAGTTTCACAACATGGTGCGAAAGAGGAAAAGAAGACGAAGGGGGAAGTGACAGATAGATATAAACAAACCTCTCTCTGCTGCTTAAGAGACACTGTTGACCGTAGCATGTGGTTGGTCTCATGAACACAGGGTGATCCCCGTCAGATATGTAAGGCAAATTATGGAGGAAAAACTCCACAAAGATTATGTTTATTTATGATCCTCCAACCTAGTTTTCTGTAGAATATGCATGCATCTTTAAAAATTACAAAATTAAAAAAAACAAAACAGCTGTTACATGTAAAGTAGAAAATAGAAATAACAAACACGTTCTCAGTGCATATATTACAAACTGTAACCACAAGAAAAATAACCTACTATAGTATAGGCTATATAAGGGTGTTTAAATATCATGATACTTAGACTCATGATATGATATCAGTATTTCGATGATCTATAGTAATGAGGTTGCATTGTTGCATGGATTTCCATTTATTACACTGTCAGTATTAGCCCAGATTATTTGCTGGTGAATTTATTTTGTGATTAACCTGAAATTATACAAAGGCTCAAAAAATATGTTCTTATTTTTCTACTTTCAATTCTACGGCTGTGCAGTTAATCAAAACCTGGGGCAAAGCCACTAGTTGTCTAATCTACAACGGCTTTTAAAACACAGGCACAGTAAGACATTAGTAATATAATATAGGCATAATCATACTGTAAATATGCACTTCCTCTGTCGGTTTATTTTCGACAGTATCCTAATCATAGTTTCAAATAATTGTGATTTCAAATGTGCAATTGTGACCCAAATCATGATTAGTTTTTAATATAGGCCACCATTTTTAAATCTAATTTAGCAGTTTTACTCTGTTTTAATCACAATATATGAACAATCAGTATATGTATTATGTATGTTTATATACGTGCATATAATCAAAGAATATGGAAAGTAAACACTGCCAAAAAATGTACAATTTCCCTTCTGTATTAATAAAACAGAGAATGTTTTTGAACTCTGTCTATTCAGGCTGTGTTGTTCCCATGGTAACTGAGTGAAACCAACATCGCTGAAAGCAACAGTGTTGAAGGAGTGAAGAAAAGAGGCGCTGAAGCTGGCAGCCCTCCGCTCAGGCAGATTTAGAGGCCACGTTTAAAGATAAACACAATTGAGTTATGTAATCACATCCATGCACTGACAAATTAATCATGAAACTATTTAATACTCTTGTGAGCTATATAAGTAAACAAAACAACATTGTGGTCTTTTGTTCAGTATTACCTGTGTGGTTTGAGTTGTCCAATTGTGTCAGTACTTTAGCCACTCCTGGGGATTCTGCCTCTGGTGTGTCAAATGCCCCTTCTGAATCTGAACTGTGAAAAAGCAAAGAAAATGTAGTTAGGAGTTTAGCTTTTAACAGTATGTGCATAATATTCAGGTATAAAACTAATTTACGGCAGCTACTGTTACCAGAGTTATATACAAGATAGGATAGGACATGAAAATATAATATGGCTAAATGTGATCAAAAAGGATGAAAATACTGATTTGTGATACATTTTGTAGTATTGTGATAATCGTCAATTACACAGTCAGATATTCCGTAATTTTCCCTTATAAATCTTTATAACAAAGCACAATTATATAACAGTTGTATTCACCATAAGAAATTATTAATTAATTTTTAAGTACATGACGTGCATATTAATTTGCATATATTTCTATGACGCCTATGATATTATTGTTAATTGCAGTGATCGTGACATGATAATCGTTTTCATCGTTTTTAATTTCACAATTGTCCCATGCCTATGGCAGGGTAATAGAGTTCAAAGTAGTCTGAAAATAGACAAAGTGCTTTTATTGTAAAGGAAGGAGGGAGAGGAAATGTTTCTAGAGCTCTCCACCTGCTTCCTTTGCTGCCTAAAAAGCGCACACACATTGATTCTGTTTTTAGGACATGGGCCACCCCTACATGTATTTCCTGAAGCCCTAACCACTGAACAACTAGCCATAATCTTAAACACTCTTAGTCACATGATTTAAGGGTCTGATGTGAAACCCCCTGAAGCAGAACAAGGCTCCACAAGTGACTGTAGAAGGGTTTTATTCCCCAATGTCCCACTGCAGTCTTCAGTCTGTGTCCTGCCAAGACACTGGGGTCTGATTTATTATTTGGGAAGGGGGGCCTGCACACTAACAATAGAGGCAAACAGGGGGAGAGTGAAAGTTGGTAGTCAATGTTTGCTTGTTCTCAACTGCCTAAATGTAAATCAGAATATATACTGGAGATGTAATGGAAAAACACTACAATAAAACAAGCCAAGATTAGACAGAAATTCAAACACTCACACATCAAGTTAATCCTAATTTACATATCAAGCCTCACACTGAATTGTATCCCAGTGATGGCCCCAAGCCGCCTACAGTCCTGTGCGGTTACTTAGATACTGGACAGTGGCAGAAAGCATAGGAAAATAAGTCTTCTTCCCTTCCTCCAAATATTTCTGTTCTTGAATCTCTTTCAAACAAATCAGAAAAAACAAAGACCATCACATGATCTATAATGTTTTGGTCAAAGAATCAGCATGGTTGTCATGTTATCATATTATGTCTAAATAGTTGTTTTAGTAGTGTGACCTTGCAGAAATTTAGGGAAGATGGAAAGAATGTAAGATTAAGCCATGGCGTTGATCACTTTATGTCTGATATACCACCACCTGTCAGTATGACTCAGGGGAACTGCTCTCATGAAGCATCACAGCCCACAAACACAACCACTGCCATACACACAAAAATGCACAGTCCTTACTTCTCCTCTCCTTCATTTTTAACCTCCTCTTCGCCTGTTCCTCCTGTCACCGCTGACCATGTCCATTTTGCCCACTGGACCGGAGACAACCAGGACATCCCAGCAGAACCAAAATAATGACACACACACAGATGTACAGCAGCAAACTTCCTTCAGAATCGATCCAACACAGAGTGCGTCAGTGTCCCTCTTCTTGCAATTGTCAGCTATTCCTGTTTTTCTGTACCGTTTGTTTAATCCAATTCCTCTGTGGTTTTCCAGTCTCGTTCTGTGTTGTCAGACGAGAAGAGACGTTTCGCGACTGCTTTTCTTTGACTCTGTGGCAGATTACCGGAGCATCTGTAGTCACTCCCTCTCTTTCTCTCCGTCCCTCTCTCTCTCTGCCCTGTTCGTCTGGCTCTGTGATCAGCTGGTACGCAGACATACTCCCACACACACTGCCTCACAAACTGGGTTCAGTTTCACAAGTTAGACTGTTATGCTTCCAATGTTTATGGTTTTTCCTGTAAAAAATAAAAGTTTTTCCACATAAACTGGGAAAATAATCTACAAGAGAGTTAGTGTCTAAAGAACCAGGAAGGGAGGTTAGAGGAGGAAATGTCAAACAATGTATTCAGAAGAATGTGAGGGGTGTGTAGCCAGCACTGCAATTTAGAGCTGTGCCTTGGGGTTAGCTACCTTTATCTATTTTGAATCAATACAACCTCACCAAACTGCTTTTAACTGTCTAGACATGTGAAATTGAAATATGCATTGTAGAAGAAGAAATCTGAAAGGCAAATACTGTGCGCACATTATTTGAAAGTAACATGATACATTTAATCATTTGTTTGTTTAGTCCATTGATGGAATAAAATAGTAAAGATTACGTAGGTTTTGGTCATCACCCAGGCAAATAAATAGATACTGAAGAGCATACTATCTCTGGATAATGTGTGAGTTAGTGATATGATAAAAAAGAAAAATCACTATTTAATCAGTCCCTTAAAAATAAATAATAAATAAATAAAAAATACAGACTATAAAAAAGCTAGAAGCTTTTACTGACAAAGGCCTGGCTGTATACCTCCTGATTAAAATGGCCCAAGCATATTGTGGCGATTAGAAAGGACTGACCATTTCCATGAAATTTCGATTAATTCCATAGCCCTAGACAAAAGCTGCACCAAATTGACTATTCACCAAAATATTCAGGTCAAATCAATCCCTACAACCTAGTTTCAGTGTTGTTAGTGTAGTGTTCAGCCTGACAGAACATTAATTTGGATAAAAGCTACTGCTATCCCTGCTCCCTGAATGTCTCAGGGGCAGTTTGTCAGAGCTTATATAACTGTGAGTCCACGCGTTCACATTTATTCTTCTTTTTATTTTCAGTGGGATACACTTGCAGAATCTAGGCCACATGTCCAACGGAAACCATAAACCATGACTAATCCAATATAGTGGAAATATGGTTTTCCACAGTAAAAGGTGAACTGGGAAAAAAATGAGAAGGACCTAAGATGTTTTTCTCATTATTTGCTCTTGAAGGTTTACTGATGTTTAACGATCACACATGAAAGACAAGTTAGAAGCCCTCTGGACATCAGACAGCTGTATTTGTCAGAAAAGTCTCAGTAAATAATGCCGCACACTGCTGAACACATAAAGAGGCACAATCCTGCATAAAACTGGGGCAATTACAATGCTGGTAAACTGAAAACAGCAATTATAATAGGGGGACAAGATAATACAGGATAATGAGGATGGCACCAATTTGGCTGCAAAAAATGAAAAGATGAAAAGAGAGGAGATATTTAGTTTTGGGGCTGAAAAGGACCTTCAGTAACATTCCTGTCACTGCCTGCTTTGTTTGTTTTTAGTCTTATCAGTGAAGACAACCAAGAAGTCAAACCTGTCTTCATCTTGGCGTGAGGTGGAAATAGTCTTATGTAATGTTTTCTCAAGTACAGCTTGAAGAGTTGGTGGCAAACCTCACAACGGTGCATGTGCAGTCATGGTCTAATGCACAAATTAGCGGACGCATAACTATATAGGTATATAAATAGAAGTGTAAATGGGGTCCAAGAATAGATTGAATAGCATGACTAACATATATACAGTGCAGTCTTAATTTGTGCAGTTTCTGTTTAGCTCTGAAAGAATGCTCTCCCATAATCACCAATTACACTCTGACTGATGGCAGCATGTGTCTATGATCTAAAAATAGATCAGTTGTGATAACAGCTGGGATGCAAACACTTACATTGAACTGCTTCTCAAATAGCATGCTTGATTTTTGTTGACACGTAACCCAGACATTCAACATCAATATAAAGTGAGTTGAATCACTGAATGGTTACATTTGTTATTTGAAGATGTTCGTGGCTTTTTGCATAAATTCATCAGTAACTGAGCTTGATTGAGGCACGTTGTTGTCCTTTCCCTCAATAACTGCTGAATCATTGAACAGCTTTGTACTAGTGCCATCTGGTGGCTGTGGGTTAAAATGGGTTAAACAAGCATGAGATTATGTTCTGCTTTACAACGCAAGGAAAAGACTAAAATGTTACATGACAATATAAGAGAATTAATTAAACTAGACTTGGAATGTAGATTTCTTTCATAAAAGTAACAAATGTTAGTGCACAAGGTATTAATGACTTAATTCAGTTTAGGCTTTTGGCTTTTACGCAAAATTAACACATTTAGTATGTTGCTACTTAAAAAAAAAGAGAATAGAAAGATATTTTAACAAATTAACCTGCAGTGGAGCATAACACTAAGTACTGCATTATGGGCTGTGGGGAGTTTACTTTTTTGCTCCTTCCTTCATTACTAACTGATTAGCAATGTTACAGAATCAATGTAACTGATAGTTAGTAACTAACTAGTTAGAAACAAAAAAAAAAAAAAAAAAATATATATATATATATATATATATATATATATATATATATATTATATATATATATATATATATATAATATATATATATATATATATATATGTATATGTATATAATATATATACATATATTCTAACTACCTCGTGGATAGTAAGAGGCTGTTGAAAATACGTTAGAAAAAAATATACATACACTTCCGTTTACTTTAAATTTAGCATAGAAGTCTTATGTAAGAATAACCATGTAATTAGAAGAGAAAGATGAATGAGAGCTAAAAATGGAGTAGGGAGCATAAAAGCATCCTAGGAGACTTTGAAAGCCTCAGCTCTTAGTTACAAAAGATTAACAATAAAAGAAGTGAGTAGCTACATCACCACCATGGCAAGACAGGTTCAGTTAGCTATTTATAGGACACTACAAATATCCAGTTGAATGTGCAAGGCTAGAATACTGTAAAATGATGATAATTCAGAGATACATCAGTCCCAGTTAAAATAAAATAACTTTGTGTCTACAAGTTGGAACATGCACTAAATTCACAGGGTTCTCTCTCACTGTTTATTTAATGCAAGATGTATGACCTGACCTACTCACACTTCTTTCATTAACCCAGTCCATTTGCTGCTTCTCCTTTAGATCTGAAAGGTAGAACAGTAAAGAAGCAAGTCCAGACACAAGTGCTGTCTATCCAATGCTGTTTCAAATCTACCTGTGTAACTTGTCCTGTATAAATTGATGGCGTTACAAGCTCTGTACAGCTGCATTTTTCCCCCAAAGTTTACCTTTGGCAAACTAAACATGGAGGTTGTGTTGTTTTAGTCCTTACTTGCAACTGTTCTTCTGTGGAGTGCCCTTCCCTTGCAGACTGCTGTGCGACCCACCCATGGTATACCAGCTGTGTTGAAGGTTCAGATTTATCCCAGATGCTTTTGGATTTGGTTGTTTCCTCTACTCCAAGGTGCATCCCGGTCTCTCTTCGGGACGTCCAGGCTCAGAATTGTGACCTCATCTTGCTCTGTTCCTCATGACTAACATTATCTAACCATCCTTGTATCCGCTCCCTTGCCTCTCCAGTAATTTTGTTGACAATGAGTTCTCTGGAGCACCACACTTGAATCGACTTCTCAACAGTCCCGCCTCTTTTTCTCATCCTATATCAGTTCTCATTTACTTACACAGCAGCTTACAGTCTCTTGTTAGCACTGCCACCGCCTTCAGAAAAAGGACTGAAGAGTTGTATGCATGGCAAAGGTTAGCTGAATGCATGGGGGGAGGGGGTCAATAATTTGTTATGTGTGTATTGTAATAGGGGTCAGACTATTGTTCCAGAGAAAAGAGTTCCTTCTATTGTAATCCAAGTGAATAGAAAATCTGACACTAAAAGTGTGTAGGGGGTAGCAGAACACAGTGCCACTTGTTGTGCCCAAGTCTCTACCTGCTGTGACCAAAAGCCAACCCTAGTGACCACGTGTTTGTACAATAGAAGCTCACAAATTTTTAATGCTTAAAGTTTAGGTTAGCCAACGAATATTTGGTCAAAAACACGTGAAATCAAAACCCCCTTTTCCTTTTAAAACATAGTTGCTATACCTTCTTCCTTTTGATTAATCAAAAATAGCGTGAGGAGAGCAACATATCCCCCTTTAAGTGAAAGAACTTCTTCCATTCATCACATGATCCGCTATGCAGCTACACTACACTACACATGAACTTTTCAAAACACTAGCATCTTTATTACTCTTTTTTAGTTATAATACCCACTCGTTATCTGATGGCGCCAATATTATGTTATTTCATGAACCTCTAATGGAAGAGTAATAAAGACAGACTACTACCATGGAAGTATAATCAAATCTTATTATAGGTCCATGACTGCAATACAAAAAACCCATTGATTTGTTTCAATGGCTCTTTAAAGACGCATGCGCAGTCATTATGACACTACGCCAAGCTCCCATGGTTTCAGCATGCCCTCAGTGATTAATGACCACATATACGAAAGATGAATCATTGGCATTACTAAGATCTTAAGTCAGTCAGTAATAATTCTGTGTTATGCGAATGTCAAATGAATGGACACGGAACGTATTATCGAGTAGATTTATTAGTATGCTATTTTGTGTTCACTGCGAAAATATTACAACTTAAGTGTTCCTGTAGAAAAGTTAAAGAAAAAATAAGATGATGACTGATCATGAAATGACAAACCAAAACAGTACTATTCTCAGTGCAAATCCACCATTATAAATGAAAGACAATTCTGACAATATATTATTGTTATTTGTCAACTGTTAAATGTTTTCAGTCTTTGGCATAAAATAAACAAAAAAATCTAGTTTCAACAGCAACCAGTAATTGTTTTGAACAGTCCGTGGTAATTCGGAATCTGAAGGCTGCACAAGACAAAGCTAATCTTTCAACTAAATAAAAACAGACACTAATATGATCATGATTTTCAATGAGGCAAGACATTAAAGAAATTACTTCAGTATTATTCTACTGAAAAAAATGCAGCTGCCGAGCATGTTGAAACACATCAATAATTATTTTTCAGAGGTCAAACATATTCAGGTGCTAAAAATATAATAAAGATACATGATGAGGTCTGAGAGGTTAAGAGATAGATAGTATAATTAGTTTCTTTTCAGTTCATTTGTTTTACAATAGTGTTAATGTCTTTATGTAAAAGCATTTTAAACTAATTTAATACATACACAAGGTGTTTATGGTTGTAACATATGCAAGCCTTCCAATAACTTCCTACACAGCATATATTTAGAATGATAATTAAAAGGATATGTAAATAAGGGAGCTAAAGTGCATTGCAAAAAATACCGAAAAGTGCTGAAATAAAATTACATTTTCTGAGTTTGGGGTAGTGGGCGCCATATCCATACAAACTACTCACATATGGTAAGGCAAGAAAGAGACTGAAAACGTCTAACTTCAATACTGTTGAGGTTGGTCAAAAGCCACACCAAGTTTGTCATATATTTCCTTTAGAACCAGAAGTGCAGTATCCTCTGACTCCCTAAAAAAAGCAAAAGATCACAGTGCATGAGAAACAACAAAACAAGACAGTTGGCCATCTAAATAAATGACTCACCAGTAACACAGGTGGGACTGGATAGCAAACAGGTATTCATTGAAGCTCTCAATGGGTTTCTCTTGAAGAACATAGTCTATTCTACGCCCTCCATTCAACATGCCCATTTTGATCTGCGGTTGCTCTGGCTCCTCTGGGGAAACTGGGAACTCTGCCTCAACACATTCACCTGCAGGAACAAGAGTTGGAAAAATGAGCCCCGACATGCTCCAAGCCCCCAATACAAAATCAGTGAAAAGGGCAAAAGAGCGCCTGGAGTAGAGCCTTACATAACACAACCCTTTAGAGGAAATAAATTACCCTGTGCATCTTGTAGGTTTCCCTCTATTGAAGAGTCTCCTGCTTCAACTGGTGGCAAAGCAGCAACAGGGAGTCGAGCAAAAGACTGCCATGCTGTCCGCAAGGAGCCTAAGACATTATTTTTTATGTCCATGCCCATACGAGTTAGGCTGTCCTTCAGTTCTGTATATATAAAAAATGCATAAAAGCACAATCCACTTAGTTGTTTACTAATTAAAAAGCAAATGTTACCCAGATGCATCCTCTTGCGGCCTTTATGGTGAGGTATGAGCATGGGCTCCAAATCCACATCTGACACAATCATGGGCTCTATCCGATAAGCTACAGGATCATACTGCATTGTAAATAAGAACTCTATTAGTCTGAAAAGCATATATAAAATTAAATAATAATAATAATAATAATAATGATAATATAGGATCTTACAGGGTGATAGATGTTGTAAAAACTCTTGCAGGTTGGAAAGGTGTAGTTTGGATCAATGCGTTTAAGCCCACGCACAGTCAAAAACATCCCGATGGGAGAGCCAAATGCAAAAAAAGTCTGTGGATGGAATGCCAGCTGTGGGTAGTCAATGGAGACCTAAAATGCAGCAATATTGTTACTCATTAGTTATTCTATAAAAAACAAAATAAAAATGGATCACATTTTGTTTCAGAGACATGAAAACAACACAACACAGGGCTGAGAGATGTTTCACAAAAAAACATGACTGGTTTCCAATCATGCAAGACGGACATCTAATGATAGTGATCTTTGAGAGCTACCACGTTAAGACCACACTAAGATAGTGTTGAGCTGAAAAGCTAATGTGCGACTTCAGGTCAGACAGACACACCTGTCCCTTCGCTATGCCTCCACTGGTCTGTCCCGGCAAGCAGGGAAGGAGAAAACCAGTAATGTAATGGTTTTATTGAATATGCTACATTTTAACAATGCTCTCTGGAACCCTAATATCCCTCTTTGTGTAATAGTATTTACCTGACCGATGCCTACATCAAAGTGCTCATAGTCAACAGCACTGGTGACAGATTGGGCTCTGTGCAGCTGGGACTGCTGCGTCACCAACCCTGAAGATTGATTATCATTGTGATCGCTGGTGGACGAATCCTGAGAGGAACCATGAAATTCCGGTGCCAGAACCACTGAACTTTGCCTGGAATCCTAACAACGGAAAGTAAAATAACACAAAATTACAAATGATGTAATTTCTGTCAAAGTACACAGATTTAGTTCAAACAAGAGTTCCAAATACTCATAACAAACCTTTGGGAATACTTTTCTTCTGGCAGCATTTAAGATCTTTTTACGAGGACCAAGAGGAATTCCTAAATCTTTAAGGTCATTGTCACAACATAGAGCCTAAAATGAATAGAAAGAAAAGATGATAATCACTCGATCTGTATGTTTATGTTTATCTATTTACAAGAGTTACCAAAGATTCAAGATCCAAGTCTTCAGCCTGCAGAAGTCTAAGGTACTGTTGTAAGCCCATGTGGGTCAGAAACTGCCCCAAAGTGTCATGTTGTGCTCGACAGCTTGACTCTTCCCTCTTCTAAAAAAGAACCAAAAAAAAAACATATTATTTTTATATGTATGTATGTGTGTGTATATGTGTGTGTATATATATATATATATATATATATACATACATACATATATATATACATATATACACACATATACATATATATATACATACATATATACACACACACATATATATATACAGACACACACACACATATATATATGTGTATATATATATATATACACATACATACATATACACATATATACACATATATATACAGATATATACATATACACACCCCCACACACACACACACACACGCACGCACACACACACACACAGTGGTGATTATAATCCTTATAATACTTTCACTGTGTTGGCCTCCGATCCAGTCTTCTGATTTGTTAACATGTCAAATAGTATCAGTGAGCCTACATGGTAAAAAATATGTCAAATGTCTTATGTTAAATAGTGCATATTTTTTTTGTGTTATATGTAGAATTAAAAACCCACCCAGGCTGTGGCCCACAATAGAAACTGCCCCTTTAAACTCTGGATGTCGCTCTTTAAATAGTGCATGCAGCCTGTTGATCTCTGAGGCCACAGTGTCCACTATAGTCTGACAGTATGTGGGGCTGTTATAGAAAAACAGGTCCAGTAGAGTATCATTGGTGAAGTGTCTCAACCGACTAATACTGGGCAAAGTTATGCGCTGGATGTCCCTGATAAAAAAAAAGAAAATAGGTTACAGAAACTGGGTTATTGTTATGTTACCTAGATGTAGCATTTGACACATACTCATCCACCCCAGTTGCATCACCGTGTAGAGCACTGTGCCAATTCACAGGAAGAAACTCAACTCTCCCTATTTTGTCCTCCAGCTGAGCTCGTTTGTAATGAGAGGCCAGAAGGGACAGAGATGCACTCCTGAAATCATTAACTGAAAACACAACAATTTAGGCCATATACAATTAACTCACATATGTATTCAAATCATATGTACTTGTCATTTTTGCAACGCACCACACTGTATGATAGATCTGAAGCGTAGATCGCATGCAGGACCAATGCCATGAACCATAAAAACAAGATGGTCAACATTGTCTGGTTCACCTGAAAATATGTGTTTGAAATTAAACAAGCCAATAAACTATGAATACTTGTATGAATTCAAGTGAATACCCCATACCATCAGGTATTTCTACAGAAATGCTGTCTACGCCTCTCTTTACTGTTCTGGGTCGAGTGTTCTCTGATGGGGAGGACACCCACTCATCTTGTGCAAATATTGGTTGATATTGCATTATGAGCTAATTGTGAGAATAAAATAACATAATTAGCATAAACTAAGCACACCATATTAAAACAATGTCAGATTAACATACTTTAGGGTTGTGTATTATTACAGTTTCTCCTGTGGGAAACTCCAGCTTTTTTTTCCACTCATCTTTGGTTATTGCTTCCTTATAGGCATCCTTAAAATTAAAAAGGATCAAAACAAGTAAAGCAATACACTAAACATCAAGAGTTCATAAATTAAAGTAATTCTACCTCTAAACTCTGACTAAAGTCTTCAGAGTAGGGCATGAATCTGGTGTCTTTATCTCCTTTGTAGAACCAAGTGCAACGGCGGACCTCAGTGGGTGCTTGTTCCCAGTACACAGCAAAGCGCTTTCTCTCATTAATGTGCACATCATATCGCTCTCCATCCACAGCCACCAGTACTTCCTGACTACTCCCTAATGGAAACAAAAGGTAACATCTATTATGTATTAGATAGTAATATGTTATCAACATCATTGATATACATTATAACCATACTAAACAACATTTGGTTTATGGTCTGTAGGTGACGCAAGTCAATGGCCCTTAAGGAAGACACACATAGTAATATTATAGGGTATGCTGACACACTCTAACCAGAAATGTTCTATTGAACCACATCCTCCTTGTTGAGAGAGTGGTAACTATTTTATCATTGTAATCTATTGGCTATGGCTGGCATGGGGAATAATGGTGATAAAAATCAAATTGTGATCTCATCCCTGTGACAATCTGCTATTTATATTTTCCCACCCACCTTTCTGATTGGTTAGCTGTATTTAATCAGTTTAAACTTTCAGAAGAAGATTTAATCAACTTTGTGAAAGCAAGGGATTAAAACAAAATTGTAATCTGGCTCTAGGGACTTCATGATAATAGTAATATTTTTAGCCATCCCATCAATTAACTATTGTAAACACTTAATATGTAATATATGGCACTATAGAGTTTTTAGGCCATACTTGAGGTGACAACAATATGACTACTGGACAGCTGGATCAGTTAAGCACATCAGTGATGTATTTTCTAAGTTTTACATTTGGCACAGAAGATTTTTTTTTTGACAATGATGCTATCGGTGAAGGTGTGTGCAGCTTTGCTAAGCAGAAGGAATCCCAACAGCAGTGGATAGCACAATGACAAAAAGCAGAAGTACTTTAATTGGCACCAAACTGACAGGTACAGTGTAAACTTTCCTAACAATTATTTAAAATGGATGTTTTATTTTCCTTTTTCCACATTAAAATGGTGCAATGTTTTACTTACCAGTGTTGTAAGCAGACTCTAGTTTCACAGAGTCCACTAAGCTGAAGGGTTGCCAAGATGTGCTGTCATCAGCACGCCTACAGAAAAACCAGTGAGGCCGAACCTCCTGGTAGGGAGCAGGTGGTGCCTCCATGTCAAGCATCTCAAAAGAAGAAGTGGAGGATGGTGAAGCCTCATCTACAACAGGGGTCACCTGAAACAGAGTCAAAATAATTAGCACTTTATGATTCTAAAAAAAAAAAAAAAAGTTTGAAAATGTATTAAAATTTACACAATTCAGAGAAAAGTAGCAGTAACAGTTGTGTTAAACTCAAATGTGTAAAGCACATGCATATGCTCACACTGACCTTGTCTTCTGGTGATGTATCAGTGGTCTCAGACTGTGAGTTATTGTCCAATAAAATGGCTGTGCCTGGTGGGGCAGGTGGCTGCAGACCCCCGTCCTCATCGGGACAATCTGACATTAGCTTCAATTCCAGGCCACCGCCCCCTGCTCAGACTCTGAGGGACAAATTTGGCTGTTTGGAGATGGGAAAGGGCACAAGCATGTTATATTACACTCTAAACAATACTTTAGCTATATTTGATTTATTTGTGTTATGAGGCCTGTTTAAAATCCAACATAATGGCCATTATTGCAAGCATCAACTAACTTAGGTTCATACAACTATTGACAGCAGGTGACATAGAGCTTCCACACCCTCTGCATGATAATCTATTGTTGCCATAGAGTGCATACGTTTAATTGGTTTCGATAATAATATTAAGGTGTACTCGTTTATCTATAATGGCTTTCTTTATATAACTTCTCGTCTATAAAGCTACATACATCGGACTATGCTGTGCTTTGACATGACGGGGTCATGTTAGCAAGTTACAAAGCTAAGATGGCAAATAAGCTACAAAGTTACCTGACCTAAATAAACTTCACTGTGCACAATTAACATTTATGTACTATGCAGTAAACGTACCTACTGCTTCACTATGAACGAAGTTAAACTGGAGAAGTTGACATCGCTGTTTGTGTTTAGCTTGCTCTGCGTTAGCTAACGAAGGACAGCCCCCACCTCCTGTCAGAGTGTGGTGTGTTCAAGTGTTATGGAAAATACACAATTCAACATGATTGACTTAATATCTTAATAAATAATACATGTATATTTTAAAGTATACATAGAATGATAAAAAAAATTATAATCAAATCAATGTTTAATCAAAAGATGATGAATAATTTAACTACTTATTTAACATAACATAGGTCGTGCGAGCTGCTTCAGTCCCGCCTACTACTAGCTACCTAAAGTAATGAATATATAATTAGGAGTTGTGACGATTTAAAAATGTTTTGCAAGCTAAATTAATCTGCTGACTTGATAGTTTACACTATTACATTGGACATACAATTAGCTTAGTCATAAAGTAACATCTAGACTTCTGCAGCTAAACTCAACATGATTCTTGCTATGAGATAGAAATATGCCAAGGTAAGTGAAAAGGGTATGCAAGTTTAAACCTCTGGATATTATTGTAGCACGTGCACACACCCCTTAGAAAAATGTTTATAAGCAAAGGTAAAGCAAGCAAGCAATTAAAAGATTAAATGCCCATTAGCCCATTTTTAGTCTTTTGTAGAGACCTTCAGCCTTACATTAGAATTATACTCTACAAGTAATATAGCTCAAAACAAAACTGAATCATTGGACTGCATTTTTTTGTAGTTTCTAAGCACTTGGGGGTGGGGCATGTGCAGGAGTGGAGCTTGCCAAGAGAAGGAAGACTACTGCTTTAGACACACCCAGTCCAACAAAGTGAGAGACCAACACAGAATAATGAGCTTGTGTGGAGCAATAAGAGGGTGTGGCTTTTTACACACAGAGAGCAGATAAGCTACGTTTGCCTAGCATAGAGGGGCAGGAGTCACAGTCCTGAGCAGGGAGCAGTAACTAACTCTGCTACATACTTCTGCTCTCTTCACAGTTTTCCTGGTATTCCCCGGAAGCCATAACAACTTGTACAGTCTAGGCAGAGAAGGAAACTTGAGAAATTCCAACACGAAGACATGAAGGACAAAGTCAGGAGAGGAGGAGGCAGAAGTCAGGCCAAGAATGGTAAGAAATGCATTTTCTCTCTATCCCTGACTCTCCTCCTATTTGCTGCAATCCTTTATCTGCCACCTCCCTCACAGCATAATATGAAAGAGAGTGGGAGACGTCACACTACTGGGTATAGCCTATTTTATGCTTTTCCCAACTTCACAACAACTAGGTACCAGCAATTTCAGTAAATAATTAACAAGTAATATTTCTTTAACTTCAGATAGCTGCTGCTACCAGTTGTGCACTGACAGACTACCTCTACTAGAACCACTTGAAAAACACCTAAAACCAACAATTTAATCTATCTACTGTATATATCATAAAAATACCCACCTAAAAGTATGTGTAGCATTGTCAGTGGTGTTTACCATTTCAGTAAAAACACAACTGGTTTAACAATGTACCTCAGGTATTTCCTAGATTCCGTTGCCAAATCAACTACTGGCTGCAGAAAACAATGCTGTATTCTTAGTAGTAGTAACTTGCTCCAATAAATGCACAGAGAATCTGCAGAGAGGAGGGATCTTTCTTTAGCCAATCACAAACAGAATCCTTTTGGGTGTCTTCCAGAGGTTAACTAGTCCCAGAGTGACAGCAAGAATTAAGGAATTACAGTGCAAACAATACTATACTACCACAAATAATTAAACATAGTAGTCATGCAGGTGTACTATCCATGCTTCACTGACAAACTATAGTTTATGTGTTTAAGAGGCTCAACATGCCCGCGCAGGGTGTGGCTGTCCCTTCACCCTGATGACATGAAGGCCAGTAGGCAAATTCAACAGGTTAAGTCACACTACAGGTTGAGGAACACGCTGAGTCCTGCTTAACTGATGAATCTTCATAGCTAAAATAAAGACACACCCACTTTCACTAAACTCTGCATAGTTCATAAGTCACCTTTGGGCACTCTCCCATAGAACCTCATGTCAAGATTTTTTGCGATTAGTATATTTAGTATATATTTACATCATAAGTTTTTAATGGCCTTTTAATTATCTTTTTAAACTGGGAGGATTTATTGTATAATGACCAACCAAAACATAAATGCACCACCTCACAAGCTATTGAATGCGATTGTTTGTGTTTTTTCTTGTACCAGATGACACAAGCTCTACCAGTACAGATCTGAAAAAAGATGAGGACACTTTCTCTGTAAAAATACAGGGGGCAGGAGTGGAGCAGTTTGAACTGCAGGTAAGACTTGCATTTCAGTTTAGGCAGACCATAGCCATGCAATGAACATGCCTGTGTTTAATTCTTGGTAATTCTTTGTAGGTGCATGGATTCTGGCTGGTTCAAGATGCCATAATGACTTTGCTTTCAAGGGATGAAGTGTTTCCACGTTCAAATCTGTCCCTGTCTCTCGCTGGAGCAACTCTTGACCCCGTCTCACAAATGCAAAATCTTAAAGGATTCAAACCTGGATCTATTCTTCGTCTAACTGAAGGTACATTGCAGTTACACATTACAATGGAGCTACCATAATTCTTATATTGTAAAATATAAAAGACCAACAAAAAAGATGCAATTTCATAATGTTTCATAAGTAGCAACATGACTGAGTGGTCCAAACGCTCCCCCATAGCTGAATTACCTGAAATTGAAACACTTAGTCTTTAACTTAGTTAAAGAGTTGTTAACTCTCCCTGAGACTTCATGTAGGCTTTATTGTCAAGTGTTTTCTTACTACAACAAAATTAATCTAGTCACAAAAATTATTTTGTGAGATTTAAGCAATTACATTATTCATGACAAAATATCTGTACAGTTTGTGAGATGAGTATTATGAAAGAAATCCAAATAGTTCGACCTGAATATTGTTTGCCAGCTATAGTAATGATGCAAACACTTTTTGCCTCAATAGAAAGAAGTTAATTTGTGCTGAGAGAGAAGATTTAGAATTTCTGCCAGTTTTGGATTCATGTAGATATGTCCAGTAATGACCTTAAATCAGGACACATCTGCATTGTAACAGTTGTACTAAGCTGTATTCATTTTTTAATATACAAGTTTAAAAATGTATCTTTTCCTTGCATATTCCTAGAGCCATATACTGCTCACTCAGCTCGACTCCACTTGTCTCGTGTACTTGAACTACTGAGAACATCTGCACCTCAGGACGCACTGCGAGAAGGACGCTCGCCGAGTATTTTGGACACCATCACACAAAGTCATACACAAGGTGAGTACTCGTATGGCATGGTCAGATAATACTTTACTTACTATCAAAATAAATAAATAATTTGATACATTTCACCTTTCTTGTACAGACACAAGTTTACAAAATGGAAAGAACCTCAAACGCTCTTTAAGTAATACAAAAACAGAAGTAACAAATCAAGACAACACTCCTGAGTATTTACTCCCTGGTTCTCATGAAAGACCTCTGATGGCTCTGCTACCAAATAGCTCACAACCAGAGGTAAATTCATGAGATTTGAATAATTGTGAAGATGATTATAAAATAACTTATCATTTGCCACATTAGGCTCCTAGCTGTGTGAGGGACCTGAGCCTCAGCTGCTGGAATCCTCCTCCAGGACACAGAAAGATGCAGGGAGACTTCCTGTACATTACCGTGGTAACAATAGAGGGACGGCACTATGACATTACCTCCTGTCCAAAAGGCTTTTTTCTCAATAGGTATCAGTTACTTTATTTAAGCATTAACTCAATAGCAGAAGTTCTTGTGTGCTTGCCTTATCGTATGCTTCTAATTTTCAAACCACAATATTATTTAATATAGTCTACAAACAGTTTTCATGTGTCTTAATTTCAGGTCTACAGAAGAAGTGTTTGATCCCCGTCCAGCACAGTCAACTCCAGTCTGCCACTGTTTCACTGACCTTCTCTGTCACCTCAGCCCCGCATTCAAACAAGCATTTACCATTCTCAAAAACAAGTGAGATAAATGTGTTAGATCAGTTGATATGAATCAGTTGTATCCTAATGATAGGTGTAATAAAGTAGCTTTCTGTCCTTCAGGTTTCACTTGCCCCCACTTGAGGCCTTGCCCACCCCTTATCACACTCTGAGCTGGTTGGGGCCGCCCTGCTCCTCTCGCGTTCATAAAAACACATTTAGCAGACTTGGTGTGGATGAACAGCCAGCACAGGTTACTTTAAACACAAACTCACAAATTGTGATAATAGATGTGCCCCTGACAGAACCAGGGGAGTGTCTGACACATCTTTCATTGTTTAAAGGCTCCTGACTGGAATGAAGAGTTACAAGCAGCCAGAGACCTTCCCCAAGGAAGCCTGGAGGAGAGACTGCAAAGAGACAAAGCTCTGCTACAGGTATCAACAAACACTACGGCCATCCTTTCCTTTAGACTTCTGTCAGGGCACTGGTAACTCTATAGTAATTAGAGCCCGACCGATATATCGGTTGGCCGATATTATCGGCTGATATTGGCAACTTTAGGCATATCAGCTATCGGCCGATATGCTTGCTGATAGGGGCCGATATTTCACGTGGGCATGTTATACCTCGTTATAAAGCTTAGACTCTCTACATTCTGTTCATTTAGTCCAATTTACAGACAGATAAATGTCCTAATATGCGGCTCCACATCAGTATTTATCTACGGAGTCATTTGTCTGTGTGTGTCAGTACTGTCCCTGAACACACCACAGAGTAGCGTCACTCACATGTGTTTGTTTACACTCGCAGATACAGATCCAAACACTGAGATTATATTCTTTTTACGGACAATCGGTTGAGTCTGGATTAAAAGGACATTTATTAGTGCAGATTTGTGATGTGAGGAGGAGCCTGTAGTATGAGCGGTGAGTGTTGGAAATATGTCGACTCTGAAGCTAGTTTTTGTCATTTGTTATGGGTTAGCTGCTGTAGCTCCCGCACATAAACAGACTGTTTTCTATTGGTCTGTTCTAAAGTGACTATATTGGCCGTATATTTGCTACTGGACCTGCACTGATATGTAAATGAGCTGTGAATAGAGGTGTGAATTATGACATTTGCGCATATAATTAATTACCGCGGTGCGCACGTATTTACGGCTAAAGGCTAATAGCGCTACTTTCTTTACTAGTTATGGGTCCGTCGCGAACGAAATGACTCTTAGAACCGGCTCTTTGAAGGGAACGACGGGAGCCTGATCCTTATTGGGAGCCGTGTTTTCTCTTTCTCTCACTTTTTTTTCTCTTCACGCCGCGTGCAGATTCGCGGTTTGACAGCGGCTAAAAACGAAACTTTGAGAAATTTGCGTGTACGTAGGATTAAAAAAAAAAAAAAAAAAAAAAAAAAACGAGCATATTTGACTGTAGTTTAGCATAAAATAAATAAGTCCCGGTTTAGTCCTTTTTCAGTCCTGGTTTAGACCTGGTTCAGTCCTGATTCAGTCCTGCTTTAGACGTGCTTTAGTCCTGCTTGCAACAAAACAATCCGAAGAGCCACTTAGGAGCCAAAAGAACCAACAGCTTTTAGTGAGCCGAGCCAAAAGAGCCGGTTCTCTAAAAAGAACTGGAATACCCATCACTAGTGTCTAGAATGTGATGCAAAAATGCCATTAAGTCAACCTACTGTCTGTAAATATGATGTAAAGAGGCAGAATAACAATAAATGTTGCCTAAATAAACCCAATTTAAAATCCACCAGAGCCAAACCTAAGTTTTTTAAACAATTCAACATTTACAGTGAATTTTTACATCACTAAATATATCGGTGATTATATCGGCTATCGGCAGCTCCAACTTCCATTATATTGGTTTCATATCGGCCACAGCAAAATCCATATCGGTCGGGCTCTAATAGTAATCTCACATAAGTGACAGCTTTCACTAAAGCTTATTATCTTTTATGTTCAGGATTGTTTGTTATGTTCAGTGCAAAAACTGATCTGCATCTAAATAACTCTTTTTATCCCTGTCTAGAACAGGATCATGTGTGCCGTACTTAAAATAGTAGATAAAATACAATTTAAATAAAATGCATATCCATTCAATATTTTTTTCCTTAACTGACAGGTCAACAGTGCGTTTGTCAGAGCTGTGACTCGGGGAGCAGAAAATATCATAGATGGTTTTGTGGAACCTGTCAATGGAAATCCTGAGGACCCAGCATTCCTGTGGGACGGTCTGTTTATGAGCCAAGGAGCTGCAAGTGATGTGTTTGGTGGAGAAAGAGGTCGGAGGTAAGAAAGAATAAAACAGTTCAACTGCATATATACAACTGTGTTGCTGTGATGTCTCAACCTGTAGTTTTTGTCCTGTAGAGCGGCTCAGAGACTGGAGCTGAAGGGGGTCCAGTCCTACAGTGACATAGAGGGGCCTAAGGGGCTGCACACTCTGCCCACAGCGGTGGTGGACTACAGAGGGGTGCGTCTTTCTGCTCAGGGCCTGGCTCCAGGAATAGAAGGCTCAGAGCAAGACCAGGAAGCACCTCCAGCATCAAGGTATAATTCACCACACTATAATTTACAAAGCAGAATAAATACCTTTTTACTAACATGTGTATCCATTATGGCTAACAGAGGCCTTCTGTATGGAGTGAATGCTGGACCCCAAGAATCCCCTCAGCGCAGACGTCTACTTGAACACTTAGCACAAGCAGCCAAAGCTCTCTCCATTCAAAGACATGTCATTGTGTCTCCCAAAGGAAATGTGGTGCCACTCTTCACATCCATTGATGCACAGGGGCTTGTAGGAGCTGATCGGAGGTTTTATGTGCTTGACGTCTTTAGAAGCTTCCCCGCTGATGCCAACTTTTGTCCAGAAGCAGATAAAGAAAAGGAGGGTGTTCTTGCTGAAGATATAGACCAAGAAAATTGTCAAGATGAAGTTAAAACAGCTTTTTGGCCTGACAATTACTGTTCAGACACTGGATTTCCAAAGTCTTTTCCTCATGGGCTCTGTAGACTAAGACCAGAGTTGCTCCAGACATTTATTCAGCACAAGTAAGTTTCAGTCTTGACAGGATGACATGGCAATAAACATGTTTTTGGTCTCACTATATACTTAATTTTATGTATTTAATTTAGACATAATCAGTTCAGTCAGATTGTGAGAGAGAAGCTTGATGAAAATGGGGGTTTTGAAGAGTGTGCGGCAGCAGGTAAGCGGTCCTAAACACTACTACAGTAATGTATTTTGCTTGAAGATAAAAACTTATAATTTTTTTTCTTATGATAGGTGACTCTCGGTCTACAAATGCTGTCAAAGAAGCTTGTAAAGAAGTGGGTTCAGTCAGTGATATTATTTTTGAGATGCGCTTCAATCCAAGTATTTACGCCCCAGGTATGGACTGTGAAATATGCAGTTACTCACAAATATATTCTTTGTTTATTTGCTGTGCTTTGACCTCTTTCAACTTAGGGGTGAAATTCCCTCGTACTGAAAATGCATCAACAAATCTGCAGAGGAGGTTACTGCAGGAGGCATCAGCCTTCATAATCACACATCAGATCCCTGCTTTTGTAAGTCTAATATTAAACAGATAAAATTATATATAATTTTGTATTTATTGTATCTTGTTTGTGCAAATAGGTGGATTATTGTTTAGAAAATAATGAAGTTCCAGTTGATGGTGCTTCCTTGAAAAAGGCCCTACACCATAAAGGAATCAACCTTCGCTATTTGGGTCATGTGGTTAAGGCTATCAACCAATCGGAAGACAAGGAGAGACTAAGGCACATACTGGTACAGTGCAGATTCTTCATTGCATGTGTGTGAATTACACATGTGGAATTTAACATCAATTAACCATTTCTCTTTTTTATTTGTGTCATCAGAGGACAGCAATCAGTGAAATCTTTATACGCTCAACAAAAAGAATATTCAACAGCTTTGTGCAGGTACTTAGTGACATTTGCTTTTGACCTTTTTTACTTTTGCTGTTATTACCTGGAGCAAAGTGTGAGCAGCAGGTGAAAGCTCTTGACTTGAATAGGAATGTATAAAAGCCTGGGGCCTTGTCTGTGCAGGGTGTGGATGTGTCAAGTCTCTCTGCAGCTGTCAGTCACTTCCTGTGCTGCCTGTTGGTCCCACACTACACACCTGCTTCCATTGGGGACGACATGAAAAAGAAATCACGACGAAGGGGCCGTGGGGCTGGGCCCTCTGAGAGCACACCTTGGAGCACTCTGACAGCAGCGGAACTCTGGAACATGGTGTGCCAGGATGCAGCCGAGACATATGGCATCTCTGACATACTAGGGTATGGCATGGGACGTTTACATGTCTTTTATAAATCTCTATGCAAGAAAAGAATCTTTAATTTGGTTATATTTGTTACAGCACTGGCCCAAGCCACCTGGTTGAGCAGTATGGCCTTCAGAAACTGTCTCTGCTTAGGGAGTTTTGTTTGAAGACTGGAGTACAGGTGATAATATGCTATTCATTGTAACAACTTAAATATTCTATAACTGTGGCAATATACACAACTGAATTCATTTATATATTTGAATATCATCTTCTTGCTCAATAGTTGAGGCTTAAAGATTATTTCCTGGACAACCAAAACAAAGCTCCACTCAATCCAGATGATATTCTTAACATCTTCCCTGTTGTAAAGCACCTCCACATGCCGATTGTAGATGCATCAAAGGCTTTTCGCACAGCCCAGATCTCATTACAGAAAGGTACAATTTCATTTTGTCGGTTTATTCCTCTGACAACATTTTTATTAATTGAACGTTGTACCAATCATTGCAGGTCTCTTGGATCAAGCTTATGAGCAGCTGAAAGAAGCTACCTACTTATATGGCCGGGTATGTGATGATCTTCATCCTGAGGCATGTTACTGTCACAGTGTTCTTGCCAGAGTGGCTTTCCTCAAGGGCAAGTCAGCAGAGGTATGTGGTATAAGCACACACTAAAACACAATGTTAAGTTTTCTTTAGAGAAAAATGCATTCACTTTTATGCTGCAGGCTCGTAGTATTCAACTAAAAGCAGTAGTTATCAGTGAAAGAGTGGTTGGTTTTGACCATCCAGACACTATCCAGCAATATGTGAGTATTTTTATTTGTATCCTGTGAGATTACACTAGGTCTGTCTGACATGTACATGCTTGTATTTTATATGTAGGCACTTTTAGCTGTGTACATGCATGCTGGAGGAGAGACGGCACTGGCTCAGAAATGCCTGCTAAGAGCACGTCTTCTAATGCTCACAGTCCATGGAGAGGATCACCCTTACACTGCTGCATTAGATGTGGGTTTACATAATCTCCTGTCACGGTTTGATCAAATATATGTTATAATATATTATACAACAAATGGTATTATCTTGCAGAGTTGTCTGGGGCTAGTGATGACAGGGAGTCAGTCAGAGCAATACCTTAAGAATGCACTCAAGCTCAACATATCCTTCTTTGGAGCCACTAATCTGAACACGGCTCTCAGGTATGTTTTTATCTAAAAACACCTCTAAATACAAGCATTTTATGAATAACATTTTCTTTTGTAGCCAGCACCTCTTGGCCCAGTTCATGTGCAGCAAAGGTGACTATAGAAGTGCTATGGCACATGAAAAAGAAGCGCTTTCAGCATTTACCTCTATGGTCTGTATTTGATGTTGTACAAAAGATTTGACGATCTACTTGTGAGCAAAATATTAAAAGTAATCCTCTCTCTGTACAGTTTGGAGAAGATCATGCTCAGACTCGCTGCAGCACAGAGTTTCTGGGCACCATAACCAAACAAGCTGTATGGGTGGAGAGGTCTATCAGACAAGCTGGACCTGATTGTTTTGAGCAAACAGTAGAGGTACATTTTAGTATTAAATTCAACAGTTCAATTTCCACTGTATCAATTGCGTATCATTTTTAATAAAAAGGATAAATGGAAATGGAGAAGATCAAAAGGGTGTAAATATATTATGCATCTAGTACTAGTATTTTTTACAAATATTTGGATTCTATTTCAGATTTTTTTTTTTTTTTAATAGCATTTGAGATAAGTATCTGCAAAATATTTTTTAATAGTCATGTTTATAACAATTACAAAAATTCACATTTAACCCTACCATTAACTTAACTTTCCTTAGTGTCTCACTCCGACAGCTGAAACGATTTTGGAGCAGATGGTTCTGGTCACAGGAATCAGAAAGATTGTGGAGAGGTAAACTTTTGAATCATGAATGACAATGGCAAATCTGCTGCAGGGATGAATTTGAATGCCCTTAGGCAGGATTCCTTTTTTGAAATCTTTATTTTTCAGTGACAGGTTCCAGGAGTATAAGCTGAAACATAAGGAAAGAAAAGCTGCAGTGGCGAAAGAAGTAATTGAAAGTTTACTTTCAAAGGCCAGCACTTCAGAGAAAGCCAGCAAAGACGAGAAACAGACCATAAACCAAGAAAAAGAAAGCACAAACAAGGCTGCGAACAGTGAGGACATAGAAGCTGAAGAAAAAAAAGCAAGTGATAATGAGCCATTTGGTGAGACAAATGATGTGGATTCAATTAGTAGTGACACAGGTGATGCAGGTGGATCCGATTCACCAACAGATGAAGAGACCAAAGATAAACAAGAGGCTGACGGTTTAAACGGAGAAATCAATGAAGCCACTGAGACCGTTGCAAATCCGTCGGTTCTCAAGGCCATGACTTGGGCTGATGTTGTCTCAAAGCCAGTTGTAGCAAATGGACCAGTGGGCAATGTCCCAGTGGTTAATGGGGGCTTAGAGATGGCCCAAAACAGTGAGCCTGAGGAATAAAAAATGAGGGCACAGAAAGTATGACAGCTGTCCAAGATATCCAATTGTGTTTTGATTCCCAAAAGAATGAAGAAAACAAACCACAGGTGTTAGAAGACAAGTATTACTGCTCAGAAGATGGTGTTCGTATAAAAAGGCTTTTACTTCAATAAACTTTTTACTTTTTTGGAAAGAGAGCAATGTTTATTTTCCAGCATCACATAAGATTCAAAACATTATTCATGAATCTATATAGTGTAGCATATTAGTAGACATTTTAATTCCCTCATAGGCTCTTTACACTTAAGTGCATTTTATTTTGCATTCACATCCCTCTATATATGACACATGCTCTTAAGATAAAAAGTGTAAAATGATAACAAGTGGGACCAGCCCATTTTTTAATAATGTAAAATACATGACTAGTAATTTACAATATTATCTCTGTTGGTCCTTGCATACAATCTCTAAATCAGCACAGTGTTCATATTGTGGCTCTGGTGTGTTTACCCAAGTGGACTCTGAAAGTTCATTTAAACTACCAGTAGGGAAGGTAATGACTGCAGTATCACTGAAGACGTCGATCATGTGGGATGGACAAGGAAGCAGGCTCTCCTTACACACAGCTGTTATCTGGCTAATGTAACTGTAATCCCGGTTAAATTCTCTATCAATTGTTCTGTAAAAAAAAAAAGTTAGGTAACATTTTAGTTGTTGAATTAATAAATTAATAACACAGTAACACACCTTTCCTTCATACTACAGAAACTGTTTCCGATAATAATGATTTCAGTCAGACAGTGTTTACTCCAGTTTTTCCACAGAAGGTTGTTGTAAAGGGCTTTCCCACAGTGCATCAAGTAAAAAATGGTTGGTTTATCGACTTGCCGCTTTCCTTCCTGCAAGAAAATTAAGTCATGAATAACTTTATATATATATATATATATATATATGGTAAATGGTCACATTTTTCTATAGCGCCTTTCCACCTCCAAGGCACTCAAAGCGCTTTACAACAAGGAACCACTCACCCATTCACACACACATTCACACACCAGTGTACGCAGACACTGTGGGCAAGGTGGGTTAAGTGTCTTGCCCAAGGACACAACGGCAGCATTCATCTGTGGGAGCTGGAATCACACCAGCAAACCTGTGGGTCAGTGGATCTAACTGCTCAACCTGTGATGTTTATGTCGCAAGCTGGATTCGAACCGCCAACCTTTAGATCAGTGGGCGAATGCTCTACCAACTGCTACTGCCGCCCATATATATATATATATGGGCGGCAGTAGCTCAGTTGGTAGAGCATTCGCCCACTGATCTAAAATTAACTGCATAAACAACAGAAAACTCCTACCTCATTCTCTGTCAACACAGTCAGTCCGATTCTTTTTAAAACATCTTTCTCCCCAGAAGAAAACACAGGATCAAAGACCAAGCAGTCACTTAGTTCAATCTAGAGAAAGTATAATTATATAATATATAATAAATTACACAAATTGACTCTTGTGAGCTTTAAGACATATTAGAACATCATAAAAAACATACCTGGAGTTGTGTTTTGTTTCATTCACAGATTTTGAATAAGCCTTCATTATTAGTCAACATCTTAGAAGCTCAAAAACCTTGTGATGTGTCATGTGATGGCATGAAGTGGTAGTTAACAGCTTTGTTCAGTAGATTGGTAATTAAAGTCAAGGTGTATGGAGTTTTAAAACACAGCAGAGCACTTCCTGTATTACCACATCACAAGGTAAAGAGAAGAGAAGAACTCAGCCTAAATATGCAGGGTTTGTGTGTTAAACGTGTTATTGAAACAAAACAAAACTCTGGGTATATTTTTGATGAGGAAACATTATAACAGATTAGACAATAGTGTAACCTGGGGCCTTTAAGAGCAGTATGAAATATGAACATTTCAATACATTAAAAATTTATTTCACCTTCAATGCACCTAAAAGCAGCAGTAACATGGCCAGCTGGTAACGTGCAGATACACAAGAGGAGAAGGATCCCAGCCCATAACACACGCACTGCATTTGCCCAGGAGATGAGCAATAAAGGTCATGGTTAGCCACCTGAGCGTCCCTGATCTTCTCTTGAAATTGTTGAATTCCCAATGCTGCCATTAGCAACTCGTCTATGTGCAAATAAACATAACATTAGTAAAAAAAAAAAAACCAAAAAACAATAATACCCTTCAACAGTGTCTTGGAAACCTCCCATCTTCAAAAATATTTGTCTCTGCAACCATACAATGGAAAATGCTCTCACCTTTCCATTTCTCGTAAAAGGCTTCACATGTTAAATCAGAGCTAGAAGATAAAGATATTTTCGTCAGATTAATCTAATTTCGCATGCCCATCGTTTGATCAAACTCGTACACTGTTTGCCTGAGTCGTTTTTCAATCTTGTCAACGTCCAGATGTTCCTGAATGTTTGGGTCGTCTGAAGACACTTGAAGCTTCATCTTTTCAAATTTACCTTTGCGTCGCCGAGCCACCTGCCACCCCTCACTGTCTCCAGACATTTTTACAAATTACATAAACATAAGCAGAATAGAAATCATGCATATATTGGAATTGTGCACATGAGAGGCGCTAGATTCACTTGGGATTGTTTTGACTGCAACACAAAAGTTTAACTTCCGGTATCAAATACATTTTATACATAAATGGATTAATAGTACAAGTACAAGTTTGTGTAATTTAATGTACATTATATGTTTGTTTATTCATTTATATAAGTATAATATTAGTTTCAAATTTATGACTTTTTTTTTTTCACCCGGAAACACTTGTGCTTTGGAAAGCGGTGCGCCATTTGAGGAACAACTCTCTGGTATTTACTGGATAATTGATCTTTTTTTAGCCTTTGTGACAAGTTATTCATATTGACTGAAACAGGTTTGGTATTTTACATAATCCTTAATAGGTAATATTTAAATACTGGTTCATATAGTTTACGGTGACTGTTTTACTCTTAATTCGGTACATGGCAACAGCGTCTCCTGTACGTAGCCTTGTCGTTCTTGTACATTGCTCCATTAAAACACAATAATAGCAAAGATAAAACCACATAGTTGTACATGAATTTTTAGTTCTGTGCAAACATCAACTAATCTCATTTAACCTAATTTGTAAATTACTTTGATCGTACATTAGATGTCTATGTCACATCTGTATGGACGGAGAGGGGACGAGGAGGACGATGGGGTAGAAGTCGAGAGTTTTGAAGTGACAGAATGGGACCTGGCCAACGAGTTTAACCCTGACCGCCGCAGAACGAGGCCCACTAAGGAACAAGCTACCTACGGCATTTGGGCTGACAGAGACTCTGATGAGGATGAAAGACCCAGCTTTGGAGGCAAAAGGTAAGCAAATAAATAAAAGAAAATATACTTGTAAACATAAAGTATGTACTTAAGCATGTAATATATTTGTTCTCCCAGGTCTAAAGACTATACTGCTCCAGTAAACTTTGTGAGTGCTGGTTTGAGAAAGACTGCTACTGAGGAAAAACAAAAGGAAAAAGAGGAAGATGGATCTGATGACTCTGAAGATGACTCCCCCTCAGTCAAGCCTCCTCCTCGTGGCGGTGCACCCAAAAAACTTCAGATGGTAAAGTTTTTATAGGCACCCGACTGAACAGAACACAGAAGTTGTTATCCTACAGGTTTGAGTGTAAATAAATATTATGCTTTTAGGGAAATTTTCGAGGAAACCAGTTCCAGCGGTTTGCAGGTCAATCTGGACAAGGAATCGGCAGCTGGGAAAAACACACAAAAGGGATTGGACAAAAACTTTTGCAAAAAATGGGTTATCAACCTGGCAAAGGCTTGGGTAAAAATGCACAAGGTAAGCACACAACAAGAGACTGTTGATAATTTGTTTGATAATAATATGTTAATATAATGTTTCATGGAGGGAAAATTATATATATTTTCCTTTTATAGGTATTGTAAACCCTATTGAGGCCAAGGTTCGTAAAGGCAAAGGAGCAGTCGGTGCATATGGTACGGAACGAACCCAACAAAGTCTTCAAGACTTTCCAACTGTGGATTCAGATGAAGAGGAAGAAAAAGTATAGTGTAATATAGTATCAGTATTTAACTGATTTGCCGGGAGCCAATTAAATCCCACTGAAAACCTGTATTTTCAGGAGTTTCAGAAGGAACTGGGACAGTGGCGCAAAGATGCAAGCAGTGCGACTAAGAAGAAACCCAAGTACTCATACCGAACAGTGGATGAGCTCAAGGCTACAGGCAAACTGGCAGGGCGAAGTACTGTTGCGTCAGCGGGAGAGTTGGCACAGGTGAAGGTAAGCCTTGGGTAGAACAATTTCATTTTCTTATCAATGCTTAAATCTAAATAGTTGTAAATATATTCAGCTTGATCTTTTGTTTATTTGTAGGTAATTGATATGACTGGCAGAGAGCAGAAAGTGTATTACAGTTACAGTCAGATGTCCAATAAACACAGTGTTCCTGATGAAGAGCCACTAACTGCAGCCACACGGGATCAGAAAGGATCTGGATTTGCGCTCCCTGAGCTTGAACATAACCTCCAACTGCTCATTGACCTCACTGAACAGAACATATTGCAGGTATGAAAATGTAATCCTAGTACTCTGTATTAGTTTATATGTTTTAAATGTTTAATTTTTTTCGTTTTAAAATGTCTTTCTTTTTCTACAAGTCTGCAAGGCGCCTTCAGCATGAAAAAGATATGGTCACAACCTTAAATCATGAATCAAAAACCTTGCAATCCAGATTGGAAACAGAGCAGAGGGCAATACAGAGAATGGAGGCAGTCTTGACATTAGTGGAGCGTTTTCCATCAGGGGAGACTGCACCGGGAGAGGGTCCAACTTTGCATGTAGGCATACACAAAACCCATTTTTAAAACCTAACTACTAAGACTAACAGAATAACATGTGTTATATTTAATTGATTGTATGTTTTTTTTTTTTATATATATATTAGGAGTGTGCTCAAATTTTTGAAACATTACAAACTGACTTTTTTGAGGAATATAAATCCATGGGACTAGCTGATCTTGCCATTGCTATTCATCCATTGCTGAAAGAGAAACTTCATTCTTGGGACCCATTAAAAGTAAATTGTTTTGTCATTTTTTTCATATGAAATTTTAATTATTATTTTATATGGATTATATATTAATTGATTTAGAAATTGCTATGGATTTCTAATATTCTTATTGGGTCATTCCACGCCATTTTATCAAATTTCCAGAAAATCTCACACATTATGTTTTTTAAAAATTTAGAAAAAATTACCAGCTGTCCCTTGCTATCATGTACCAACCCTGTGAAATTTTAGCCATTTTCGATCAATACTTCTTAAGTTATTTTATGAGGAGGGTATGTGTCAATTTATGGGCCCAAAATGCACGTCATTTTTTTCTCGGCCATTTTCACAGGTCGATATCTCCGTAAGTATCACACATAGAGGGCTGAAATTTTGTAGGCTTGTAAGTCCTCTACTGTGTTCTAATAACATCCATTGGAAGTTTGGTATCTCAACTCATTGTCATTTTATATGAACTTAAAAATGAAAAAAAAAAAAAACTTGTTAATTTTCGTGGCGTACCATTTTTAGCCCTCACTAAATGAGCTGTAACTTAAAAAGTATTGATCGAAAATGACTAAAACTTTACAGGGTTGATACATGATAGTAAGGGACTATTTGGTAATTTTTTCAAATTTTTTTTTAGATCAAAGTGTGTGGGCCATTTGTTGAAATGGCGTGGAATGACCCTATTATCCATTTTAAATTATGTAAAATGTGATCATTTCAGGATAGCACTTACTGTCTTGAAGACATTGGACAATGGAGAGCTATTCTTGAAACAAGAAACATTCACTCCAGCACCCCAGATTCAAACATGGATCCATACCACAGGTAAAGCAGCTGGCATGATGTAATAAACAGTCATTGACTCAGAGGTTTTTTACACCATATGTTAATTATGTAGGTTGTTATGGGAAGTATGGATCCCTGTGATGAGGACGTGTGTGTCAAAATGGCAACCTCGCAATGTTGGCCCAATGGTCGACTGTATTGAAGTGTGGGCACCCCTCCTTCCCCAGTGGCTCCTTGATTATGTCCTGGAACAACTAATATTACCCCACCTGCAGAGAGAGGTGAAAAAACAGTTTGTGTAAAAACATGTACAAAAATATTGATGTACATTAACAAAAATGTAAATGTTTTCAGGTTGATAACTGGAACCCATTAACTGATACGGTGCCCATACATTCCTGGATCCATCCTTGGCTACCATTGCTGCAGTCACGTCTGGAGCCACTTTACCCTCCGATCAGAAGCAAACTGTCTAATGCTCTGCAGAGATGGCATCCTAGCGACGCATCGGCTCGTCTCATTCTACAGCCCTGGAAAGATGTCTTCACCCCAGGGGCATGGGAAGCCTTCATGGTGAAAAACATTATTCCTAAACTGGGTAAGCAATCGTAGTTGTAACAGTGGACAGTACAGGACTGCCTTTGTACAGATAATGATTTGACTATTTTCTTTAGCCTTGTGTTTAGAGGAGCTTGTCATTAACCCCCATCAGCAACAGATGGACCCATTTAATTGGGTCATAGTTTGGGAGGGCATGCTTTCACCTTCCAGTCTTGTGTCTTTACTGGACAAAAACTTCTTCCCAAAGTGGTTGCAGGTCTGTGATAATCTCTCATGATGTCTAATATCTTATAACCTTATAATCTTTTAACATAAGAAAATTATTTATTTTAATAGGTGCTATGTTCATGGTTGAGTAACAGTCCCAATTATGAAGAAATCACAAAGTGGTATCTTGGATGGAAAGGCATGTTCAGTGATGCCTTACTGACACAACCACCTATTAAGGAGAAATTTAATGAAGCTTTGGATATAATGAATCGAGCTGTCTCTTCAGGTGTGGGTTAGTATTTACTTATATAATATGATTGTAATTGTGGCCATACTGGCTTGTAAAAGCCTGATCCTGTAAGATCTCAGAAGCTAAGCAGGGCCGGGCGTGATTAGTACTTGGATGGGAGACCACTGGAAAAATCAGGTGCCACAGTGAGGAGCTAGTCGCAAAAACTGTCGTTGTGTCCTTAGGCAAGACACTTCACCTACAGTATGAAAGTATGAAAGTGGTGTGTGTGTGTGAGTGATGGTGGTCGGAGGCACCTATTGCGCCGATTGGCATGGCAGCCGCACTTCTGTCAGTCTGCCCCAGGGCAGCTGTGGCTACAATAGTAGCTTACCATCACCAGGTATAGAGTGAATGAATAATGCTGAATAATGCTCTGTGAAGTGTCTTTGTGACATATGTCTGTGAAAAGCACTATATAAAGGCTTACTTACAATGCAGTGCTTTTAATCACTGAGCTAGCTATCTAAAATGTCTCAGTAATGTAAACGTGCCTTGATATCATATTGTTGTCTGTTTATTCACAGGTGTGTACATGCAGCCTGGTGCAAGAGAAAATATTGCATACCTTACACAGACAGAGAGACGGAAGGACTTCCAGTACGAAGCGTTGCAAGAGCGCAGAGATGCTGAGAGTGTAGCTACCAGAGGTTTCAGCACCAGTGGGCCAACAAACTTCAAAGACCTTGTACAGGCCAAAGCAGAAGAAAACAACATAGTGTTTATGCCTCTTGTAGCCAAGCGCCATCTGGGCAAACAACTGTATACTTTTGGACGAATTGTCATATACATAGACAGAGGGGTTGTGTTTGTGCAAGGTGAAAAAACGTGGGTGCCCACATCATTACAGAGTCTTATAGATATGGCTAAGTGAGAATAGTCAGCTATAAGATAGATAAATAGCATAAATGTGCAAAACATATCTTTCTTGTGTAAAAGTTTTAACATTCTGTGAAAGTGAAAATAAATGTTTTAATAATGTTTATAAATGGTTTGATTTAGTATTATTTATTAATGTCATAACATTTTACATTGCAAGGTTTTTGTGGGGTGGATGTCTGTAGTTTAATTTCCAATAATCAAGAATAAGATATTAGACATTAGTAATTTTCACATTCTCCCAAATACCATAGAAATAAGAAATATATTGCACAACTAGTCTAAAAACACGTGGCCAGCAGATGGCGCACGCTTACATGACCTGTGAACGGGGCCCTCTTGACTCTGCAGAGCTTCCGTCCACCACGGAGTAGAGCAGCGCGCAGTAGTCCATTGCGAACTGATCGCTAATCTGTTTGTGATTGCTCCAGAAATGTTTTAATGGACTTTTGATCAAAAAAGGTGAGTGTTGTGCCTACAGATCTTCGGCTAGTAATGATACCCGTTTTTCAGCAATCATAATGTTGGCGATAATTACCATTCTGTGGATGTATGGATGCTACATTGTTAGCTAGGCTATAGATTGAATGTCTTCTATATGTATTATTAGATCTATTCTCCAAATCTCCAGAAAGCCAATATGTCATCAGACTTGAAGAAGCGAAAATCTAAGGTCGTCCGCAGTGAAGGAGGGACACCAGAAACGAAACGCGGACGTACCGAAGGAGAACAGCAGGTTTGTAATGCACACAAGCGTCTCATTAAGTGTTCTGTTTGTGCATTTTGCTACCCAGCAGTTGATGTTCCAAACACATGTGTTAAGAAATACTTAAACATCATTTAGGATGTTCGTATTTACAATGAGGAGGTGGAGCTGGACAGTAGAGACCCTGAACAGGACTATGCTCAGTACAAAGAATCTTGTGAAAGCTTGTCTACACTCATGGCAGAGATCCAAGAGCTGAAAGCCAATGGAGCCAAAGAAGGGGTACGTAAGACACAATGATGATCATAGTGTTAATATGTTTGGCTATTTTGATTTTTTGAGGTTATAATAAAATTATTATCTAATGATAGTCTCCTGAGGTTGAACAGAGACGTATGCAAAGCTGTATTCATTTTATGAACTTGAAAAAACTCAATCGACTTGCTCACATGCGACTGAAGAGAGGCCGAGACCAGACTCATGAGGTAATGCTTCTATAAATATTATCTGCTTGTTGTAATTGTAAATGTTGAGTTTTATTTGTTTTTTTCCCACAGGCTAAACAGAAAGTAGATGTCCTTCACCTTCAGTTGCAGAATCTCCTTTATGAAGTTATGCATCTTCAGAAGGAGATAAGCAAGTGTTTGGAGTTCAAGTAAGAAAAGAGTCTTCTCAAATTAAAATATGTCAATATTTCCTCATGTACAGTTTACAGCAATGGTAATGAGCATATTTTTATAGGTCGAAACATGAGGAGATTGATTTGGTGACTGAGGATGTGTTCTACGAAGAGGCCCCACCAGAAATTTCAAGGCCACACCTCACAAGTAATGACCAGCATCAACTCACATTAGCACGCTTGGATTGGGAACTGGAGCAAAGAAAAAGGTATAGAAAAGCCACATGGATTCATAGTTTGATACTTCATGGTTGGTGAAGATTTGAAAGATTTTATTTTATTTAGACTGGCAGAGAAATACAAGGAATCACTAACTACAAAGGAGAAGATTCAAAAGAGCATTGAAGTGAAGAAGGAACATTTGGCAAGCTTGCAGCCTGGACTCAATGCCATTATGCAGGTCTTTATAAAACCATGGTGCTATGCTTGACAACTCAATTTTAAAATGGCAATTCTAGCTAACAAATAATACATTGATTAATTTACATATATATTTGTAGCTACTTCACTTTATTGCTACTGAAGCGATTCTTTCTTTTGTTCATTTCATAGGCCTCACTCCCAGTGCAGGAGTTTCTGTCAATGCCTTTTGAACAGACTCAGAAACAGACAGAGATTGCACGGCACCTGCCTCCACCTCTCTATGTCCTCTTTGTCCAAGCCAATGCATATGGCCAAGCCTGCGGTGTGTTGTCTGTGAATACTTATCACACTTATCACACTTTTCACAGTTTTTGAAACATGTATTGGATTTTTTCCTCTTAGATAACAACCTTTCTGTCTCCATCAATGGGGATGTGGATGAGGCCAAAGCCCTTTCTAAACCCCCTGAAGATTCTCAAGGTAAATTCTTGACAAACTTGCTTTCAATGAATTCCATTCATAATCTCTTTAATAATTCTCTTTTTCTGCACATCTGTGTTTTTTTGTTCAGATGATGAAAGTGATTCAGATGCAGAAGAGGAGCAGGAGAAAACTGTAAGCGGAGCTTTGTACTTGTATATGTATTAGACGGCTTTGGACTAGTCAGACATTATATTCTGTAAAGAATTGCTTCCATGGCATTTTAGCACATCAGTATACTTTGTAAGATCATTTATGTTCAATTTTTGTCATTTCCATTCTTGTTCATTGTTTATTTATAGAAGAGGAGAAGAGCCACAACCGGTGGTCAGCTAGAAGAGAAAAGACGGGAGATGCTGAAACGACATCCTCTCTCTGTTTGCATTGATCTCAAGTGTAAAGGTATTACTTTGATGACACTGCAAAGATGCTGTTCTAGCTTTTTTTCCTTTTTGTTGAGATTTGATCTCAGAAAGGTGCATGCGTCTGGGTTGTAGTTCCTGTCATATGAGTACAATGTTGTAAAGTAGTAATTGGATACTTCAATAGATAATATGTAAAAAGCTACATAAAATAACCTTCTGTTTACTACCATTCCATCTTAAGAGGAAAAAGTGATAGATTACATGAAGATCTGCAATGCAGGTGTAACTCTATCTAAACCGGTAAAAACAGGAGAGGGTGAACTGTTGCTGCAGTTAATTTGCAGTGTAAGCATTTTTTAGTCTTTTTATAACTTCTGTCTGTGTTTGTACTTCTTAGCATCTGTCTTATTTGTTCTGCTGCCATTGCAATCAGTTTAGTGCAATTGTTAAAGCAATTGTTGAGCCTTGTATAGTTTCAGTTACAAATTGCCACTATAATCATGTTGGGAAAGTGGAAAATCATTAATGATCATGTCCTGTGTGTCCAGTGCTGCTCACAGTAGCTGCACTCTTATTGCTGTGCAATGCTCTGCCAGCTAAAGTCTTCCCACTGGGACTTTCACTGCCCAAATCAATAAAGAGCAAGTTGCTATTCATTTAAAGAACAATTGATTGTTTTATCACTGTGTTATGCATTTATCTCCACAGATGGCAGTGTCCTTCATCTTTACTTTTTTTACCTGATGAATCTAAATATAATGACTGTAAAGACCAAAGTTACAACACCCACAGACCTCAGCACAGCCATCAGTGCAGGGTATGTATTTATTTATTTATTTATTTTCAGTTGTCACCTTTTATTTTTTCATAAATTACTGAAAGTAGTTATTTTCTACAGAGAACTGTTGAGATCAGACACACTCCTCAGCTGTCTCTATGTTGGGGACCAGGGTGGGGAAACACCAAATCCAGCCAATCGCTACCAGTTTGACAAAGTCGGGTAAGTTCCTGTATAAATGATTACATCAAGAACTTAGTGTTCTTCTTAGAGTTCTCATAACACTCTTTTGTTGTAGGATTGTTTCTTTTGTAGACTATGTTGATGAACTGGGTCATCCCTATATGTGGGTGCAAAATCTAGGTGGATTACATTTTCCCAGTGACGGTTCAGAGGTAGGTGATCTTAACCAAATTCTTCATTTCATTTGTGTAAGCATATGAACAGTTGTGTTTCTTGTTGGCAGAGTGTGTGTGTGGGCAGTTCTTTGAGCGCTAGCCACATGGAAGCCACCATGAAGTTTCTGAGAGCACGGGTCCAGTCCCGCTTGGCTCTGCAAAAACAATTTGCATCTTTAGGTAACATCTTAACACATGTGTATATATATTATATTTGTAGTAATTCTGTTTTTACGTTCCCAGAACACAGTATTATTCCAGTTTCAATTGAGTGCCAAAACCTTGTACCGGCAAAGATTATTACTCGTTTAGCTCGCTGGACCACCATTGCCTATCAAGACTATTTGGTATGTACAGGGATCATGATCTAATTAGCTTTTAATTGTAATGCAGATTTTTATTATTATCTTTTCTTTTTTTTTTTTTAAATACAGGAATTTCCTTATACAAAACATGTGACTGAAGCTGGCCTGGCAAAAGATACTGACCTGTACTTCATGGGTGTAGTTGAGAGGGGCACTGCTCGTCTTCACGCCGCGGTGGTGATGAGTCCACGCTATCCAGAAATTGCCCCACTCTTCTCTCTGTCGCTCAACTGGAAGGGAGAACGTACTGGACGCACAGATGACAACTTAAGAGTATGACAGGTCTTTTAAGATCACTATTACGCCTATGTTTAGTTAATTTTTTTAATATATCCCTTTCGATTTCAGGCAATAGAAAGTGAGGTGAATATGTTCAAACATGAGCTGCAGGGCCCTCGTCCAGGTTACCAACTCTTCACCAACCAGATGGCTCGCCTGTGCATGTGTCTGGATGTGTATTTGGAGACAGAGGGGCAAGATGATAGTGTGGAGGGGCCAAGAGAGTTTCCACGTGAAAAGATGTGTCTCCGAACTGTCAGGTACTAAAGCAAATGTGTGTAATGTGTGAAAACATTACATTTCCTGCTTCTGAAGAGTCACTTATTTTTCATTTCAGGGGCCCCAATCGTCTGAAACCATTCAAGTACAATCATCCTCAAGGTTTCTTCAGTCATCGCTAAACCCATTAACAATTCTGTTTGATAACCTCTAAGTATACCTTTGTTATTAATAGCATATAGAAACGACCACTTTTAAGTCTTTGTACCAGAGAATAAATATTTTTTGACAATGTCTGTGTCATGTCCTAAGTTCTGGTTATTACATTTTTTCTACGGATATGTGTGCATGAATACAGAAGTGACAGTGGGTGTGTGCAGCTCCCTCCTTAGCCGCATTGCAGTGCACTTCAGGTCACTGTGTGTTCTTCTGTGAGCCAAATAAAATCAAAGCTTTTATATTTTTCAAATTTATTGTTTCATATTGCATATTTCCAGCAGTTTATTCATAGTAGTGTTCTTTTTCCTAGTATTGCAGATCAGACATGTGAGGCAGCTTATCACCAGTCAAGGGCAGCTACGTTAAAGTGCACATCAAGCAGATTCAAGTCTTTCCTGTGAGTGTTTTTACATGTAGTTTAAATATATATTTATTTTAATCTTTAGCTTATATTAGCTCGACTTCTCTATGCATTAAAGCTCCAGTAATAATGCACTTCATGTTCATTATTTGGACAATTCTCACATACCAGTTACATTACATTCATTCGACATTCTTTCACACACCAAAAGCTTTGGGGCTGTGCTAAGGCCATACTCAGGAGCAGGGAATTACTTGCCACATTTCTATTGCTTACATACCCTGACCACCAGTTCAAGTCTAGTGCTTATCTTAACAACCATAGTCAGTGCAATAAGTCCTGTGCTATATACATTGCTTTGTGCCACTTACTAAAATACACCTTCACTACAGTATTACTTCTTGCTTTCTGTGCCAGAGGATTTAGCTTTCTCATTCTTTGCTGCCTCTTTACTATCTTCTTTTTTCACATCTGATTTCTTCTCTTCTGATTTCTTCTCTTCTTTCTTGACTTCAGATTTTTCAGGTTTCTGTTCTTGTATCTTCTGTGGCATTTTCTTTGGCTCTTGCTTCTCAAGTTCTGTTTTCCCAGCTTTCTGTGCAGACTGCTCCTCTTTGGTAGGCGCAGCAGGCTTCACAGATTCCTCATGTTTAGATGCTGCATCAGCTTTGCCTTCTTTCTTATTGTCTCCCTTCTCTGCTTTGCTGTCAGTCTCCTTCTCTTGGGACTTCTTCTCTTCCTTGCCTGGTTGTTCATTGGTCTTTTTGTCCTCCTTCACAGGCTTCTCATCATCTTTTTTTACTTTTTTTGGAGATGCTTTGGAGGTTTTCTCTGTTTCAGACTTGGGTTCATCTGCAGAAGGGGACTTGATTGCTGGAGATTTTACTGGTGATTTGGGTAATGGGGATTTTTGTGGAGACTTAGATTCTGGAGTTTTTTCAGCAGGAGATGTTGAGTCTTCTTCTTGCTTCTCATTGTCATTTTCCTTACCACTTTCATCTTCTTTTTCATCCTGATCTTCTTTGTCTTTGGTTTCATCTTCATCCTCTCCTTCTTTGGTATCTTCCTCATCTTCTTCATCTGCTTCCTCTGTCACCTCGGTAACCTGAATCTCATCTGTCTGTTCTTCCACAATCACCCTATCAGAGATTTCCTCTCCTTTCACTTTAATGAACCCTGACAATCTACCCTCCAGATAAGTGTATGGTCCACCGCCAGAAGAAAAGCGGCTCTCCTCTCCTTCAAGTAATTTTCTGTTAATAAAAAACTGCATTAGAAATTGTGCAATTAATTATTTTAGTTTATTGTGCAGTTAAAGATTCAACCTGTAAGCAGCGATCTCAATATCCAGAGCCATCTTCACATTTAGTAGTTCCTGGTAATCTTTCAGCTGACTGGCCATCTCCCATTTTGTGCTCTTCAGCTCACGGTCCAACTGATTGATGGTCTCCTACAACAGATGGACAAGTTAGATTAGTTAGTTGAATTGTGTTATTATTTACAAACATAGTGTAAGGTATAGTATAGTGTAAAAATCTTGCCTGCAGTGAGTGGAGGTCATCTTGATGCCTGTCTTCACTCTCCATACGCTGCCTGTCCAGGGATTCCTTGGTCCCACGTAAAGTCTCCAGCTCAATAGTGCGACTCTGCAGTTGACGTCGGTAGTCTGCTATCTCTTCCTGTGTTGCACGTATTGCACCCTGGTTAGACCGAGCAGCCTCGGACAGGTGCTCCATTCGCACTATAACAAATAAAAGACATGTATGTGTCAACTTAATCCAAGTCCAAGCATAAAATGTGTGCACCAAAGTGGACCCTGCCTTTGTAAATTACTTGAACCACAGACAGCCACAGTGTATGGTTTATCAGTGTGGTTTAACCTTGTCACTGCCTGTGCCAGTCTGACTCAGCACACTCCTCTGGCAGGCACAAATGGGCTCCTGCTGCAGTCTCACTATACACATAACAATCAATTAAAGTAAGTGGCTGCCCTGTTTAGGAAACACCTTCAGTGGTTCAGTAACAGGTTGCTTAATATATCTAAGCACATTGGGATGCTAATTCTCTTGGTCACAAGTCCTTGCTTGCCTCACGACCTTGACCTTCAATAAAATGTCCAAGCAAAACGTGCTCAGTGGGTTCTACAAACATCTTAATGTGCTCTATGTTTTGTCAGTCCTTATATATCAATGTGACTCCAATTTGTTGCAAAACAGAATACGATTTTCTCATTGAAAGTATACAGTGCCATTGCCAACGTTGTGTGTAAACTTTCAGCACTAAGAAGTAGAGTGGACTGAGGGATTAGGCCAAACTCGTAAGTCGGTGCTCACCTTTAAACCATTCTTCTGTATTCATGGCACTGTTGGTCGCATGATTGTCCAGCTGTGCGCGGATCTCTCGCAGTGCGGTGGTAACGTCCGTCTTGAGCGTATCTGGCACGTCAAAGCTCACCTGCGCGCCTTGAATCTGAGCCAGGAGTTCTTCAACTTCCTCCTCATGATTCTTCTTCAAAAAAGCAGACTCTTCTTCAAGTGCATTAAGCTTCTTGTCCAGTTCTTGGCGCGCAAGACGGCACTCCTCCGCATACTTTTTCATGGCACGCGCGGCAGCCTCGAGCTCTTCACGGTTCCGCGCTTCATCTTCCAGCCTGACTCGCACGTGCTGGATATCCTCCTCCAGGTGGTCCTGCTCCAGCACCGCGCGGGTCTTCTCGCCGTAAAGCTGCTGGAGCAGTGCCCGAAGGTCCCCCAGCTCTCGCTCGTAGTGGTCACCCACAGTAGCGCGCCCGGTCTGGCTCTGACGCAGTGCCGCGGCCTCAGCCTCTAGACTGCGATTGTGCATCTCCAAGCTGCGCACCTTGTCTATGTATCCTGCAAAGCGGTCGTTAAGCGCCTGCAGGATTTCTTTCTCGCTTCTCCGGGTCATGTCCCCATTGAAAGTGTCCACACTGGCCACCGAGGACGGCTGGCTGTACGTGAACCGGCGGCGCTGCGAGTGAAACCCACTAGATGACACTGAGGTAGGGCGAGCCTTGCGGAAAGAGCTCGGGCTAAAGAAGTGATTCTCCATCGTGAAACTCATGGTGACAGAAGTGCAGAGAAGTAACTGCAGAAGGAAGAGGAGCGCGCAGCTTTTATAGCAGGAGGCCAAAACTCACGAGTCAGCACCAGGAGCTGTCCACTTAAAGGGGTACCGTTTACCTCAGGAAAAGTTTGGCCAGAAACAATCTACTTCTGAAATTAAACTCAAAAGAAATCATTTCAACTTTTTTTTTTTTGGCCACGTCATATTATTTATGACGTGGCTTTTCTGTGTAGACTAAGCTAAATGAAATGAATAAGTTCAGTGATTAGTTATTGAATTGGCTGTCTTCGACATTTCTTATATTTTATTTCTATTATTTCCTACCTTTATTAAAACACCTGAAATCAGCGCAAACTGTGTGGGTGTGCTTGTTCTGCTGATGCTTAGAGCCACTGCAGTGTGAGTTTGCAGATCCACACAAACTCCCCTGAGGCCACTGACAGTCTCCCTCTCTTTCCCTCCCCCTCTTTCTCCCTCACCTCTCCATACCTCCCCCGTCTCTCCCTCACCCTGTCTTCCTGCCCACCTCCACACTACGCACCACTTCCTTTTACCACTTTTACTGTTTTGAGATGTAGTAGCTATGTCTATGGATGTAGCCTACTGCCAGATATATTCCAAAAGACTGTAATGATGATCCGTTTGAGCCGCAGTGATGACAAAGCATGTCTGAACAGGAATAGCACAGCACCTGGGGTCAATGGGTTTGTTCTGCAAACCTCACCGAAACGTCTATCCAGAGATCTGTCGGACTTCAGTCAGCTCTGCATTTCTCTGCATCAGCTCCTTCAGTGGTGTCTGCTCTGTGACAGCCAGAGGACGACATGAGCCCCCAGCATGACCTTCACTGGCTCTATGATGACACACATTGTAGGTCTACATAATATATTTAACAACACACTATTGACACTGCAGCTTATCTTGTTGTATCTACAGTAGGACTATAAACAAGATAGAGGCATTTGTGAACTAGGACTTGACCATCGTCTTGTCCCGGTTGTAATATTGCAAACAGAAGGCTATGTTACTTAGCCTACTTATTTTGTCTTAAATACAGCAGCGGGCCATGTTACATCGCTCAGATCGGTGTCACTGACCCCGACCCTGCAGCAGGCCTGGGGGTGGGTGCTCGTCAGCGAGCGTCTGGTAACGTACCATCCCTTCCACAAAAATCGGGCACAGTCTGAAGGAGCAATGTGGGGCCATGCTCTCGTGGACTCACCACCTGCAGGAGGATCCGTATTTTATTTTTTGTTTTTTTAACTCAGACGCTCCTAACCCCTTAAATATAACCATATTTAATAGTAACTATAGTTAATAAATCCTATGTTTTGCCTCTGTTATAGATGCTGTGCGTAAAATTTGCTGAAATCCATCGTAATTGCCTGCTATGCCCACCAGAGGACAACAGAGGCATACAGACCTGCACTAAGATAGGAGAGAAGAGGGCACTTCCTGCTGATTTTGAGGGAAAGATAAAGTTAAGTAAAATTTAATTGTTCCGTTAAAATGTACAGAGCAACGCCTTTGCTGGAGAAATGGGTACAGGAAAACAACGATCTTGTAACTAAATGGAAGGTGGGCTCAGGTTGAGTAAAAAAAAAAAATCACTTGGGTTGTAATGGATTCACGTAATATGTTGTCGTTATGATTTTGCAGACAGGTGAAAATCTCCTGAGAAAAGACGAGAGACAGTTAAAACTGAGATGCCTTTCTTTGGAGTTTCACAAACTTTTGAGAAAAATACAAGGTCGTTCTTCTAAATTACTATTGTTGTATTTATTAATCAGTGCTCTGAAATATGTGTCTCATTTCTCTACACAGGTGCTCCACTTCTTATAGGTGTCACTCAGTTGGAGCTAACTGTGTTGTACAATGCTAGTGTATTTTCTATAGCTATGTCTGAGTTTTCCAAAGTGGAGCTGCTTATTACAAATGTCATGGATAAAGGTTTGTGTATATTTCAATGGCCTTTCATAGCCTTCCATAACTAGTACTTTTTTCCCACAGTTTTCAAGATATCAGGATGTAGACATACCCCTGGGAGCTCTGATTATCTTTTGTTTTGGAGAAAAGCTTTAGAAAAAGCCATAAAGCATACAGATTTTGAGTGTGGCATTAGACAGCTGTTCTGTTTGCAGTGGGCAATATGGCTAGCCACACAGAAATACCATATTATCTGTGAAACTGAGGTATTTTAAAAGAATCCAGCCTTCTTGAAAATATCCATAGTATATGCTGTAATATAGTATATATATTACAAATATATGTCTTCAATGTTATGTTTTGCAGAAGGAGATATCATTGTTAATTTCAACTGAAAACAAAAAAGGAGTGCTGTCGGAGTCTTTACTGCCAGTTTTAGAACCAAAAGAGCTTATTGAGATATTACATGTCTGTACTTTAATTGTGCAAGGTAACAATTAGGAATTCTTCTGATGCAGGTTTCTCATTCTTACTTCCATTTGACTTAGCTTGAATATGTTTTATTTTAGGTGCAGAAAGATTCAGAGATGGTCAGTATTCAGAGGCTTTGAGTGATATAGAGAAAGCCACCTCATTCACTGCTCCCAGAGGTGTAGTGGCCTGTACACACCTTCTGTTGGGCTCTTGCTTTCACCAAATGGTACTTACATGGCACTACATGTATGAATGATAATGAGACCTCTTAATTGACTCTGATTTGTGTTTGTCACCAGAAATGTCCTCAGATGGCACTGACCTGTTTCCGGAGAGCACTGGAGACAGATGGTCATTGCGTCAGTGCGTTGTACCAGAGCATGCTCGTCTACAGGCAGCTAGGAAATAAACAGGCTGAGATCCAAGCTCTTGAGTTACTGCATTCAGTAAGTCTGTTATTTATGACATAGTTCATATGTGCACATTGTAATTACATTTTTTTTTGTGCTGCAGGTTTTAAACTTAACACACAGCTCAGAGTGTAACACGGGAGATGGTCTGCTTGTCTCCTCTGAGTTACTCCTCTCCAGCTCCTCTTTGAAGAACCTCTTGGAAGTACCCTCTGCTCCAACAGTCCTTCACATTTTGGCTTTACAGTGTGTCCGCTTTGGAAGGTGAAGTCCAGTGAACAATGTTGTTTTCTGTTAGAAACATAAATATCTGCAATCTTGATTACAAACAGATGTATTATTTTTCTGTATTACTTCAGAGTATCAGAGGGCGTGGAGCATTATCTGGACTTATTAGCTATTCTTCACACAGGCCAACCTAATCCCCATCATGTAAGTTGTTATGATTGAGTCATCAGAAGGTCTCAACAACATTTTTATTAATGTGACATTTAATAATAAAACGCTGATTAGTATTGATGCATTATATATTTTTAAGATGAATATGGACATTCCATTTCTTCCCCATTTGAGTGTTCTTTACCTTGAGGCTGCTGCTGCTATGCTTATGGTCCAGCGACCTGCCGATTGCATTGCACTGTGTGATGAAGTTGTTAACACAACACTAGATCTTCTACCACAAAGATTGGTTTTGGAAGAGTTGAGTGTGGAAAATGAGCCCAGTACTCCTGCTGTGGACTATGATGACAAAGGGGCCATGGTCCTCTACGTTGGGGCGAGTAATCTCCTCAAGGGTCACTGCTACATGCTTTTAAAGGAGTGGAAACAAGCTATGACCCATTATACAAGGTTTGTTTTGTTTTTGTTTTCTTTTTACCTCCGCCAAGGAGGTTATGTTTTTGCCAGCGTTTGTCTGTTTGTTTGTTTGTTTGTCTATTAGCGACATAACTCAAAAAGTTATGGACCGATTTTGATGAAATTTTCAGGATTTGTTGGAAATGTGAAAAGGAAGAACTGATTTCATTTTGGGCGTGATCCGGAAGAAATCCTGGATTCTGGATCACTTTGAAATTTTAGTTAACATTGTGGTAAATGGGGCCAAAAATTTTGTTTCTCAATATCTCGGTTATTTATTGACCAAACCCCATGAAATTTGACTCAGGGATGGACAATGGGATCCTCTTTCATATTCCAAAGGCTGATCCAGATCTGATCCAGAAGACTGATTTTATCGCAATTTATATAAAAAATGGGGGTAGTCCTTGGCGGAGGTCTGCGCTCTCTGAGTGCTTTTCTAGTTTTAATAATGTCAATGTTTTTTTTTTCCATTGCAGGTGTTTAGATCTGCTTTTAAGAGTGCGCTTTAAAATTAAAGGTGGGATTGTTATCAAGAAGATAAGCTTCCTAGTCCTAATTAATGCTTCATATATCCACTAGTTGATTCACTTTTCTTCCCACAGGATGTCAACCACAGATCCCCAGCACAGACATGGTTGGCAAAGAGGGGTCAAAATTATTCACAGTCCAGAGGCTAAAAGCGTTGTCATTGGCTGGCAGAGGTATCTGCTTTGCTCAGACTGATCGATTGAAAGAATCTCTTAGAGACCTTCATCTCAGTTTGCATGCATTCCCAGGTACAGTTAATACTATTGAATAAACTCTGATCTATTTTTGCTTTGGGTTATAGTATGTAAACAGATGTGTGGAGAAAAAAAACATTTTCATGGACCAATCACAAATAAATGTGCTGATAGCGGTTTGAAATAATTAACCGGTTTGATTTATTTAAATTGTACTCATTCTATTGCATGCGTGCATGCTGTCACAGAGTGTGTAAATGCTGGGTTATGGTGTGGAGAAGTACTGTGGAGACTGCAACGGAGACACGAAGCTGCCAGCAGCTGGAAGAAGACATGGGGCTTTACCTCAGAATCTTCCAATGAGTATGAATACATTTGTCTTCTATTAGAATATTAGCATAGCAAAAATATAAAATAAAAAATAAAGAAGGTCACATATTAAGATTAAATAACATACTTTACCAGAGTTATGGATATTGGCTGATCTGTTGGCTGGTGATTATGTTACTGTTCTAATTTTTTTATTTATTTTTTTTCTGCAGAAGTGTTTGTGTTTATTTAGTTGAACCTCCAACTGACCATATGTTGAACCCCATGGAGCTTCAACAAAGAATTGAAGATCTTGGATTTGAGGATGACAGAAATGCATAATTTCTGCTGTTGTCCTTATAATGTGTATATTTTGTTTGTTGAACAATCAAATACAGTTAATCCTCTTGACTTGTAGAGATTGGTAATAAATCATTCTTAAAACAATAATAGATAATTTCTTCAAAATACCAACATATTAGACATATGTATTGATGGATTTCACTGTTTCATGAGGATAAAAATTTAGGACGGTTGTCAAAATATCAGTCTATCCTTTTGAATGAGAAGAAGTCAAGAAGTCCTCAAATAATCCTCTGATAACAGGAAGTTGAAAAACATATTTGCTTTACTGTGTACAAAAATGCTTTTATATAGTTAACGAAAAACAAGTTAAGTACATCAACGCGGTGCGCCCCAATTGGATGGTTGCATTTTGTTGACAGGGTAAAATGGCCAATAGCAATGTTGATGCAAATGACTACTCTGTACTCTTTCGAGACTGGCTAAAAAAATCATGACTTATCCCAGCGACGTGGGAGAGAAATGATACTCATTGGCTGGAAAACGCAATGTGAAGACTAACCAATCATAATGCAGGCTGAGTCAAGATGGTCCAATAGGAGTCGAGTATGACTCCGGCTCGTGCTATAACTACAGAAAAGCACGGAAACTGATGCTCTTTCGTCTCAGTACACAGACCACCAACATAACCGGTTTGGCCTCTGCATCTTTTAGTTAGACCATCGTATTTATTGTCAGTAAAATCAAGTGGACGACATGGCTACGGGAGGGGAGTAAGTATTGTTTCGTTTGAATGCTATTTAAATGGCTATCATTAGTACGTATTACGTTATTTTAGCAATGCAAGCTAATGGGGTCAGTGTCAGCCTCCGCACTTTTTCGGGCTGTTGAAAGACTCTTTTAGATCTTGATGAGCGAACTCTGAGTGGTTGGAGTCGATTTTTAAGTTGGTAGATTTTCCATTCTCATTAACTAGCTGGTCACTACTCGGCCCTGGGGTAGCTCTGTATCTGACAGCGTTTGACAAAGCGCAGTCACCGCTATCGTGTCGATGCTAACATGAGCTTAGCAGCATAACCAAGGCCAAAGCCATCTGCATCTTACTGCTTAGGCCTAACTAACCGCAAACAAGCATTTGTATCACTTTGTGAATGTGAACTGTACAAAATAGAGATTAACTAATACTAAACAAATAGCGTTATTATCAAGATAACTGGTTATTGTCTTGTCAACGGTAACTAGCCGTTATTGCTGGCTAACTTGTGGGTAACGTAGCAACAGTCCAGTCCTGAGCTGCCCGTGCACAATTGGTTTGTAAATGGCATAATTAAACATCCATAACTTGTAGTTAATGGCCCAAGTATCAGTGTTTCTTTACATTAAAGTCCAGTCCCATAGCCGCGTTTAACAACGTGTATATCCAGCCGAGGCTACTCTAAAAGTTTTTTTTCTTTTGCTGTGTCATCTGGGTCCATTCACTTAGCTGGTGCGCTAGCGTTAGCATGCTAATGAAATGAAAGAGTAACTAAACGGGCAGCCTTCAAGATATTCTAGGTACTTCTGGTATGTACTGTTTGGGGAATTTTGTATTTTGAGCTAAATATACATTTTATATGTTCAATAATTGTGGTACACGTGACTGTAAATTGAGTTGTCTTACCTGCTTGCTTGTTACATTTTTAATAGTGTTCCTATACAGAATAAATAATGTAGAAACAGACATTCTGTTCATTACACACATCTTAGTTGCCCTTTTCAACAAATATACAACAAATTGTACTGTCATTATTAACATATTAATTCAAACACTCTTTGTTAATACAAGTTAATAAGTGATTAAAATCGACATTATTAATGAGCTAACTTGTAAAATGTATAACTTGTATTATTGAATCCTCTGTTTATAGATCTAAAAGTGATGATCTAGCTACTGCTATTCTCAAACAGAAGAACAGACCCAACAGACTGATTGTGGATGAATCCATCAATGAAGACAACAGTGTAGTCTCTCTTTCTCAGGTAGAAACTATTTTTTTTTTCAATTCAATTTTAAATAGAACTGATAACCAAAATATTGTTGCCTGATTTAGACAAAAATGGATGAGCTGCAACTTTTCCGTGGGGATACAGTGTTGATGAAGGGGAAGAAGAGGCGGGAGACTGTTTGCATTGTTCTTTCTGATGACACCTGCTCTGATGAAAAGGTCCGCATGAACAGGGTAGTCCGCAATAACCTGCGGGTTCGATTGGGGGATGTCATCAGGTAAAGGCCCCAACCCCCTCCCCCCCCCATCATGTCAATGTTCATGATATCCTGATTATAAAGAGTAATCCTTTCTCAGCATTCAGCCATGTCCTGATGTGAAGTATGGAAAACGGATCCATGTTCTCCCCATTGATGACACTGTAGAAGGAATTACTGGAAACCTGTTTGAGGTTTACCTCAAGCCGTACTTCCTTGAGGCTTACAGACCAATTCGCAAAGGTTTGTTTAAAATTGTGGGCTTTATGTTTAGTTTCAGCTTATTTTTTAAATAACTTAAAATGATTACTAAGGCTTATTTTTCTTGCTTTGGACCACAGTATATGTGTAGTAACATAATCTTGTACATGTGAAGGTGATATCTTCTTGGTCAGAGGAGGTATGCGTGCTGTGGAGTTTAAAGTTGTGGAAACTGACCCTTCCCCATATTGCATTGTTGCCCCTGATACTGTCATTCACTGTGAGGGAGAGCCCATCAGGAGAGAGGTGTGTAGAAGTTGTATTGGGTTAAACTTGCAAATTTATAGAAAATCTAAATTTCAAACTTTATTTTGTACTCAGGATGAAGAAGAATCCCTGAATGAAGTTGGTTATGATGACATTGGAGGTGTGAGGAAGCAGTTGGCACAAATCAAAGAGATGGTGGAGCTGCCTCTTAGACACCCTGCACTGTTTAAGGCCATTGGTGTCAAGGTAACAACCATTTTTGGAATAAATCTGAAAGTTGCAAGCAAAGAACGTATATGATGCAGATTTTGTTTTCAGCCTCCTCGTGGAATCTTGCTTTATGGACCTCCTGGAACAGGAAAGACCTTGATTGCTCGAGCTGTGGCCAATGAGACTGGGGCCTTCTTTTTCCTAATCAATGGTGAAATATATTTTTATTGTTGACTTGTCAGTCTGCCCCAGGGCAGCTGTGGCTACAGTAGTAGCTTACCATTGCTGGGTATGGAGTGAATGAATAATGATCTGTAAAAGCGTCTGAGTGTCCAAAAAAAATGCGCTATATAAAACTGATGCATTAGTTTAAACTTCGTAATAATTGGTTATTCTTAATGGTTGTGGTAAGTCAGAATTAATGCAAATTCATCCTGCTGATGTTTGTCTGTTTGTAAAGGTCCTGAGATTATGAGCAAACTTGCTGGTGAAAGTGAAAGTAACTTGAGAAAAGCCTTTGAGGAAGCAGAGAAAAATGCACCTGCTATTATCTTCATTGATGAACTGGATGCCATCGCTCCAAAGAGAGAGAAGGTGGGGAGTTCACAAAACCATACTACTGTTTCTTTTCCAAATATAGGATGAATAGGCTTAAAGGGTCTGTACAAAATATGCAGTTTTGACAATGGGTCACTGCACCACCAGATCATTGCCTCACACTGAAGTCCTAACATGTCAGTTTACTGTTTGCCTCACAGCATCCTGAGCTTCCAGCATAAGGCAGTTTGTCTAGAGTGTAGTCAAATGATTGCTGAATCTTTGTTTTGATTACTTAACCCAACATCTAATGCAAACTTGTGTGCAGACTCATGGTGAGGTGGAGAGACGAATTGTTTCTCAACTGCTGACTTTAATGGATGGACTGAAACAGAGGGCTCACGTCATTGTCATGGCTGCCACAAACAGACCCAACAGCATTGACCCAGCCCTGAGAAGATTTGGTAACTTTCCTAAAATCCGTTCATGAGACTCCTATAGTTTTATATTGAGCATTTTTGACAACCTTTGCTTTCTTAGGTCGTTTTGATAGAGAAGTTGACATTGGCATACCTGATGCTACTGGCAGGTTGGAAATCCTGCAGATTCACACAAAGAACATGAAGCTGGCTGACGATGTGGACTTGGAGCAGGTTTGCTCATATTTTGTTTGTCTTACAGTGGCAACTTTTTAACAATTTACTAGCTGTAATCTGATTATCTGTATGTGAGGAATCTTAACACTAGTTACATTTTGCTGATATTGTCATTTTTTGCTTAACCGTTGAACGATTTTAATTTGTAGGTGGCCAATGAAACCCATGGCCATGTAGGTGCCGATCTGGCTGCTCTGTGCTCTGAGGCTGCACTGCAGGCCATTCGAAAGAAAATGGACCTGATTGACCTTGAGGATGAGACCATTGATGCAGAAGTCATGAACTCTCTCGCTGTGACCATGGATGACTTCAAGGTAAAATTTCTAATAGTTGTGGTTTTATGGTGATTTGTCAGGTTTGGGAATTAAAACACTTCTGTTTATTTGCTATAGTGGGCCCTGAGCCAGAGCAATCCATCTGCGCTGAGAGAGACTGTTGTGGAGGTGCCCAACATCACATGGGATGATATTGGTGGTCTGGAAGATGTGAAGAGGGAGTTGCAGGAGTTGGTGCAAGTAAGCATATTGCTTGCATATCTCAGTAAATGTTTCAGAATGAAAGGTAACCTACAAAGTTATTTATTCTAACTCAAATATTCTTACACATTTAGTATCCAGTGGAGCACCCAGACAAATTCCTCAAGTTTGGCATGACTCCATCAAAGGGTGTGCTTTTCTATGGACCTCCTGGTTGCGGTAAAACTCTTTTGGCTAAGGCCATTGCTAATGAGTGCCAGGCAAACTTTATCTCAATCAAAGGACCTGAGCTCCTGACTATGTGGTTTGGAGAGTCTGAGGCCAATGTCAGGGAGATCTTTGACAAGGCAAGTTCTACAAATGGCTATCCTTACTGTTTTCAATTCTTCGCTCTCAACACTGAAACTTGGTCTAATGTGTGATCTCAATCCACAGGCTCGTCAGGCAGCACCATGTGTGCTCTTTTTTGATGAATTGGACTCCATAGCGAAGGCTCGTGGTGGCAATGTGGGAGATGGTGGTGGAGCTGCTGACCGTGTCATCAACCAGATCCTCACTGAGATGGATGGGATGTCCAGCAAGAAGAATGTCTTCATCATTGGGGCCACAAACAGACCAGACATCATTGACCCAGCCATCCTGAGACCTGGGCGTCTGGATCAGCTAATCTATATTCCATTGCCTGATGAGAAGAGCAGGATGAGCATCCTCAAGGCCAATCTCCGCAAGAGTCCCATCAGCAAGGTACTTACAGGAAAGCCTCTGACTCTTTGTATGTCCCCCACCTTGCACAATTCTGTACAAAAGGTGCACCCGCTTGTGCTGTGTGTAGTTAATGTGTGTGTATTTTGCATTTGAACATAAGAGGGACAAGATCATATGCCACGCAGGGGATTGGTGTATCTGTACACTGGCTATGAACTGAAAGCTAATGGAATTCTTTGTAAACCACAATATTGAGTTCTTCACAATTTGCAACCAACAAATGTAAAATGGTCTCTGTATGTTGAAGTTTAATACTAAAAGACCCTGGAAAGCCTGTGTGTTTCTTTTTTTTAATTTTCTTTTCTTTATAGGATGTGGACTTGGATTTCTTGGCAAAGATGACCAATGGATTTTCTGGAGCTGATCTTACAGAAATCTGCCAGAGGGCATGCAAGTTGGCAATCAGAGAAAGTATAGAAAATGAAATCCGCAGAGAAAGGGAAAGGCAGACCAATCCCTCAGCCATGGTTGGTACTTAAATATAATGCACAACTCAATGCTATCGCATGTTTGTTAGAATGATGTGGTGTTTGTAGGAAGTGGAAGAGGATGATCCTGTGCCAGAAATCAGGAAGGACCACTTTGAAGAGGCAATGCGATTTGCTCGGCGCTCTGTCAGTGACAATGACATTCGCAAATATGAGATGTTTGCTCAGACACTACAGCAAAGCCGTGGCTTTGGCAGCTTCAGGTAAATGAGTGCATTCATCTTTCATTTGTACAATGGTTAATATTGTATGCTCTTCATAAAGCTTTAAATAACATGGCTACCAACATTTCATTACAAAAATCTTTATTTCAGATTCCCATCCAGTGCTGCTGGTGGCAGTGGTCCAACCCATGGCTCAGGAGGTTCTGGCAGTGGCCCTGTGTACAATGAAGATAATGATGATGACCTTTACGGATAAATGACTCACATCAGTGGTCAGTCCTGGGATCGCTCTTGTACAAATTCTCAAGATTCCACCTTTTTAGGACTTTGTGCTTCTTTCATGTGTTCCTTTTTTGTATAATTTCCCCTGGAGAAAGCATGTAGCCACTTGGTTTGCCCTGGCTTTGTTGTGGGTGGGTTAAGAGTTATTAAGGTAAGACTCCAGATTTTTCAATGGGGAGGGTTATAAAGTGGCTTCATTCTCACCATTTACAACCAACGTGAATGACTTTAGTGATGGGATTCTATGCTAGACTATATGAAAGAAAATATACATATTGCTAATTACTTCCTCTTTTTTTAAATAAACAGTAGCATTTAATGTATTACAAAATTTGTCAAGGTTATGTTGTTGGAAAAAAAATAAAAACTCTAAAATGTGTTTTACTGTGCTTTATTGTTAGTAACAAGAGTATCTGCATTTTGAGTTAGTAAGAATCATGAAAGGGAAAGTGGGGATGTTTTGCATCTCTCCAAATTCTCTGCCCCCCTCTCTGTAAACAGACAGAAATAATGGTTTATAATAATACATATTTGACACTGATGACCAACCCTCACTTTGGCTAGAAAATAAGTGTAAAATTACATCAACTGTGGGAACAATGAATCGCTTGTTCTGATTGCAGGAGTCAATCAATGCCATGTCCTCTTCTGACAGGGTAAAGTCAAACACCTGCAGATTTTGTTGAATCCTGGACGGTGTTACACTTTTGGGGATACAAGTCACTCCTCTTTGAATGTGCCACCTGAGGACCAAAGGGGAGCTGTTAAAGTATATCTAATAACACATACCCTAGTTGGATCTCTTATTTACCTCAGGACAATGTGTGCAGGAGATTTCCCGTATCTCAGAGCAATAGCCCTTAATCTGGAATCCCCCAACAGGGCTGGTTCATCTGGAGAAGCCCAAGGCCTGTCCCCACTACCCAGAGGGCTGTAGGCCGTCACACAGACCCCCAGTGATCTATGGCAAAATTACGTAGCCAGATTATGTTGGTGGCAACTAATTATTCTGTTAAGAAAAATACTGACCGACAATGAGCTACAAGCGCTTGTTGAGATAAGTAAGGGTGGCACTCCACCTATGAAGATTATTAAACTCTTAAAATACTATGAGATCATTATGTTAGCTACTGTGTATCATTTATTTTGTTTACCTGGTTAACTACTGGTTTATGCTTGGCCATGGTCAAGATGTCATTGATTTGCCTAGCATTGAAGTTGGACAGTCCTATGGCCTTGACAAGACCCTTATCCACTAAACTCTCCATAGCCTTCCAGGTCTCCCTATAGTGTGTGTCAGAATAACACACACTGCCATCGTCACGCCGTGGCATTAGGTCTTCACCTCGCCTGAAATGCAAAGATACAATTTATGATAAAAAAAAAAAAAAAGTAAACAAACTTGTTTTGTCCCACTGTGACCAACAGGTGGCGACAAAGTCCCTGTAGTGTGGCTGCTCACTGGAAGGCCATTGGCCAATGCATGAGGTACAAGTCTAAATAGGAGAGACCCAGGTTAGTTAAAGTGGTCTGGCAGGCCGCCTCCACGTCCTCTGGCTCATGCTTTGTATTCCACAGTTTAGATGTCACAAAGACCTCCTCACGGCGAAGCGCCTAAAGAAATAGGTAAACTAACTTGTATCAAAAACGGTGTAAGATTATATTCAGTAGTATATTGAGCAGTCCTACCTTATCTGGACCTATCCGGAGAGCCAAACCCTCCCCCACCTCCTGTTCATTGCTGTATGCAGCAGCACAGTCAATATGTCTATACCCACAGTCCAAGGCTGCCAGCACTGCCTGCTTCACCTGGTGCAGAGAAAAACAAAGCACTCAAATGACCAACTATCAGAAAACCATGTTCTTACAGCAGACTATTTGATACCTGTCCTGGAGCACTCTTCCAGGTGCCTAGCCCAACCATGGGCATCTGGTGCCCCGTAGACAGCAGTACAAAGCCACTCATGGTCACACTTGTGTGGTGACAACACTAACACTATGAAGTTTTGTAGTTAAGCTTCTTAAAGAGTTGGCTCAGTCATCATGACTAAGTTCCAAAACTCTGTAACTGATTCACTCTTTAGAATTTATTAACAGGACGTGGTCAAGAGAGCAAAAAAAAAAAAAAAAAAAAAGCCCCCTGTAACCATAATGCAGTAAACGGTGAAGTTCAGGAGTGAGACAACATTTGGTGAGCTGCCTTTGTTATCGCAAAGCACGGCACTGATTCTTTAGCCTCAGAGGAAATCTAAAGCCTGTGTGAACCAAGCCTTATTGCTAGAAATAGCTGATGCAGTTATATGGTATTAGTCACAGTGGGGTGTTACTGCAGCATCTCAGAAGATCCCTTTGGTATCATGTGAAGAACACAGCAAACTTGAACTATTATTTTCTGACCAGAAGTGTCCCCAGATCATCTGCTCAACCTGCATTCAAAGTCAATAAAAATTACTATTGTAACTACAATTACAACTAGTAATTTACCTTAAGCATGTGGATCAGCCCAAATGATGAATGAGTGAATGAGCTAGAGCACAGCTGAGGGCAGATACAAGCTGGGGTCAAAGGTTATCCTTATTTGTTTATCTGTAACTTGGACTTGTAAAAAGGAATCTGATGTTTGAAACAGTGTTTGATTCACACATTTGGTTTATTTGATTCCATTTTGAAAACATTATTAACATGTCAAATGCACACAAGCAGTGACAGTCAGTCAATGAGCAACAGTGCATGCGTGTTCAGATTACAGCCATAGTCCAGAGGTCCATTCAAGTGGATTACAGATGTTTGAAATAATACTATTTTGTATCTGTGCTGTAAGAACTTCAGTATAAGAGTAAAGAGTTTAAAAAACCGCCAACACCAATTATACAAAACAACTATTCAAGTTCATTTAGAATTATTGTAAAGATGTACAGACTCTAGGAAAACATTGACTGTAAAGTGTACTCTTTTGCACAGCTAACTGATGATTTGAAACACATTTGCCCTCCCAGAGTACATATGTATATATGGTAAACTTCATGTTTCACATACGTTTGGTAAAAAGTCCCCTTCCTGTCTGTCAGAAAAATTACTAATCCCACTTGTAGCACTGTATTTTATGTATATAATATGGCTGGTTGTACAGATGTACTGTATGTTTCCTGTGGTGGCTTATGGGACTGGACTAAGGCACCTGACAGTCCCGAGGCCTAGAGCCAGGGGAAAGCACCCATGTTCAATGCAGATTGCATTATCCTCTGCTGTGTAAGTTTTGATTGTCTTTTCTACATCTGGTACATAAGTTCAAAGGTTATATTTTCGATTATTACGCTTGTTTTATTGTATTATCATCACAGACATATTTTCTAATATTCAACAGCCTGGAGTTTGAGTTTACAGATCAAAACTACAAGACCAAATGTGTTTCATCGATTAAAACTGACACTATGACAGTTATTTGTCCTCTTACAAAAGACTGCAAAAGACCCACTACCAAGTCTGCAAAAATATGAAAGTATTTTACTTTAAACAACTATCCTGCTTTCTATCTCTTCAACGTAACCTTCCCCAGGATGTGTTTAATATAAATAAATACATCTTATTAGTACCATCCCTGTTGGCACTTATTCACAAAAATGTATATTATAATGGCTTAAGGGAATTGTAGCAACAATACAAGAGTCCAGTGTGGATATAAAAGGGTATTACATGATGTGTGTTTAGTGAGACGTTGTTATGACTGTGGCAGGTGTTGTCTGATGATCTCTTTGGATTGGTGAGGGATCCTGTCGGGAAAGTGTACAGAAAATTCCACGATGAGATCTCCGCGCTGCAAAGGGTTTTTAGGAAAGGGCAGACCCTCTCCTCTGAGTCGCTTGACTGTCCCGGGCTTGATGATGTCATGACATGGGAGTGAGATGACACGGTTTTCCAGAGTAGGAATGCTCACGGTGCAACCACACAAGGCCTGGAGAAAGGAAATGAGAGATTGAGAGGGTTAAATCACATGTGAAGGAACGAAATGCCAAAGTGCTGAAAACATCAGTGACTGAATATTTCCATGAGCTCAAACTGATTATGAACAGGGAGTAAATCTTTGTAAAACATGTTTCTGTTCGTGTGAAAAAGTCTTTAAACTATTTGTATATTAGCCAAGACTCTGGGGGGTCTATGGAGGAATTCAGAACAAGAACATTTGAAAAACAACTTGGCAACGGAAAAGTTTTTGTGTTTTGAGGGAGTTGTTTAGAAGTGTGTCAGGGTAGGAGTGTGTGAATGGGGGTAGACACATTGCACAGGAGGCTAATTTTAGCTGCAGGCTCATAGCTGAAGCTAATGAAGTGAAGCAGATATTGGCTGAGCTCGTAAATAGTCGGAGGGCTGGGGAGAGAACAAACACATGCACACATATTTCTTATCGCCGTCCTGATCAAGCCACTTTGAGCAAAGAAACAGAGCTAAACTAAACCAGGGGCCAGCTGTTATCAGGTATTCACAGCTTTCCAGTGAGCATCACACATACTATACAACACATTTGAACCCACAACTTTTGGCATCAACAATAGAAATCAAGACCTGACAAAATTAACTAAAACATTGTATGTTGTACAACACTATTGTAAGAGCAATCCTAACATGTCAAACATTTCAAGGAAAAAAAATGATAAATTTTTATATCACAGAAGGAAAATGTCATAAGGTACACTGATGTAGTCCTAATCTCTTGTTTCCTTTGCCATCTCTGATAATCATTTAGAAAATAATGGTAATCTTTCAGTTTAGTCTTGATACAAATGTAGACTAGAACTACTCAGGATTACAAGTTTGTCCTATTAAATTATGTTATGTTTTTATTATTGATACATGTTTAAATTAATATTTAAATATAGTAGTATAACTAGTTTCAATACCATTTTTTATGATTGATAATCATAAGTTTAAATTTTCAAAACCCAAGTAACATGTAGTGAATCAGACACTGCCAGACTAAGTTCATTACAACATGTAGTCTTATTCTGAGGCTTAAATATTTCTGGCTGCTCTCTCAATATGAATTGGTTCATTCACAAACAGTCACAAATGCACACAGGCTGTTATGACAGCCACATCACCAGCTGATCAGAGCCCACTCATCACACAAGCCTCAGTTGAGATGCTAAACTATCACATAATGCACACTTTAGCTCTGACAGCACTGCGTAGAAACATTATTTCACGACAATCCATCCATCCATCCATTTTCGTCCGCTTATCCGGGGCCGGGTCGCGGGGGCAGCAGTCTAAGCAGTCTCACGACAATGTTAAGGACAAAAGTAATTTTAAGACAAAACTATGAAAAGCAGATTTCAATGTGCCAATGTTTACTTGATTTTTGATTTTATGGAGGTGGAGTGTAGTACAGCTCTTCTTCCAGCTTTTAGAGCCCTGTAGCTACAGTTAGCACCTGAGTGTGTGGATACGAGCACTGCCCCAGTGCAGTGTTGTGCAGAGACAGGAGCGGCTGGATTGTACAGTCATGGTGACAGCAGCCCACTGCAGAGGCACCTTTATTATTACTAGGAAGGCTCAGGCATAGACAGTCAGGCATAAACATGGAAATATTTAAAACAAACAACAAATTTTTAACTCCAAGAGATTACTGCTGCCACTGTGCCTCTGGCAGACCCTCTCTGGAGTCTTCAGAACAGACTGACAACTGACTGACAACACAAACTGGAAAAGGGCCTACTGAGAGTAACAGCTGGATTGGGCAAGCCTATGGCATAAACAGGCTTTGGATGACCATATCAACAGAGTAAAGTAATTACACATTTTCAATTTAAACACAAAGAATATCAATTGACCTTTTTTAAATATGGCATAAGAAATATTATGAAATAAGTGTGCAATATATTAATGCAATTTTGAGCAAAATGTAGATATTTATATAGTCTCACCTTGTTTAGTGAGATCTAATATTGTGTCTTGTCTCATGGGATTTCTGTTTCATCTCAGCCCTAGTTTTGCTGTATGATGTGTATTGATCATACACATTTTAATGTGTAGTAGATTTCAACATAGTTTGAGGTCTTTTTTCCATCCAGATGCTTCCTTACTCTCTTTGTTTAAACAGGTAGATAGACAGGTATAAAGCACGAGATAGTATTTTTTGTTTCATTTCTAAAAGTGAACACTCTGTGGCACTGTGTGTGGACTGCCTCTTTTCTGAGCACATCATTGTCTGTAGCAGAGAGAGATGCAGCACTGGAATATGAGCTCTTATTTGCTTTGGATACACACTCATCTGACCCACTTCTCTTATATTCCCCAAGTAACAACCCCCCACTCTGCACATTTATCTACTCCCCAGCAATGTGTCTTTGGCTGTATCAGACTCAAGTCTCATCTGTGAATGGCCTAACAGGGAAAGAAACTTAATCAAACTCAATTTTCTGCTTACTAGATCTTAACAAGCTCCTGTGTGGTCTCATTTATGCAGCGTGCAGGTACTAACAGAGCCCTGTTACTATATTCAGTAATGATGTTTTCAGGAGCTAGAGTGAATAAAATTGGTAAAAACTGGAGAACAACTGCTCCCTTACCTCCCAGAGCTCACCTACTTTTAACCAAACAATGTCAGGTCACCCTCTCAGACAGTTTATGTGATTCATAGTCAGTCCAGGACAGCGCTGGACCCGTTGCCCCCGAAAAAGCATCTAATTAAATTCACTGCCAATCACAGTAAAACCAGCCTGCACTGGCACTGTGTCATACTACAATATCTTTGACTAAGAAGGCTAGCAAGCCAAGTGTGTATGACAATGACCCAATGTGACATTTTGTATGTCTGCCTGGATGTAACTTTGTGAAAAGAACAAAATGTGGACAATGGCTGTAGCAGGTCACACAAGGACACCACATTCCTGATGGCTCACACTGCAGCAGAAACTACCCACCAAATGTCCTTGAGCAACAGAACACACAAAAGAAATTTAGAAATAAACCCATTAAGAAACATGAAATGCCTTATTAATCTGGAGAAGCATCAAGCAGAAAAGTCTATATCAACCACCAGGTTGGATATTATTCAAGATTCTTCATAAGTGCATTACATTTTATCCTAGTTTCCTTAGCAAACTCTGATTGCATTGCATAGTTTAATATTCCTAAGACATTCTGATAATGAGGCAAATCATGGGAATACGCACCTCTTTTAGACTTATCTTGCAACTGTAGATGATATTTGAACCATCTCTCTTAAAGTGAGCATGTCCCTTGTCTTTGAGCACAAAGGCTATGTCTGCAGGAATGTTCTCAGGGGTTTCATCCCCCTCTTTTGGAAAGGTGATCTTGGTGCCTTCCTTCCAGCCTTTCTTTATGACAATGTTGAGGATCTTGTCTTCAGTCCTCATGCTCCTGCCGTCTGGATTCAATCTGCGTCGTGTAATTTTCATCCTCTTGGTGCATCCATGGAAGATCTCTTCCAGCGAGACCTTCAGCTCATGGACCACAGGAGGATCCTGGTGTTTTTGACTAGCTCCAAGTCGTTCTGAATGGACACCCCTCCTGCGACGGCCCTCTCCAGCAAAACCATTCTTCATGCCGCCTGTAAAACCAAACTGCCTCCCAAAATGGCTGAAGGGGTCCTCATCCTCAATGTCCATGTCCTGGTCTCCATCATTGTTGTGATCATTGTGAAAGGAGAAACCATTAGAACGGTTATGGTTACGGCTAGAGCTAAAAAACATATCAAAGGGGTTTGAGCCTCCGAAGAAAGAAGCAAATGTGGCGTGGGGATCTCCATGGAACGTATAGTGATATGCTGAACTGCCAGGGACACCTGAGGAGCTGCTTCCCCCCGTCTTTAAACCTGAAGGAAGGTACATATATATGTAAGTATCTTTAGATTAACACATAAATACATATGAGAAACACATGGTGGGAAGCAGTTCACATGTCTATAGAGTATTAAAAACAGTGGTTTAAACAGAGTAATACTAAATATTTGCTTGTGAACTTGTATTAATAGTGAAGTTAAAGCTAAAGTTGACATACCTTCTTCTCCCAGCTGATCATAGACAACCCTTTTCTTTGGATCACTGAGTACTTCATAGGCCTCAGCAATTTCCTTAAACTTTTCCTCTGCATTTGCATCTGTGTTCTTGTCAGGATGAAAACGCAGGGCCATGCGTCGGTATGCCTTCTTGATCTCCTCTTCATTGGCACCTTTTGGAATACCCAAAGTCTTGTAGTAGTCCTTCCCCATAGCTGGAAACAAGCTTACACTTGTATGGCTGCCAGGACGCCCTCACCAGCTCAGACCGTGGTCAGTCTCTGGTGGGAAATACATAGACTAATGTTAGGGCTTACAATAATGAATCACAAACTGACCAGATTGTCCTGGCAGCAGTGCACAGGGCATTCAAGTGCACCTCTGAACATACGGACACGTTTAGAGGATGCTGGAATAACCCTGAGGAACAGACATTTCACTAATGTTGCTATGGAGACACAGCTGATGAGGAGATAGAGCGGAGGGATCCCCGACATCAGCTGAAGCGCACGGCTTCTTCTCCAATGAGAGTCTGGCAGATACAGACAATAGCACTGATTGATCGGCCTATTATTTCGATTTTCAACTTTAAATGAAATTGCTTTTGCTAACACTGAATAGCCAGTAAGTTCAAGAAGGAAAGGTTTCTCCTGGCATTGCTGTTAAGCGGAACACGGACACCGGGAGCCCTTTCAACCAGTACGCTACTGCAGAGCTTTAAGTAGCCTGTCTGCCTGTGCATTCAAAGCTTTAGATTTACAGACTGACAGTACATGTTTCAAAAGCTTAGGGAATTAGCAACAAAATTATGTTAAGACAATGAAGAAATTGTTCTTTTTCATTAAAGTAATAAATGGTGGAGAGACAATGTGAACAAAATTAAGCTGTAGTCCGATAAATATGTAGACCCACAATAAAGGAGTCAACGGAGTGTTCAAATATTCTACTTACATGGCAATCAATTCAATTCCAAATAAATATCTCGGCTGGTTTTGAGCATTTCTTTCCCTCAGCTTCAGTCTGCGGCTGCCACCCGCCACCGCTGCGTCCTTATAAGTGACGTCAGGGCGCACAGCGAGGATCACACGCTCTGAAATAGCCGCTGACCAAATGCTGATGCGCATCTGACGTCCCAGTGGAAAACCTCGGACAACTGCCAAAAGAGCCCTTTCTCCGAAATAAACTTGTTACTCTGTCCATAAGAACGTTGTAGGGAAAGCTAAAAGGTTCTCAAAGGACCAAATTACCAACAAATTTCTCCGAAGTTACAGAAAGAACTCTTACCAAATCTTGTGGTGCAGACTGCCTCTCCAATTTGAAATAATCTTCAGGTCTTCTGACAGATAATTTGTAAAGTGGGTAGTTACTTACGTGTCTAGGGAGAGGGAAGTTAGAACACAAAACAGAACACATCGAGGCGAGTACGCTTGGTGTGTGTACGCGCACGCTCACGCGTTGTCGTGCCTCGGTAGAGTTGGTATTCAAGTGTTGAGTCATGTAGTGACTCTATGCACACGTTTTATGTACTGTGTTATGAATGTATGATTGTATAATTCTGAAAAATGTAGATATCCAAAAAGGATTCCACACCACCGAAATATTCTTTCATATTTTCAGTACAGTTAAATAAATATACAAAACTGGGGATGTCTTCTACGTGTAACTGTACCTTGCCTGTCTAATGTCTAATGCTAATAGTCAGTAAACACAATTGTTTGTATGTCAACTAAATATAAAATGTATTCACATAGGCTACTTGATTGAGTAGACAATGAGGAATCAAACAAACAAAAAGTACAAAATAAAGTACAAAAATCGTTTGCTATACAATGCTATATAGCAATGCACTGATAAAGCCTATATTTCAGAAGATTGTCAAGTGCATAGTACAAACAAAGATTTGATAGAAAACATGAGTAGAAAAGGTTGTGAATAGAAATACAAAATTATTTTGATCACTGCTCCAATGCAAGATGCACTTCAGGAACAGTTGCTCCTAAAATGATGCTGCGTTTCCATGGTGATGCAGAACATGCCAGACTTTGTGTCTGCCAATGTACTGTCTGCAATAAGCCCATTATGCCCACTGTGCCTATCTACATGTGCGAAAGGCTGGGACTATCAATAGTTCTGTATTGGCTATTCTTTCATTAAAGATAACAGATAAAATAATAGAATAAACAGAGGCATAAATAAAACATATAGGGCATCATTATACAGATCTGACTGATCAAAGTGTATGGTGATCACTGTTACAACTGCCCATTACCTCCCCTCCTCTTTTAGTTTAGTTCAGATCCTCAGAACAAGCTGTTCTCACCACCTCCTCTCTTCCTTGTACCCTTCTGGTAACCATAGAGACCACAGTTGTCTGATATATATATTTTTAAAACCTGACAGCTTTGGTGTCAATTAAGGCAGCTGGATCACATAAGGTAGCTAAAGTTAAAACACTTGTACTAGACCCAGTTGCAATATTTACCACATTTATAATTTTAATACAATGCAAAATTTGTAATATGATCTTAACAAGTGTGGTTAAATCAGTACTTGTAAGGCCTCCATGTCTATTTATAGGCTATGGAGAATAAAGCACAAAACCAACCAGAGTATAGGATTTTTAAGGTGACTGGACAAAAATACATCTCTTTGGTTGAAACAAAGAAAGCACAAATACATTTTGGTCAAAAACAAGCAAATGTTTCCATATTTTTTGCACACAGCACAACAGTGAAGGCAAATTCATAGCCAGATGAGAGCATTAATACTAACATTTGTATAACATACGGCCTTCTATTTTACTCATGCCTCCAACTAAAATCTAAATGTCAAGTATCATATTTTGTCAGATCTTAATACAAAGATGCGCCACACAATCTGAAGAAAATTAAATACCAAGTCAAAATTTGTGCCCCACTTTATAACAAGTACATAGATGGTTGTGAGTCATGAATGAAAATATTAAAAGCTATTAGCTTAAGAAATCATGGCAAAAAAGCCTACCACAAAACTGATTGATGTTTGATTTACCAAAGAGCTAGAACTGCCATTTTTAATATTTGCAAATTTTTTGCTAGAATCGTTAGAATAGTTTGGAACTAGTGGGTAAATACGTGGCAACATTATGACCCAATAAGAGAATACCGTCTGAAAAGAAAAAATCCTCCTGTTGAAGTCACAATTTGTGGATTATGTGAAGGTATCTAACATTAGGATACAAAAGGTTGACAAGTAGAGCCAGCAGTCGAGGTCCATCCTTAAGACAGTGTCCGGGGTAACGCATAAATTCGACTGCGCTCTTTACGCATTCTTCATACTCAGAATAGTGCTTATTGCTTGGCAAAGCTTCCAATGCAGATAGTGCCTGTTAAAAAAAACAAAAAAAACCCCACAACATGCATTATTTTCACAAACAACCACAAAGTGTGAACACAGTTTGAGTTGTAATATCTTCTACCTACTTGTTGTGCTTTCACAGAAAGTTCAGTAGTGGGTTGAAGTCGCAGCTCAGACTCTTCCTCTGATGGCACCTGAATTGAGAGAAACACCGAGAGGCATCGTACCACCACTCTGAAACTAGAAACACAAAGGATTATATTTAATAATTTATTATTATTCAAACAATTCATAAAATATGTGATAAAATATGAAAACATACTTTTTAGAAACAGGGGATCGCTTTCCAAGACCTATAGCTCCAAGCAAGCCAGAGTTTAAACGCTCCTCTCCCATCTGAAGTAACCTTGTTTGCAGCCTCAACAAACCCATGATAATTCCTGACACCTCAGTATTTCCTGCCTGTGGCTGCAACTGCTCAGCTGACAGACAAAGGGTCTTGTGCCACCAAAGAAACAGTTTGGCCTCATCAGCGGGTCCACTGTTGGAACACCAGAACTACTTCACCAAAGTGCCAATAATGGAAACCGTGGATAAGATGAAGAAGGGGTCAAACCTGGGGAACACCTGATTGCTCCATGTGTTGATTAAAGCCAAAATCTTCCGCTCATTGGCTGCAGTGTATTCACTGTTAAGGCGCTGGAGGATGAAGGCATAGAGAGTCAGGAAGCTCCCACCTGATTGGCTCTCAGAAAGAAAGTCATCTATTGTGAGCTCGGGCACCTGAAGGGATGCCAGCACGGGACCCCATCCAGTAGACTCTTCTTCAACTTAAATAGGGGAAGAACACAATGAAAACAGACAATCAGACAGAACAGAGTTCATTGTTCAATAGAACCAACCATGATTAAAGTAAGCGGTAATGCAGGCCTCCATTATGCGCGTCATGTGTCTGACTGATGCCAGACACCGCGAACAGGCAGTAAGAAGAGGTAGAACAGGAAAACTCCTTCCCTTCTGGTTAAGCCAGGAAATGACATGAGCAGCTAGAGCCTCTCCTGTCGAAACGCCCACACCATTGAGCAGAGTCAGTGCATCACTAAAGAGATTGCAAAATGCCATGTGTCGCTGCTCCAAGCCTGTTTCTATAAAGTAAAACATGAGATGAGTTTTAAGAAAAATTAGATAAAATTAAGTTACGGAAAAAAGGACCACCTGGTGGGTTGAAAGTGACAATGCCTTCCAACAGTGTGTCAAGCTGGATCTCCAGACTGCTCAGAGTAATGCTGCCTCCTTGTTCTAGAGTGACTAATGATTGAACACACCAACGTATGTATGCTCCAGCCTTCAGTGTTTCCTCCTACAGGCCAAAAAGCATTAGGTGGTCAAATAATTGGAGATTAAAATAGTTTATGACTTAAATCTCACCACATGCGGCTCAGGACTGATGCTATGGTGCAGCCCAGCCGCACTACGCAGTAATTTAAGTAACAGTTGAGGCGCAGAATCAGGATTGAGAAGGAGAGAGGGAGGGTAGTGGGTGCTGACATATCCCAGAATCCCTTGGTATGAAGACATATCCAAGCGCTGCCATGGCAGCGATATGGACTGGACCAACAAACTAAGTAATGGGGAATCCTAAAGATAGTCACAAAATGGACAAATAAGGAAATATGCAGTGTGTTGTAATCATAAGTTATACAAAACTGAAAGCTTACTTGTAGAATTAGAAGTTGCTCCTCTTTAGCAAGAAAAACAAGCATGTACAGCAGATAAACCAGCATACTGTGTGATTCCTTCTGAGCATCTAATGCCAGAGATGGATGTGTTTGTAGGTGTTCACTTAAAACACTGACCCAATTCACATCACATAAAATTTCCCCCATGAATAAAAAGCAACTTTTGGGGCTTCCTCTTTCAACCTGTTTAAGAAAGAAAAACTGCATTGTTTAAATAAACCCTTAAACAATAATCATAATTAAAAATAGTCAAGACTACATGAATCAAAATAGCAGTTCTATGGAGGTTCTGGATCTGACTAGTAGTGGGGTAAAATAATTGGAAAAAGGCTAATAATAGGACCAGAAGGTCATAAGTAAAGGCTCAAGTTAAGCAGCAGCCTCACATTATGCAGGTCTAAATTTGAGTGTAATGTTTAAGGTCAGAGTTCATGTGTCTGGTTGTGGCTCACATTGAAGAGCTGCTCCATGAGTTGAGTGTCCGGGTATAGGTGTCTCCAGGGGAGGCTGCGAAGGTGTGTGTGATAGAGATAGAGCAGGTATTCAGGGGTCCGGGGGGCAGTACAACTCCTACAATACTGCATCATACACAGCCATAGGGTACCCCTCTGCCCAGGGAGCAAACGGTCTGGAAGCAAAACAACTTTTACAGTAAATAGTATTTTTTATAGCAAACAAACAGGAAACATTTTATAGCTGAGCCTAACCTCTGAACCTGTGGTGCAATGTCTCTGTCAGTTGAGTATAAAGTCCAACCAAAGCTCCAGCAAGATTTGCATCAGTTTCCAGCCAGGGATAACACTTAACATTACTGGGAGAAACCAAGATGTAGGCATATTTCTTACAAAAACATCAATCTAATTATGAAGATACATATATATATTCTAATCTGATATATAAAGGAGAATTAATACATTAATACATTCAAATAGCTCATGTTATTACCTGCCATCTTCTGTGTCCAGAGGGAAGATCCATGGACTAAATAACTTTACGATCTTACTGTGTAAGTTTTGCAAAGCTGAATGAAGAATGATTTCAAATTAAATATTTCATCAAGAAAATGTTCAGGATAATGGTTTAAAGTTTTGCATTTATTACATTTTAATATTTTGCTGCTGCCCACTGATTCTTTTGCACAGTTGCTTGCTTGTACGCTGATTAAAGTACCAATCAAATGTTCCCAGAAGGACACAACATCGGTGATGTAGGGAGCCCACACCGAATAAAGACCAAAACTGCGAAGATCACTTTTAGTGAGACGACTTCGTTGAAAATATTCACTGAGCCATTCAAGAGTTTCCTCTACCTTTGGAGACAGGAAAAATAGATGATAAAAAACATGATAAAGCATCTAATTGACAACCACATTAACAATCTTTACCTGCTGAGGAGAGAGGCTGATGGGAGATCTATAAGAAGAGGTTTGATGTCCAACAGCACGGCCAGAAGAATCTAAAATGTTTTGGACCTGTGCATCTTTGGTCTTGTTGTGTAATGAAGGTAGGCAGCCCAGCACGCGCAAAGTCACCTTCCAACACTCTGGACTCAGTAACTGATCAGATGAGCCTTAGGAAATGTACACACATGAAATAGCAATACAATATTTTGTACACTTTTTATCTCATTGAGCATGACATGATGGAACTAATAAGACAAGTTAAAGAAAGACTTACTGTTCATAAGCAGACGCAGACAATCACTGTAGTGGTCAGGAAAATGATGACGTAAAATCAAGGTCCAGTGTTTGGTGAAAACATGGAATGGTGTAAGAAGTTCTTTTTCAGGTTCTTTGCCACACACACACAGAGCACCATGAACTAACTCCAGCAAACGTGTCCTCTCAGAAAAGACAGGATTTGTTTCAGTGAGCCACTGGACTAGGTCAAACTGCCAAAGAAGAGGAAAATGGACTGCTGATGCTTATAGTTTTTGGTAGTAATTTAATGATATGATAAAGAACTAACCTTAGTGAGCAGCATAAATATGACATCAGTGGTTTCCAGGTCAAGGGATGTCACCACATCTTGGTACAAAAACACAAGCTGATCTGGTGCGGCGTTCGGCGTAAAGAAAGGAGAAATGAGAGGGCAGAGACGTCTTTGTTCCAGAATGGTTTTCAAAACTTGGCCACACTCTGCTGCATTGCCCTGGATAAACACCTAGGTAGAAAAGTAAACATCACAGTAAAATTGCAGTGATATAGATAACAGATAATAGCAGCTCTGATTTATTACACATTTGAATAACTGCTTATCAACAGGACATAAAAATTCAAATAATTGAATGGACTCTAAATAATTCTTAATGTTAAGTTCATCAGCTAAATGTAGGACACAGAAAAGAAACCCCAATGTTGATTATGAGCTCATTTGTTTTGAAAGTTTCACACCACTTTTGCGTCCCTCGTGCCTCTTGCAGTATGCATTTGCTGGAGTGTATTGCTGTGCACCTGTCCTAGGATCTCCACACAGGAAGAGAAGTACTGCCGTGTCGGGGGATGCCGCAATGTATCTTCACACACAAAGGAGACCACCTGGTAGAATGTGGCCACACCAACATGCTGCACAGCAGGCAGTCTCTGAACCTTGTATAAATTCACCAGAGCCCTGAAAACAATAAGAACATAGTTCATTTATCATTATTGCAATTAAATATATATTATCTATTTAAATTTACTGACGTGATAAAATTCTCTGTGTGCACTGCTGCCTGGGCCAAACTCTGGTGCGGTGGGGCCATTGCATCTGTTTGAAGCTTCTTAATATCCCGACGCAGCGATGCTATCTGAGAATGTGTTGCTTCTTGTTTCTGAAGTTTTTCACACTACATTGCAAACAAAACAGTTAAACATACATTCCGTTTTAATAATGCATCTAGTACCAATAAATTCTGTTCTTACAGTCACAGTGATATTAGCAGGTCCCTGGCAAGGTTGGCCTCCTCTTCCTTTACATTCAAGGGTCATGGTGACTTGCTCAGGTCTGTTTTTATACAACAGAGGGAGACTCTCCAGTAGCTCTAGCTCCAAAGCCACCTGCTGAGCTTCACAGGCTACTGCAAGCCTGGTATCAAATAAATATTAAGTAGTATCTCATCAACATTATTATACAGAGAGGAGAATTATGTTATGAGGTTCTAAAGTACCTAGCTTGATCCTGCAGAATGCCAAGATCCTGTTTCAAAAGTTCAGCAGCAGCTCTAGAGTCTGTGAGACATTTTGTGGGAATATCAGCCACTGGCACTTTCTGAGGCTGTAGCTCCGGAGCCGGCTGAGGGACTGGATGCTTTTCTAGGTTGGCTAATATTCGTTCCCTTGCTGTAAATTACAACAGAAACATGAAGATCCTTTCTTTAAGATTAAACTTTAACAGTAAAAATGAATATCTTTTTTGTTCAGTTGTTTCCTGATTGGGGTTGCCTTGGCAAATGACTTCTCTCCGCTCCACCTGACCATATACTTTGCTTATCTCACACAATCTTATTCATTATATCTCTAAATTAACTTTGGTTTTGCCTAGACCAACATATACATACAACTATATTGTAAAATTAGATGAGTATATTTAGCGTAAACTATACAAATTTAACATACCATTATTAAAGCTTGTGTAGTCAGGTAAACTGTAGCTTTGAGCTTGGAGAAAAGTCGGTTCACTCTGCACCTTTTCCCACAAAGACCGCACCTCCATTCCATCATATTGCAGACGCTCTTGGTCTATAAACTCCACCCATGGCACCTTGAATGAGACATACTAAAACATGAACAAATGCAAGCAGGCAACAGTAACAAGGTTGAGTAAGTACTCACTTGTTGCCGCTGCATAACTTGTGCGAGTCTGTGAGGTTCATACTCAGGAGGAAGAGAGGGCAGGTAAACCTCCTGTTTTTGCAATGTCTCATCATCCAGCCATAACGCAAAAACCCCAAACAACCTGTGGACAGTAAAGTCAGATTAGCTTTTATTAGAAGTTCAGACTAACATTTAAAGATTTACCTGACTAGCTCTGTGTGAAGCTTTGGTGAAGTGAGATAAGGTGGTTGAAGGTTGCCAGAACTTTCGTCAACTTGACTGTCTGATGATGGCGTTTGTGGGGGAGGGACCCTAAGGGCCTGACTGGCTGCATGATGAAAATCTGAAACTTCTTGAATTTTCTGTCTTAAATCTTTAAGAAGGGCAACTTGAGAAGAAGACAGGAAGAATCTCTGCCCTATGCATCCACCTGCAGCAAACCTGTCAAATAGAATATACTGGCTTCATTACAGCCCTGAACCTTTTTTCTAGCAGGTACATGTTATGTTGAGTCATACCCATACTCCGGCCCAGGCTGTCGGAAATAAAGCTGCAGGAACTTCTGCCACACCAAAGGAAGAAGAGGGTGGTCTGGTGGGGTGGCCACAGCCTGACAGGCCCAACGATAAATTTGCATTCGTTGCAAAGACGGGGTTACAGGCAACTTTAGCCTTTGCTGTGCTTTCTGGCTCAGAAACATAAATACCACCATTGAGATACTGAACTAAACCTGTCTGATAAAGAATTTTTTCAAGTATTTATTATCTTTTCCTGTCATTAGTGATTTGTTTTTACCTTCCAGGCATGTTCAGGTGAGAGGTTGAGGTCTGAGAGAAGCTCTTGTTCGACACATCTTCTGAGTTGGCAGTCTTCCTCAAATACACCCTCCATATTCAGCACAAGCCAGGCAAACCACACCTGTACGTGCACCTAATGTTTGAGATCTTTTCAGGTGATACACAAGTCATATAATTTTTAGAAGGTTACCTCAGCAGCCAATGACTGGCCTTCAATAAAGGAAGGTGTTACATTCCCAGAAAACCAGCCAACAATGGAAGACAGCAGACCTCGGTCTCCATGAAACCCTAAGGCGGTCTGCAAAATACAATTTATAAAATTACACCACATGTACTTTTGACCTGTGCATTTGTAAGTCATAGTAACTTCGTAATAATGCAAATCAAACCTTGTGTTGTTGATACAGTAGTTTCTGTACACACTCCTCCTGGTGGTGATTGAATGCAGCACAACAGATTTGATCCATGAGGAAAAGGACTGTTTTGTCTCTGTACCACAAATTTTGCTGAGTCAACAAGCTGACCCAAAACTCCAGTACCGCGGCAGCACCAACACGGCCAGGCTGAGAACTTTCTACAACATGGCTCTGCATCAATAAATAGTAAGTTAAAAAGGTCAAATAATATAAAATCAACAGAACAAAACACACATTTCCTTTCTGTGACAAACCTGAATGACACTGTTTAACAGTCGGACATTGTCACCATAAGTGTTTCCTGTGAAGAGAGGTGCCACTCTGTGCGTGACTTGTTGTGTGACACCTTGAGGACAAACACTGTCACACTGTAAGAATGTTTGTATACAACTTACAAACCTGGAATAAATAAAGGGGAAAAAATAACACATTAGTGAATACTATTTATTCATTTACTTATAAAAATCCATTAAAATGTGCAAAATATTTTACTGTGAGTTGTTGAGCAGGTAGAAGCTGAGGTGGTAAGTTGGTGGTAAGATGTTGTCAAGTAAATGCACAGCAGCTCTTAAATGGCGAGACTGAATCAGATTTTTCAGCAAACCAACGCCATCAGTGCAAAAGCTTTCTAAACTGATGATAAAAAGTAATTACAAAAAATAGTTAATACATGGTTATAAACAGTTATCTGATATATTATAGATATCCTACAAACCTATGTCCCACTGCAGTCATTGCAAGAGAAATATAGCTTCCAATGGGGAGGCCTGATTTTACTGCTCTGAGAACAGGGTGCATGCTGGGAGTGTGTGTCAGTTCTGGAGGTGGATTTGAGGCTAAAGCTGGGACTGACCAAGCTCCTTTAGGCGTTTGGGCATTTCCATGAAGTTTCAGCCTAAGCAATATTTGCCATGCCCACTGACTGAAAGATACCTCTGGAGACACTCCTAAACGAAGGACACTTGCGAGATAGGATACCTGAAAAAGTAACATAAAACACAAAAAATGTATTTTATTTAATATATTTGTGTTTGACTCTTTCAAATATCGCAAGGTTTTACCTGTTTAATTCCCTCTGATATGAGGCCAGTATATGCTTTATCAGTAAGGTACTTTTGATAGGCTTCAGCCACCAACAGAGCAACCTCACTATGAAGACAAGACGGTAAGGCCAATCTTCCATCCTGTGATACAAAAAAAGCATTGTCTTTCAGTGATAATTACAAAAATATAAACATATTCTCAAGGCAGAAAATACCTGTGTGTACCCCCAGTTGAGACCTTCAAGTATGACACATGCTAGACAGTTTTCTACAGCAGAAAGTGGATGTTGTAACAGCCAACTTCCAATGACACAAATCTCCTCTGGACAAGGCTGCCATAGGCTTAAAGGTAGTTCTTTAAATAAGTACAATGCCACCTTACACATAAAAGAAGAACAAAGAAAGCTCTATAAATTAAGTACGTATAGGCTTTATAAGAATGCATGTAAATACCAACCATTCCCACGGTTTGTATGGTGTCTCTCAGTCTCTCCAACAACACAGAGATAATGAAGGGATGCGCTGTGGCAATGGCAGCCAGAAGCTCTCGTCCGACTTTAGAGTACATTTCTCTGGTAGTCATGCTTACATAAGACACCTAAAATAAGAGCATTGTCAGCTGAAAAATCTTAAGAAGTATATTTCGATGACAAATCTTTTTAAAAAGACATAATACCTGATATATGAGAAGTGTCACTGTTTTAATGAAGGCACGATCAATATGCTGCATGGGTGTGGCCATATGTGCAAGTGCAGTGAGGAGGGAGATGCCATCAGAGCTGTTGACTTCACAAAGCCACTGTTCAAACCGCTCCTGGTGTTGTGGATCTGAAATAGAAACAGTGTGATTGTGAACATTAACATTTAATTTAATTAATTTTTTGTTTTGATGGCCATAAAAGAATGAGAACTTCATAAATATATTTATTTAAATGGGTGTGTTTGAAAAGAGGGAGCAGCCAAAAAACATGAACAGTGAAGAATCCCGTACACTGTCTTACTTACAAATTGTGAATATTATTAGGACATCAACAATGTTTCAGCACTACTAATAAAATAATACTAATAAAATTCACAATTTGCAAGTAAGATTTGGGGGATTCTTCTCTGTTCTTGTTTTTATGGCTAACAATGGAGTGTAGTACCTTGGAGAGCGTGGATGCAGAGATTTGTATCTTTTGCACAGGCCATGGTTTCTTCCCCTGCTGTTTCTGCACACTGCATGACATACAGGACCTTCCATAGCATTGAGCTGGACAGAGTCCCATAGGGCATCTCTGACATAAACAACCAAATACCTAATCTGTGAGAAGAGCAAACAGTATTAAAGGGTCAAGTGCAAGTTCAACAAATAAAAAATAATGTACCATCATAATCGTATTTAATAAGACAAGACAACTACCTCTTGTTTCTGAGAACATGCAAAACAGCTCTGAGAAAGACGTGATCATATTCCAGCTGTAACTTCTCCAGTGAAAATGAATGCACTTGGGAGTTGGACCCCTCTTCACCAGTAATACTCACATGCTGGGCCCAATGGTCACTTACATAGCACACTGTCATTCTATTGAAGAAGAGATAGATTTCACTATTAACATTGATTACTGAGGTATATTTGCACAATCTACTTACCTTATAATATGACCAATTCGTTTGACCAACTGTCTGTACCGTGCTCTGTTGTAAGTTTGCAAACCAACAGCCAGTATTTCAATGAGGGCAGAAGCAAATGCAAACACACGCATCATTTTCTGACTGGAACAGGCTTGTGGCTCATAAACACCTGGAATGGATGTACAAAATGTTACAGTATGAATATGAAATCAAACATTTAGTCCAGAGAATGTGAATAATACAGGACATGCATACCCTGTTTACTCATTCCCAACATGTGAGAATAGAGCTCCTGGAATGGAAACTGGTTGAGCAAAGCTATTAGATCTTCTTCACATAACAACACCCAACTAGTCTCTGGATTTTCATCCTAAAATACAAGAGATTGAGAATAAAAAATAAGTATCCAAGGACAAAAACAAAGGTCTTTATCCTCCATAACTACCTCTTCCCCCCCTTCATCAACTAATGTCCAGTTCCCAGATTCTGGACCAGAATATGTGGCACTCTGACTTTCACATGGCTTCAGATGGCTGAGAAATTCTTCTCGATGTCTACAACAGGGTAAAGAAAAGATTATATTAAAAGAAAAAAAAAATTACATTGATCTGAGGCAAGAAATAGTTATTTACCGAGCAGGGGACATAAAAATGGACAAGGCTTGCATGAAGTCCTGTACTCCACAAGTATTCCTCCAAACTTGAATCTGAAGTTTGCAATAGGAAATTCATTTGATATTGCAAGTTGATTATTAATCAAATAACCACAGCCAAACAAACCTGCAGAAAATGTGCAGCCCACTTTGCCACTCCTGCAGGGCAGCACAACAAATGGCACAGTAGATAAAGATGTTCTCCTGACCCTCCATTAAGGAGGACTCCAACCTGAATGGCAAGCAAACAGGATAAATAATATAATTGATGATATAGAACACATGACCATCAAAAATGTTTTTTTACCAGTCTTTCCAACCAATGATGAATATCTGACTGAAACTGAGAATCATCCAGGACTCTACGTAGAAAACTAAACAAAACACTGATGGCTTCTTTTAAAGGTCGAAGAGATGAAGGCTGGTTCCGTGAGCATGAACAATCTAACAAAAAGAGACAGATTGTAACAATGTTAACATGTGTTGGAAATGTCTTTTATGTGTCTATTTGAAACCAAATTAAATAGTTACAAACCTTTTAAAAGGCGATACAAATAGGACTCCACTTGGAGACGGGAGAGTAGAGCAGTGTAAGCATGCAAGGCCACCTTTTGATGAAGCAACTCTCTACGAGTTTCAAACTGTCTTTTTAGTTCAATCAGAACCTTTTCATTAAAGTCTGCCTGCTGGAATCGGTGGTATCCACATACTTTAGATTGGTCTGCACACACTCCCTGTAAAAAAAGAAATGCTCAGGTCACTTATATAGAACTATATTATGCAGTAATATATTGCTGTGCATTACTCTATATGGTTTACTGTGCACAAACCTGAAGTGTAAGCTGTTCGTCTCTGAAACTCCAGAGTCGGTTCTGTGTGCTTTTGCAATCAGAAGACAGTGTGTGCAGCTGAGCATGTGACTGTGTCAGTTGTCTTCGACAACGCCAATAGTTCTGTAACAGTTCAGTCAATTCGTGGTTTTCTTGTCTAGCAAGAGTACAGAACTGGGTCGCACACACTTCAACGCCCTCTAGCCATGATCGCAGGCCTCCACCAGGCTCCCAGACACTTAGCTGCTCAAGTGAGAACGGCTGTGGAGATATTGTGTGATAAAAACATATGATTTGTTACACAATGTTTAACTAAAAACAAATCTCAATGTAATGTAATTTATGTAAAATTAACCTGAATTTCCGGAGCTGTTTTGGGTAATTCTGGATAAAGTTTACTTCTTGAGAAATCTGTGACAATTTCAATGGGTTGTAGACTTGGTGGGGAGGACTCTTGTTCGGCAAGGGCCAAAACAGCAGGCCCTTGACCAGAGATTTTAGATGCTTCTTCACAGAAAGGTACTACATGGTGTTCCTCTAGGGTGGGTAAAGATGGGTACAGTGCAGAAGCACATGGGGCAGTTGGGGTTTCAAATAGTGTGGAGGTACAAGTTTTACTCCAGGATTGTTCATCTGATTTCAGCTCAAGTGTCTTTGGTGTGAGTTCTGCAACATCATTATTTATCTCTTCTTTTGAACTATCAACAAAGAGATACATTTCTGAGAATTTGTTCGATAATTCATCTTCAGACTTTAAAAGTACTGCAGATGATGCTTGTGACTGCTGGTCACATGACTCATCTTGAGACTTGACTCTCTGTAACTGAGTCTGTTCCTCTTGTTTGTCCTCAGGCTGTTGCAGTGGGTTAGAGGCCTCTGGCTGTTGTGAAGGGCTAAGGGTCTCTGCCTGGTGGGGAAGACTAAGGGGGATGTCAGTGAAATCTGATATGCAGGCTTCATCCACTACATTTATGGGTATAGCTTCTCTTTTTTCTTCACTTTGCTTAGGCTTCCTGGCAAGCTGGGATTGAAAACATTCACATCAATTACATATTTAGATTTAACCTGAACATCAGCAATAAACATTGTTTATTTTACCTGAGATTTGCCACTGTTTTTTGTCTTGGTCTTCTTTGGCCGGACGGCCTCCATATCCGGTGCCTACTGACCAAATGTCTTTAGCGTTGTAATAACATTGAAACAATGCTTGGAGAGCTATTTATAACCAGAAGTATAACTACAGCAGATAACGAAACATTAACGATACGAGTTGACGTATCGTAAAATCAGGATGTTTTCCTGGTGGTGTTAGATAAAAGAGTCAGTAGCGGTCAGCAGTAGTAAACAAAAACATCGTGGCCATGTCACTGACAGCTAGAGACAACACTAAACGACAGCAAGGAGAAATACCGCAATATTTGTACGTAGCGTTAATTCCCGGAAAGAAGGGGCCAACCTGTGTCAGTGCAGATAAACACAACAAACAAGCTCCGTTACAGCGCGGCTTAGCCGATACCAGGTTATGCGCTACTTTCACTTTTCAGTTTAATCTTCATCCGTCTGTTATACCCTCCTGTGTTCTTAGTCCAAATGCATCACATTACACGGATTCACGAAACGAAAAGGATCTCTTGGCTGGTCATCTGTCATTTGTTTTGTTTTCTCTAGGAACTCCTATCGCAATCTCATCACGTGACTTCTCCACCTCTCGATGGAAGCCGAGTGGGTTCAAACAAGTAGGCGTTTGGAATAGGACCATGGGGCTAAAAGGGGTATTTCTCAAATTCCAGGAACCTTCGGAGGGACTACGCCGTGTCACCTGACCAAATCAGACTTTATTTTAATAGATCTATGGATAAAACTCTGAATTTTAATAAATATCAGTGTTTCTACAAATATAAAATATTCAAATGTGTTTTTAAGTGTCACATGCATTAAAACTTGTGAATATTAAGGCTGAGTGAAACACCTGTTACTGTGTTATTGAGTTATAAATAGATACACAGGTTGAAACATTTTCGGATGACAGACTAATTTTATTGCCAAGCCCTTTAAGAGATTTTGCACTCCGAGGTGTCCACGGAACATAGTTCTATGCCACAGATCTACCCCATGGGATCCCCTCGTGCATTCTTGCTAAAAGAGCCAGGCGGAGTGGAGCGAGCTTTGGGGGAAGTGGAGCACCACTTGGCGGAGCTCTGAAGACGTGAATCTGTCCGAAGTGGTTTAGAAGCCAAGGATCCTGACAATTGGGGAAACACCAGAGCTGTGCCCATGTGCTGTACACTGTGACTACTCTATTGTAATTCATTATACTAACATTATTCTTAATTCATGATCAAACTATTTTATATTGAAACCATTTCATGATATATATTTTGGGATGAATAACAATGCCATATCCATAGAGCAATATAGCTTACAGTGGTCTATATAGAATTTGTATGACAACACTGAGTGGATTTTTATTTTTAGATAAGAGGGGTAAAAAAAACAAACTTTTACTGTTCCACTGGTTATTCTTAAATTTGTTCTGTAACACATATACAATATATTTTAATTGAGTGCAATTATATTAAAGAGCTGTCCAGACAAGGGCTTGCTGATGTTTGCTTTGTATTCTTATGGAGAGTTGATGTTGGGTCGCAGGGTAGAGTTAAATTGTCTTCTGAGTCCTGCCTGCAGAGCCTGTATAAAGGAAGGTATTCTTGTTTGTATTTATGACTTGGTGCTTCATCAGCTCTGAGTGTAGGATGTACATATGCTTGGCTTAGAGCCAAGCTTAGTATTTCTGTTTTTTCTTTGTAAAAGCGGAGTTCCTGCCCCTTCCGTCGAGCTAAAACCAGTTCTTTTTGCGCTAAATGTAATTCGTTTCCAATCCGTCCAGGTGATCTCTGTTCTCGACTGAGCCAGTCCAGAGCCATGCTACTGCGCATGTACTCATCAAGGCCTCTTTGAGAATAATATGAAATCACACTCTGAAAATTATGAGAAAAAAAAAGATGATACAAATTTTATTAAAGCAAATGAGCTGTAATAATGTTTTTTACCTGCCGAGAAAACTTTCTTTCCCTCAGTGCTTTGAGAGTTCCATTCCAATGCAATAATTGGAAAATTGTCATCATTTCCTTGAATTAAAAATATAAATTGCTTTCACAATCTGCTGCAAATGTAGATTCTTATCTCTGTTTTACCTGGAACTGCAGCATAGTCTTCCCAGTGTACGAGTGAAGCAACAAACTGTAGGTTCCTAGGCTGGTGTCTGAATTTCTGGCATCCTCAATAGATATCTGAAAAAAGTACAATAGCGCAGACTAAATACATCTCATATTTAAAATTATCTAGAAACCTTATCAAGCCTAAATAATAAGGTGTAATACATGATTTTATGCAATGCTGGATTATTCAAATGTTTACGATTAAATATGAATGGTATTTTTACACAATGCATAGCCTACTCACAGTGCTGTCAGATGCTGCCTGTTGCAAACTTTCAGTAATGAACTGTGAGGTGATTTGTCGACATGGCAGCTCATTCACCAGTGAGTTCATTAAGGCAACGCGAGCTGCATCCCTCCGGGCCTCTGCCTGAGTGTTGCACACCTGCACAAAGGGAAAATGTAATTATTTTAACAGGACAACACAGGAAATTTCACAAAACATATTTTAGTGGGATAAATCAAGTTCCATCCCCATAAAAATCCAGTTACAGAACTAATATCCCATTTGCATCACATTATATATAGTTATTTTTTTAATCCAAAAGATATTAGACCATAGTGATTAGATAAACACCTTGTAGTTACCGAAGCAACTTCCTCCAGGCAGTGTAACATAGCAGACACAGGAGGACCCTGGCGCAGACTCGTACAACAGCAAGCGCTCGCTTCTGCTGCCATTCTCTCCAGATAAACCCTCTGATTCAGTGTACGAACTCTTGGTGGGACTAATCTGCTTTTGCTCCCAGAAGTTGTGGAGCATTGCCACTACATTCACTGCACACAATGAAATACTAATGAACCATTACGTAAAACATCTCAGCACCACAGCAAGTAAAATCAGACAAGAAAAAATATGTAGTACTTAGTACTTTCCTTAAGACAATATTCTACTTTGTTAAGAGTTAGTCCATGCAAGTTGAATTGTCAATATATAATAAAATATATTATAATACTCACAATCATTGAGTCTGAAATCTGTCTCCCATAGTGGAAGATAGGAGTTGTAGTCAACTTTTTCTTCACTCATCCTTACACTTGGTCATCCGTTTAACTTATTCCACGTTTTTCTAGTTAAACCTTCAAATAACTTTAAACCAAATTCTTCATTCAAGAAGAAATAGTGAAAGCCCTCTGACACAGCTTTCTTTGCCCACTCCCACCTCCTTCTGCAGTGTGAACGTCTCTCTGGGGCTTCTTTTATGAAGCAGACCACCTTTGTCACTCTCCCTGCCAATTAGCTTCGAGGCCCCCCTCACTCTTTCTTCACACACACACACCAAGGTGCAGCAGTGGAATGCCGCACCCCTCCCCATGAGCTATACAACTGGCTAATCCTTGAACAGCCAAATTATTCAAGACCAGCGAAGACGTCTCTGAGTGGAACCACACACTTGTTACGTATTGTTCAGTATTAAATATAAGCACATTTTTCTCAAGCCATCTGCATAGGCCTAGTGCTTTAACAACCTAAAAGGGAGACATATTTACATTGATTTAATTCAGAGTTTAGCAAAACGAGCCCTGATTTCTATGTAATTGTGCCCCAGGCTCCTTTACGAATATACATTATTGATAAATTAATTACTTCCTTTGCATAGCAACAATGATAAAATGTCTTTAGTTTTTGTTCTTTGCTCTGATATGAAATCATCTGAATGTAAATTGGATGGTCAATACAAAGGATCATTCAGATGATTGCCTTTTACATTTTGACAGAGCAGCCACACCTTTGAAAAGGCTTGAAACTATTTTAGGTCTGTATCACAATGACATTCAGTGTAGTAGCAAATATAGTGGTAGAATGAGTTAAATGACTTAATATAATCAATTGGACCAGTTTAGCAGAAAGCCTTGAAGGCCATATTTAGCCCCCAGGCCATAGTTTGGACACCTCTGCTATAGCGATATATTAGCATCCATAAGAATGTTAACTCTATTTTAATTTTACTTTATTTAATAGAACATCAAGAATTCATATTTGTGTCTAAAGTGATAAATACTAGTAAATTATATATCATAATGTATTGTGACAGAATGACAGTTCGGTTGATATGGCGAGTGAGTCCATCTTGAAGAAAACCTCTGAAACCTTGATAAAACAAAAACAGAGAAAACAGAGCATCCATTTTCAGAATTATCCCCAGAATTCAGCACCCTCCATACTGGATTTAATTGTATTTTGTGTGTCCCTCCTTGATTTTGTCACCAGGTTGGCCTCTCCTTTCTGCAGCCTTCTTCTCTGTGCTGCTTTTTGCTGCTTGGTGAGTTGTCTCCGCACTTTCTGTCGCACCACATCCTGCAGCAGACATATCATTTATATCAGTAAGGTCACATTTTACACACTTAAATGAAAATGTTTATGGTACAACAGAATATAATTTCACATACAGGTGGTATGGTAGAGCAGCTTCCTATACTGCCCACTGTATTTTCACTGTCTGCTCTTTGCCTCCTGTGTTCTGCAATGTGTAGAATACTTTCTGGGTCTCTGTATGGGATAGAAACACAAAGTTAGGCCAATGTATTGTGATATCTTTGCAACCAAAGTCCCCAGACAATTGGTCAACAGAAATGTTTCTATTATTTTTATATTATTGGACACACTGGATACAGTTTTATATTCTGTAAGTAGGTTTACCTGAAAGGTTTGAAGTCTCTGTTGGAGGTAGAAAGATCTGTTAACTCTGGACATACATCATCTGCTTCATTCATCTCTTCTTCAGCCTCATCCTCATTTTTTCCTTTTGGTTCAATCTCAGTGTCAGGTTGTTCTAATGTTTTTACGTCGTCTTCTTTTAAATTTGAGCTCTCATCATTTGAGGCCTCAACTTTGAGACCTTCAAGTTCCAACATTGCATGCTTAAATTCCTCTAAATCTATTGTGTCATTTGGTTCTTTTTCACAAATTTCTTCCTCTTCAATCTCCTCTTCCTCATCATCATCTTCGCTCTCCGGTCCAGTGGGATGCAGCAAATCACTGTCTTTTTCCATTTCCTTTGTAAAGCCACTAGCTGAAACCTCAACATCAAGAGAATGTGACCGCCTGGAACCACAATACAATATAAGGTTATGACGAATAAAATCTGTAATTGTTATTAGGTAAAACTAGATGTCAATGTCACCTAATATTTTTGAAGGTAGGAAAGAGCTCACTCTCATAATTAAAACGTTTGGCAAAAAAGTCCCTGATACACTTGACATCACGGTCGAAATACCTTTAAAAGAAATGCATCAAAATTTAACATTAAATAATTAAAGTCAATTTTTAGTTGGCAAGAAGAGTAAACAAACCATTCAGCATTAGCATGTGATGTGGACACCATCTGGGGAAAGTCAATCATAGTTATGTGGTCCTGGTCATCCAACATCAGATTGAACTCATTGAAGTCTCCGTGTATTAAGCCATGATTTGCCAGTTTCACTATAAGTTCCATGAATTCATTATAAAGGGCTGGAGGATCTTGCAACTCATGAACTTGGCACCTTAAAAACAATAAGACAATTAATACACATTATTAAGGGTACAGAAAGTTTAGCAGTTATTTCCAAATCCATTTGAAAAGCAACATTTTACATACAGGGGATATCCATTGATCAGCTCCATGACCACAGCATGCCTGTTGTAGTCGATTGGCTTGGGAACTGGAAAACCTCTATCATACAGCGCCTACAAAAGAAATTCTGAAATATTTATTGTTGTTTGATTACATTTCTGCCTACAAACGTAACGTACCTTACCTTCATATATGCAAATTCTTTCATGGCAGAGAGCCTGGATAAGTAGAGCCAAGACATATTCCTTCTGTGTTTGTGGTAATCTCTTTTGTTTTTTAAATTTCTAAAAGATGTACGACCCAATCTGTGAAGTTTCAAAGCATACTGCTCCCCATTTGGACTGGCCACGATGAAAATATCTATGGATAAAAGAAGGCATTTCATTATAACTTTCTTTGACATATTGCAGTGGTTGGTAAATTAACAGATCTACATTATTTAAATACATAAATACATTACCTGATTCTTTACCCACTCCCATCTGGTTGCCAACAGAGACAATAACATCTCTAGCACACAAAGTTTTTAGGGCAAGATAATCATACCCTCCGTAATTCAATCTGTATCCTTGGACCGCTAAAAGGCAAGCACCATACTGTATTTTAGTACAGACGCATTGCGGAGCTTTTGTAATTTCTTTGCGCGTATTCTTACTCTTGGTGCGCTCATAGACCACCAGCTTGTGTTTGACGAGCTCCCGAAGAATCTTGTTACAGCCTCCGTGTTTCAGACTGGCGATGGAGGACAGCAGACTGACGGGGACTATTTCGTGGTTTTTCATCCCCATCTCCACCTGTTTTAACGAAATATTGTAAGATGCACAATCAGCACAAGCTAAGACCAAGAGCAACATTTTAAAACCTACCGCTGTGAGGACACGGAAATCATCACGAGATAAGTATCTTAAAATGATTACGTTCAGCTTTCCCATCTTTCCACCTTTGGATAAATACCCACAGTTTGTAAAACTGTCATAAAAACCAATGACAAAGATAGCAATATCCAATTTGATGTAAACACACGTGCAAGGCGGAAGGCCGGAAGTGCTGTCCTTGTTCTGTGGCAAACGCCGAAAGGGAAAGTCCATGTTGGCGCTTTGCTGCCATCTAGCCCCATGTCTAGTTTTACACATGGATGGCACATGGCTTCTATTGTTCTTAAAAAAACAAAAAAACAAAAACTCTTCTATTCTATTCTTCTTATTCTTCACTGTACATGTTCCGGCCTGTCTGTGGTTTCAGTTTCAAGACTTTGTTGTGGATTTAAAGGTAATTAAATGCATAATATGTAATATTTTATTTTAGGGACAATATTTTAATGAGGTTACTGTATAAAAAAGGAAAATACTGACTGATTACAAGTCAACAAAAATATTATTTAACCGCAATAGGTCCAGTAGAGTTGCTTGTCAAATGGTGCACGCTAGATGGCACTGCGACACAAAAAGCTCAGTGAGAGGCATAGGCTGCAAGGTGCGTGTTCATTCAGAAAGGTCCAAAGATCAATTCCCGCTCGGACCATCGCATACCGTAGGCAAGACACTTCACCCACCTAGCTTGCCTAGTATGAATGTGCTGTGTGGTGGTTTGATGGACAGATGGTGCATACTGGCAGTCTCTGGGGCAGCTGTGGCTGGCTACAGAAGCTTACCATCACCAGATGTGGAGTGAATGAGTAATGTAATGTAATGTCTTTGAGGGTGCACATAAAGAAGTGCTTTATTTATCAATAAAAAAAAAATCCCTTTCCTTATAAACTCGGGTCCTTTAAAACAGAGGCATGTGAGTTTTTGCTGTTCCTAGAACTGCACTTTTCTAGACTGAGGTGCCTGATGATTTTCCAAGATTAGTGCTGTTTAGTGAAAAAACTGATTAGAATATCTTTCATAAGTGTAAAATTCACGGTTTTATAATGTTATAATGTAACGTAACGTACATTATTACACAAGCACAAAGCAGGCCTATTCCTAATAAATTGGCTCTTGAAGACTATTGTGTAATATTTAAAGTAAACTTAGCCTAAACCCTAAAGGACACGTTTGCAGACATGTAACTGAACAAGGATGTGTAGAACAGGCCCAGCTAGACTGAGGTCCTATTAACTATGTGAGACAGCTGCAACAAACACACACATGCTCTCTAGAATGACCCATGTGGGCTGCTGAGTCGGGCTGGTGTGTAGAGGGAGTGTGTGGGATTATCTGGAACGAGGCGTAACGGCCAATCTAGCATGTGCACTCAGAGCACAGTCTGAGTATTTTTCTGCAGATGTTTGTGAGGGAACTTTGTGCCACACTAAGCAACATTATTTCTAAGTTTCTGATTTCATTAGCTGTAAAGAGAACACATCAGTTGCACCAGAAGTGCACTAGAGATCTCAAAATGCTTAAAAGGGGGCTGATTAGAAAAAAATATGGAACAAACCTTTGTTGTGATCTTTCAAACAAGTGCTTAAAGCTACCAACTTTAAGTTAATTTGATTTTTTTCAACAGTAGATGGCAGATGTGAAACTTGTTCCCCTTTCCCCTCAAATGGCCTTTGTTCAAGGTCACCTATGGTCTTCTTCTGTCAGGCCAAAGCAGACTATCAGACTATCACTATTAGACAGCAGTAATGTCGATGGCATGTAGTGGTGATATGTGGGATAACAACAGGGGCAGGGTGGGTCTGATTACGAATTGTAGCTTTAAAGCACCACATTCACATTTGTCTGATACATTTAAAGACATACATTTCTATAAAATATTGTTATTTTGATATTTTAAAAACCCATTGTGGCAATTCCTATGTGATAGATTTTTGTTAACAAGGCATTGAACTATTTCCACAGACCTGTAGTAAATCCAGTTGTTTGATTACAAATTGATGAACCCATAGATGAAAGAGAGTCCTCATAGGTCAAAGTGATGAAAGGACCTTCCAAAGCAGTTTGATGTAAAGTGCATGAAAGCTAGAATCCCCTCCCCCCTAATACCACTCACAGGAAGAAACACATGGATCTATGAGGCGTTAATTATGCATGCAACCACCAAAATAAAATTATCTTCTCAAATAGCACATGTGAATAATTGAATATAGCCTACAATATTAGCATTGAAATGTGTTATTCTATGTACATCCACCTTTTCATATTGGACCAGCACAATAAATATTTATGTAACTGCACCTGCAGAATAAAAAATATGCAGGTTAGAATTCTATATTTTTTTATTGAGGTATATATATATCTATATCTATCTATATCTATCTATCTATCTATCTATCTATCTATATCTATCTATATCTATCTATCTATCTATCTATCTATCTATCTATCTATATATATATATATATATATATATATATATATATATATATATATATATATATATATATATATATATATATATATAATAAAAAAAAATTTTAAGTTTAAATGTTTTGCAATATACTATTTTTTTTATTTTAGTTGGCTGCCAAATTTTCACGCTCCTGTTCTGTGCCTCTGTAGGTATTCATGTGTGCAATGCAATATTGGTCCTATCGAAATAATGAGCCGCCACCATGAAGATGGAAAATGTTGCTAACTAACAGCAGTCCTGAAATGATCCTTTTGTCAGACTAGGTTACGTGGGGCGGTCCGGCAGCATCAGTCACAGCTCCCACACATCCAGAGGCTAACGGGATGTGTTTGACTGAAAGGGAAGAGCTGCACTTTTAGCTTTTCTGTAGCAGATAGCAGTAATACATCTTATCTCAGTGTGTGTGAATATGGGCTTTTTAAGGCTTGTGTGTCTGTGGCATCTACTCCCACAAGCGTGAAATGAGACAGACTCCCACTATCTGTTATAAGAGTGGTTAAAATGAACTGATGGCTTATGCTTGTCAAGTAAGTCTGATGGGGTTGTAAAATCTAATGGAAATTGTGCTGCCCCCGATCAGGCCTTCTTTAACATGACTTATTTGGTAAATAGCACTTTCCCATAATGTCATACAACAGAGAAAGAAGTACATTTATACTAAAGTGCTCTATATAGGCACTAGTGTATATGTGAAGAATGCAAACTCAAAATAAACTTAATGAAAGTGTAAAGATTTAAGGACAGTAAAGGATATTTAAAGGGACTCTATAGCTTTTCTGGTGGAGGGCCCATCACATGTTTGTCTCCATGGAGAGGCTTTGCCTGGAATGTTCCACAGTATGGAATTCAACTTGTCTTTCCCCATGGGTATAATGGTACCACCAGGTCAAATTACAGATCATGTCTATAGAGAGAGACCTCATTCTTTAAAAACTATTGTAAATCATTAAATAGATACATACTTGTAATGCTATGCTGTGGACCATTCTGAACAATTCAAAAACAAAAAAGTTACATGGTGGCTACTGAAAGTTCTACTGCTGTAGTACTGTTATTCATATTACAGTCCATTACCAGATACTGCCCCATTGTAGATACCATTTGGAAATATATTCTCAATTGCTTAAACGGTTTAAAATGGCTTAAGTGATTTAAATTTTGTATGAAGTCTTGCCTCAGTGAGACTCCTTCTAAGCCCTAAACATGGTGTCTAAGCTGCCCCACAGGACCCCAACAACTGCCACAAATTCCAAAATGTGGCATAAATCTGACCAACAGATGCTGCTTATCCGAGACTTTCTGAATGTTTTTCATCTGCCAGTTCTGCTTGAGCTGTTGCTACAGGAGAAGTGAAGTGAGCGCACACACTTCACTCACAAGACAGCTCATAGCAATAACAGCACTGCAAAGGATGCTGGGTAATTTGGTTAAAGATGTCAGGAACGTAAATCACCTCCAATAAGTCCTGCTTTGCTATTGGTCCACTTCTCTGGGTCTAGATGAACTTCATTGGTCACTGCTGCATTTGACTGTCTTTTCAGCTGTTGCTCGCTGGATTAGGGCTGTACAACTGACAAAGACAAGACAAAAAAAAAAAAGTTAAATAGTTTTTTTTTTTAATTGAGTCTTGGGCATTGATTGATCATTCGATTTGATGATACTTTCACCATAATTGACAGTGATGGAGTCAGAATATGAACTCTTGAACTCTTACCACTTCTTTCCCACATCTATAGGCATCTCATTCTCTCTACTTCCTTTTCAACAGATCTATAATGACCAGTTCATGTTATAAAATTTCAAAAAAAATTCTGATTTATGTTGTCTCTTATCAAAAATATACCTTGAGTTGTGTTTTATTTAGGCCAAGTTCTCCTCTCAAACAGAAAACACTCTGTTGACCTTGTGAGGTCATGTGGTAATACAGGAAGTGCTCCACTGTGTTTTTTAAACTCTGTAAACCTTCAATAGAATCATTTGGATGATTTCAGCCCTAGAATTACTAATCTCTACTGAACTGGGAAAAAGGAGCTGTTAACCTGAAAACTACCACTATATAACATCATGAGGCAGAGAATAGCATTTTGCACTTTGGAGACAAATAAACCAGGATTACTCAAACATGTGTGAATGAAAGAAAACACAACTCTGGGTATGTTTTTGAGGAGATAACAACATTCTAACATGCGTCAAAGCGCAAAAGAGTACATTTTGCTTAATATAGGACCTTTAATAGTACTCTTCTGAGACTTTTGTTCTAGGATAAAGAAAACATTTGGAAACCGGTTTTGATGCCTTCTAGGCTTGGCATGTTGCTGTCCATGTCAACTAAATGGACATAAACTACTGCCTACAACAAAACCTTAACTATTTCTGAATATGCTTTTTATTATTAATGAAAAACATTGCAATTATATTTATATTTCACAATTTTTTTGCACAACTATTTCTGATAAATAGTATGTTATTTGACAGATGCAGCACATAGGCAGCATTTGCTATTCCTGTCTCATGTGTAGCAAAAATAGTATAGTCTTGTCACACACACGCACGCTCCAAAAGTTCAGGGCTTTGATATTTCTCTCTTCTCTTCAGTGTGCGGAACAGACTCGACAGCTCTGGATCTTCAAACAATACGTGAGCCCCCATGACGCTTGGCTGCATATCTACTGCTAATCATTACTTGTTAAGCACATCACACACCTGTGCTCTCACTC